GGAATTACAACGATTATATAGTCTCGATGGACACGTCAAACGAATTGACAAGATTATGTAAAGGTCATCAAGAAATAGAAATGATCGAGTATTTATTAAACGAGTGACTTAAACAGTTCGGTCATTTCCAGGATATTACCGCATGGGTTTGGGAGTAAACGAATGTTATTGGAGACCGCACGGAAAAAGTATAGTGTGCAACACGTTTGGTAAACTGTGTAAGTCACTCGTTTACTACACTTGTTGCATAATTTACCATTGCAGAAGTGAATAGAGATAACATATTCATATACCAGTTTTAATTTCATATACCAGTTTTAATTTTAAGATTCCTTGTTGGATACTTGTGTTTACGTGCCCATTGTCTGTGGAAAATTGTAAATCACACAAATGCCCCGGTATTTGGAGAACTCCATAATGAGCTGTTTGCCTCCCTATATCAGAGAATCTTGAGGTCCGATATCACTAACGTGGAGAGAGAAAAAATCTTCGAAGAAATGAGCACGAGAGACCGGAAGATGTAATTCACAAATATTTTCTTAGTAAAATTGGAAACAAGTCTCTTAAGCAAATATTTCTACTTTGGCGCCTTAAAGATGGAGAAAACTGAAGAAACTATTTTATTAATTGAACGGTTGATTGACTGCAACAGACTGTTGGCTAACCATCACCATTCTCAGTCACTATCAAGACAATCGATTATGTAGGGATGATAGCGGAAAAATTTATGACTTATTATTTGGGGCGGACTCGAATGAACTAAAATTATGGAAAATTATGCACTGACAGAAAGTAATCGAAGTGTGCTTTTAAACATCGAACTATTTGTAATTACAGAGACTGAGAAAACAAAAACAAATTTCGTCAGTGAAAAGAACCAGAAGAGAGACATACATATACAAAAAAAGCAACAAAAAATATTAGTAAGTACCAAAGACTCGCTGATTGGTTAATTGGTAAGTCAATACCTCTTTTGGTATTTAAAGTAGCAAATGTGAAAACAAAAGTACTTCTTTTTGTTGATACTTTCATATATGACGTGAATATAAAAAAACGAAATGCTAAAATTATATGAAATGCATTTTCATCAGTCCCGCCCCTTTTCAAATTATCATTTTCTAGAAGATGAATTTTCCCTGGTGTGAAGTGGCTTAGCTACATATTTTTGATCTTTACGAAAAAATTGCATTCCATTTAGAACTTCAATCTAATAATCTAAACACATATTTCTTTGACTACTTTTATTGATTTTAATGTTGTAATTTTAATAATCTTTGCGAGGCTAAATAATGCGTCCTACAAGACCGCACACATCCCGGGGTTGCTGTTAACCGACAAAATAAGAACTATCTACTTTCTATTTGTCTACAACTCTTACTAGGCAAGAAGATTCTTTTTTTTTGCTACTTGCCGTCTTGCGCAGTTACGAGACTATCTCATACCGAGGCGACCTCTACGGTTCTAGAATATAGCTTGGAACCACTAAACTTTTAATGAATTGACGCATTAAATTTTGCAGCTAATATGCAAATTAAAAATTAATAAACAGAAATAGAACTCTCTGCATTTAAGCACGAGACATCTTCATCTACTAACACTTCCATCTCTTCTTTTTTTTTTCGCCAACTGCCACCAATTTTTAAAATGTTTTCGTTATTATTGTTTGTGTTTATGAGAAATTGTGAGTTGTCAAAAGACTAACCAGTGCTTGACAAACCTAACTTTGTATAAAAAAATCACTAGAAGGCGACAGGGCTTAAAGTTTATTTGGTCCACACTATGCAGGCCTTCCCTACGGGAAACGCACAACAATAACTAACACGCGGCAAACAGGAGAAAAAAAAACAAAGCGACTACCTAATAATAGGGAACTTGTAAGGGGAAAATTTATTCTAGATGGTAAATATTTAATGTCTATACAACGTTCAAACGAAATAGCCTATTAGAATTATATAGAAAAAGAAAAAAGATAAGCATTTAAAAATTGGCCTGCGGCCCTAGCAGTATGATCTTCATTTTTTAAATATTTCGGATATTGCAGCGCCACATATACTTGAACCAGACACCATTTTTTTAGGGAATTTGTCCATATGTCGATGATGACCTAGTTTACAGAAAATATATTTTTTAGAATTTTTAGAAAATTTTGCCAAAAGATCTTCGAACTATTTTAGGTAAAATTGCGAAATTTTATATTATGAATAAAGATTAGTATTATCACTATTATTTTTATAATGCGTTAAATTTCAAGCAGAAATCGAAAACGGAGTTCAATTAAAAACAAAACTGGCATCGACATCTACTATGTGCGACAGGTTAAATTTCACGTCATGATATGATACCTATTGATAAGCGGCAAACAAAATTTTAGGTTTTTATCAAAAACGGCTAAAATAGCCAAAAATTTATTTAAATTAAAAATATATATATAAATTAAAAATTTAAATTTAAATTTAAATTGCAATAAAAAGTGTGGTTTGAGTAGGTGCGGTAACACTGCAATGTCTCAAATAGAGATAACATCCCGTGGCCGCAACCTAATTTTTAAAATTTTGTATCCATTCTCCATATCAATCGGGGCATCGAGTTTGGGGCACCCTATATATTAGTAAAAAGAACATTTTTTTTTGTCCCAAAATGGCAACTATAAGGGATTTAAAATAGGGCCCGATTTAAATTATTCAAAGGGAAACTGTTAGCAATGACACCAAGCGTATTCTTATGGCATATGCTGGTGTCATCATTATGACGTAATCGTTATCTTTGATGAGGTGGGTTCGGTTAATAAAAACAGTGCTGAAGCGGAGTAGGAGTAGTTTTTTGAGTTTGGATTTAGTAGAGTGTAAATGGTATACCGGAACGCCCTTGGACTTTTGAAGCAGAATGTCAAACATAAATGCCAAACAGATGTTTGGGTTTCTTATTGTTTTTTGACTTCCCAAACACAACTAAATTTTTGTGCGTTTATTTTTATCGTCCATTTTTACTAGTAATGAAAAATAATTTAATATTTTTGCATCTGTATAGTTTAATTGAAAAAATATATTTGAACGATGCAGAAGTTAGGTGCTCCTTTTTAATAATAAACAGTTTGAAAAACACGGATATGATTGATATATATCTAAATATAACATATATTTCGCATTGAGTGCCTTTAAAGTTTTTTAATCCTAGTATCCAATATAAGATACTGAAAAAAATTGTTAAACGATACCAAAACCGCCTAGCAAAATATTTGGTATAGTCTGTCTCGATCTCCATCTCGAATGGCAATAAAACTTGGGTCCGGTAGGTATTAAGGGACAGAACATTAGGGACGGACTCCCAAAAGGTTTTGGTAATATTTTTTTTGTTTATTTAGCTGGATATAATCTTATTAAATTACACTAAGAAAAAATCATAAAATTAAATATATACACTAAATTCATAGTTAGGAATATGTATAGATAATTACATTTTTATTCTAAATATCTAAGTATAATTCTGTTTCACTGAGTCGTCATTAAGATTAGTTATAATTAATTATAATAGGTCGCTGTGTGTGAAATGTAAGAGTCCTCAATTATTATAATGCGTTGTAATGAATTTTCCCAGCGCTCAACTGGTATGCTATTAATTACATTTTTCAATAGGAGGAAGGACGTAAGAGGAAGACGCAAAACAGTATGCCCAGCCTGTTCAACCATTTTATCGCATACAAACTGTTTTTTTAATTGCATATGAATTTAGGACTTCCAAAACGTGCGCTTTTTTGTAACCGAATTCAATATAAATATCATTTTCTAACAAACTTTCCTGGATTTCAGTTTTTAAACTTAATGAGGCCGCCGTGGCAGCTGTTATTGAGAATATTTTTTAAAAAATTGTTTGAAACCAATTTTCAAAGGGTTCGGCACTTCCTTTGACAGTTTTGAGTGAAATCAACCCATTCTGTGGATACAATGCCGTGTGTATCGAACCAAGTTCCACCAAGGTACATTATGGATCTGTCGTCTAATCTATATCTTTTAATTTCTCAAAATCTCCAATTAATCTGTGTGATTCCATTACTTTTATCTATTTTGCGGTACTTAAATCCAATTTTACGAATTGTTGGAGTGTGGCAAGGTTTATATTTATATTGGCTTCATCTTCTTCTCGTTTCGTTTTGATAATGACAATATATTTTCACTATTGTCATACTGTGAATTTGAAAATCACTACTTTTATTCCTTTTTTTCAATTCTCCACTATTAACAACATCCCTTCCTTTAACGACGATATTGGCGTTTTTGTCAGTAGACAGGTTTCTTTTAAAGCTTCTTATTTAATAGTTCCTCTAGTTTCATACACATTTTTCACAATCTCTTTTTCATCAAGCAACAAATGTTATATATTCGTAAATCTCTTTTTCATCAAGCAACAAATGTTATATATTCGTAAAATAACTTTTTTGAAACATGCAGTAAAAACGATTGTTCAACACTGCCATAAATGGTCGACATTCAAGAAATACCTATCAGAAAGAAAGAAATATACTTGGCCCATTCCCGCCTGTCACTCAAGTGAGAATCAATATTTTGTTCATATTGTTAATAACATCGTTAAAGTTTTATTGGGGAGGGTCCTAAAGCCAACGCGATGAAGATCGAGACAGACCATACTTTATGTTGTTACCGTAGCAACAAGCAATAGGCACCATAGAACAAACGGGCAAATTCGACGGTTTCACACTATTGCGCATACTTGCTATCAAAATTCGCAGTACACAGTACCCGAACGAATAGAGTGTACATGGAGTGACTCGGAGTCGGCGGAGCGAACAAGCCGAACCCACCTGACCGTGACGTCAAAGGGTACGTACATTACTAATAGACAAGTCGTTATCTAACTTTAATAATTACTCGGAGCAAAAAAATAATGGAAAGTTCCCTATTCAGAGGCAAGAAGGAGGAAAAAAAAAAAACAAGCAAACCAAGCGGGAGAGCGCGCGAACGAAAAAAAAAACCAAAGCAACTCACCGACAAATCCGTCTGGATGTCGCCGGTGGCGTAGAAGATCTGCCCCTCCTGCAGGCTCTGCTGGTGCTGGAGCGTCGCGCCGCCTTTAGCGACTCTGGTCTTGCCGGAGGCGTTGGAGCCGGCCGTCCCCGCGTTTGGTCTGACCGGTGTTTTGGAGGCGGCGATCATAGGGACGACACTTGTGTGACGTGGACCAGACGCCCTCGCGCCGGATATCGGCGTCTTTTCTCTGACCGGTTCGTCATATCCGATCGTCGACTGAACGGCCTTGTCGCTGGTTGTCGTCGTCTGGACTACGGTGGTGTTCTGCACGAACGTCGACGATTTTCCGCCGCTGCCCGTGATAGCGGGGAAGCTTTTGATGTTGTGCACGTCGGGAGGGGTGTTTTTGTTGATGGGGGCGGCGGCGATTGGGGTCGAAAAGTCCTTAGCACTGCTGCCGGGTTCGACCGCGTCCGCTCTAGGCGGCTGCGGGGATTTCTCCTTCGGAACGGCGGGCTCGGTCGCTTTCTCGGGACTCGGTTTTTTCTTTTCGCTGTTTTTAGCTGGAAAATCAAAAGCAGCCGCTTAGGAGGGACGCGGAGAGATCGCGAGTACAACAGTTTCACAAAAAAAGTACCAAATGTTGTGCGAAAATTAACGGACATACCCCTCAGTCGTCACCAAAAATGAACCACAGTGTATAGGATGGGCCGTTTATCTTGGGATTCTACTTTATCTCAGAAACTATATGGGATGGGGCCAAAAGTTAATTGGGGTATTACAAACATTCAATTTATTTTTATGTTGTACAGGGTGTTTCATTTTTCGAGGGCGAATATCAACTTTCTTATTTTAAATGGGACACCTGGTATATTACTTCATTTTTGAATTCTAGTTATATTTTGTGTAAAATGTCCTATACCCAAGTCTTTGACATTTTTAAATCGACATCGAATAACGGATTTCATAAGAAATTTCGATGCATATCAATACAGGGTACGCTAAAAATAACGAAATTTAAAAAAAATGCAAAAAAACTTCCAGAAAATTCCCTATTTTTATAATCTTTTATGTATATGCCTGATATTTTTACTTTGTGAAATATTTCCTTTTAAACATATGTCTATCACAAATAATATGCTCTTGCCATATAAGTTCAGTTAGTATAAGGTGGCTATGACGACGCTTAAACAAAACACTGCCTCCCTGGACGCGTGTATTGTTGTTGATTACTGTCATAATTCAAATATTTTGGTCACACATTATTATTATTCTGTTGGAAAGTTACATATAAAGCAATAAAAACCGGATCCTGGCTATTAGAGATTATATAATAAAATTTCCATTAAGGGGCCCAGAAAAAAAGAATATATGGGACCTTGAAGAGAGAAAAAAACAGATGTCATATTTTGAATGATGAAGAGCAACTTAATGTTTTGTTGCATTTTGCGGACACCCCTGAAGATTCAACCCGAAATGAGTCTTGAGATGTAAATGTCAAACGAACAACGCTTCGAATAAACAAATGACTTGACCTAGAACATTTTTTTTATTTTCCCTGTATTTTACTTATTTAGACTGATATTGCACACTAGAACAGATTGCCTTAAGCAAAATCACAAATTCTCAAAAATTGTTACTCTTGTTTTAAGTCGATAAGTGCCACAAATCGATTTTCCATTCTCGGCTCGAATTTTACCTAACAGGACTTAATGAAATTTGAAAAAGTCATCACAATCCGTTAAAAATTAGTTTTTATTAAAAAAGCTTATTACCCAACTGCTACTGTGATGGCCCCATCAGGAATATTCAAATACTGAATAATATCGCGATATGTTTTATATGTATATGTAAAGGCAGAAACGTTTCATCTGCTAAGACATTCATCAACATACACAGAAAACTTGGTGAAAGAGGATCATTCAAACCTGATAATATGAATAAACGGAGACCAAGGTATAAAAGAACACCTGCAAGAGAAGAAAGAACGCTTCAGAATGTGGACGTGATGACATTGTAAATTTTCGAAATATGCATCATGAAAGCCCACATGCTAAAATAGAAGGAAACCATCGGCGCCGGTTTTCTTTAAATGTTTGAGCAGGGATTACAGGAGATAATCGTATAGGACGACCTCATTTCTTTAATGGATCGCTTAATTGGAAAGTGTATCTGCAATTTCTCCAAGAGAAACTACCACCTTTGCTGGAAGAAGTACCCTTACTGTGGAGACGAAACATGTGGTTAATACGGCGCTCTACCCCGTTTTGCATTTGCTGTACGAAGGTATTTAAATATTTAAATCAGACCTTTGAACATCAATGGATAGGTCGGGGCGGACCTCTAGCGTGTCCGCCTCGCTCACCAGACCTTAATCCGATGGACTTCCTTTTTTGGGGACATTTAAAGTCTCTAGTGTATATGAAACACCTATAACAGATATCAAAGGTCTAGTTCAAAAAATAATAAACGGTTGCGAAATCGTTAGAAATACGTCAGTCAATTTTTTTCGTGTTCGACAGCATAAGAAAATGTGGCGGACATTTTGAAAATGAATTGTAATGAGGATTGTAAACTGTTTCATTCCCGAAAATGTTAAATGTATTTATGTTACTTAAATTAAACATGTTATTGCATTAACTTATGCCATTTTTTCACTTTTTCAATTGGTAGCATGCTGTTTTAAAAAATTTAGTGCCTGTTGCCCCTCCCCATCGCTACGTCGAACGCTCACCGATATCCGCGTAGGAAATCGGCCCGTCCAACGGCAACGAGTGCACCGAATCGACGTCCGACGACGAGTCGTTGCTCTTCTCGCTGTGCGGCATCGACCTGGTCATCTTCGCGCCCGCGCCGCTCATGACAATGACGCCGGCCAAGTCAGGCGACAACGTTCTGCGCGTGCGCTGATCCTCGATACTGTTCGGCGACGTGGACGCGATGTCTGAACGACCGAGACCGCCGGGACGTAGCCGGCCTCCCGCGCTACTCACGCTGTTCCGTCGCTTCTTGCTCTTCTTCTTCGTCCGCGTCACCACCCAGTTCTCGGTCGACGTCTCTAGGTTCTCCATCGACGACGCGTTGTACAAAGATTGGAACGACGGTATCTGTAAACAATATTGTTAAAAACCTTAAACGGTGACGTTTCCTTCATATTACAAGTTTTAACAATATAATAATGTGTGCAATAACATGAATCGTTTGTTGGAACTAGTATTTTAGAGCATTCTTTGATCTGTTGAAAGATACAAGTGTCCCATTGTTACGCCTGTATCACTATTTTGGTTTGTGTCGTGACTCCACTAAAGAATTTAACTTTAGAAGGGCAAACTTTCCTCTAATGCATGAAAAGTTGTCGAGACTAGATTGGTCACATGTTTGTGGTGTTTCTGACATGGATGAGTCCTTGAATTGGTTTTATAATACTTTTAATACTTTATTTCAATCATGGGTTCCACTTAAAGTTAATAGACTGTTTCATGGTTACAAAATTTTTTAGTCAAGTATTCAGTCAAGTCAATCAAAGAAAAATAGCTCCAGAATCCCAGATGTCTTATGACGACGAACCTTTTAAGGAACCTCAAGCTATAGTAGATGCGTTGGGTAGATATTTCAGTTTGGTCTATATTCTCTTTGATAAGAATTATACACGTGTTCAGCGCATGATCAGATTGGTATTGTTGGAGTCACCGAAAGGCAGGTTAACGCCAGTGAAAGATAAACCAACAGCGGGTATTGATGGCATCCCTAACTTCTTTGTTATCAAATCGTGTAGTTATTCCTGTTTTTAAAAAAGCTGACGCGAGTGTAACTGAAAATTATCGACCCATATCAATTCTTTGCAATTTTTCTAAAATTTTCCAAATTACTGTACTGTGACTGTAATTATTCTCGTCTCAAGAATAATATTAGTGTTGTTTTGTTTTAAATAAGTCGTGCACAAGCAATCTGGCAATGTTGACTCAATATTTATGTTAATCAATTGATGATTTAGGTCAGATGGATGTGGTATATATGGATTTTCAAAAAGCATTTGATCAAATAGATCATTATATTTTATTATCGTGACTTTACAATGTTGGAATATATATTAATGTCATATTGATAGATCCAGAGACAATTCCTTAAATTCTCAATATTTAAGGAAGGTAATATATATCCCCACAGAGGATTTGACCATCAGGTACTGTTGGGCAGTTTTGAGAAATAAGCTCTGGAGGTTGGGAAGAACTTTCGAGTGGCTTTTAAGCAAAAGCAAAATTTTATGTCCCCAGAATTCAAGCCAGGCAGGGCCTATATTTCATCTCCCTACTCCCAGGACAAATGCTTTATATATCAATCGTCAATTTTGTTTATGTGTTATACAGTTATTTTATAATTCGTGAGATTGTTGCCTGTTTTTTGCAACATGCGCAGAGCTTATAACTGCTTAGAGTACGTGTTTGAGTAATTAGCTTCCTTGTATTCTGTACTGTATTTTGACTAAGTTCTCATTAATATTTAAATTACAATATTATTAAATTTTTTACTCCGGAATTTTTCACTTGATTTTATTCACAGTTAATTTATCAGTTCCAGAATGTCATAATCAACACTAAAAAACCAGAAGGCGACAAGTATGTTCATCTTTGTAAAAGGATGGGACGAAAAGTTTCCGGTCTGACCAAAAGGTGGCGTCACTACTGTCTACTGTTCGAGCAGCCTCCTACAGTACCATTTCTACCGATCTTGTATGTACAGTGTCAGCCTAATCGCTACGGTATTTTGCGTTGGAGACCGCATTGCGCGAGACGCGTCCAACCATGATGGATGATAGATAAGGCGGCAATTCTCCACAATCCTCACTATCTTAGATCCTTAATTACCTTCACGTTGAAATGCGCACTATTAAGTTTGTTGTTTTTAAGACGTTTATAATTTTAAAAAAATGTTGTAAATGTTGTAAAAAATTACCCTCTTGAACAATCTTGTTAGTTAACGAAGGAGTTGTTCTAGTGGCTTTTTTATATTTTGAATATTTCTTTAACTCTAGAGGAAAAGCTTTGTCTATATTACTATTAAATTCCTGTATAAAAAGATCAAACTTTTCACTTGCATTTAGTACAGTGCCCCACAATATTTCATAATCATTAATAAACAACTGCATAAAGCAATATATATTTGAATCTTTATTACAGTGTGTTTTATAAAACCAACCTTTTCAGGTCAGAAAGATATGATTCCATTAGTGAGTTTCCGCATTACCCTCAAAAATGCTAAAAATATTATCAATTAATTCTTTAGACGTACCCCTAGTCTCTTGGGACATTGGAATAGTTGATTTACAAATACTGCAAATTTTAACTTAATACTTGTATCTGGCGTATTATTTCTAAATTTATTCCGTCACCATAATCAAATTTTAATATTAACATTAACATTAACTAGGCCGTACAGTCTATTAATTTTAAAAAAATCTGAAACTCGGTGAAATTTCCCGTTATCGATCATTGACACGATTACTCACCTCGACGTTGCCCCACGACCTCCTCTGACCGGCGACCACCGACGGCTTGTTTATCCTCAATACCACTTTCTCGTCGTCTTCCTCCTCCTTGTCCACGCCGCTGCTGCCGCCCCTTTCGCTACTCGCGCCGGAACCGGAACCGAAACTCGCGAATTCCGCATCCAGTTTCAGGCCGGATATCTCGCCCATGGAGTTGCTCTTCTTCAGTTCGGGCCGCGAAGTGGACACGCCCGATACGACGCCCGAGCCCTCCTTGCTCTTGCGCTTCTTGCCGGGTCGGACGACGCCGCCGTCTTCAGACGCGTGCTGCTTGTGCAACTGCTTCGACTTGGACGACTGGACCGTGCGGGTTTTGCCGCTGCCTGGCGCCACCTGTTGGTTGTCGGTGCCCTCTATGTAGTGGACCAGTTGCTGCACGTCGTTTATGATCTCTTTTTTGTGACCCTCGATCTGGTGACAAATCAGGTAGTACTAGGGGGTGGAGAATTCGATACGGTGGGCAGAGTTCGCGAACTATCATCAGCCTCACCAGTCATAGCGGGTGTCCCACAGGGCCGTTATTATTTATTTTATATTTAAACGAACTTCCAGCCTCCTTTCCAAATATGAAAACAGTCTAGATAGTTAGTTAGATAGCTACACTGACTGTGCCTTAATTAAACAAAATTTAGACATAACACTACACGTGACTGATTTCCTGATCTAAGCCTAAATCTCAATAAAACCGAGATATGTACCGTGCGTCAAGGTAAACAAAAAACAAAATGTAGGGTTAGTAGCCAAGTTTTTTTTCCAAGTGACGTATAAAACAAAACACTATTGAAAAATCGGCAAACTGACAAATAAATAAAGTACTATTATAGTATATTATGCAACAAGTGCGGTAAACGGCATTTGACTCACGAGTTTGTTTATTTGACACAAGCGTAGCGAGTGACTTAAAAAGTTTACACGTGTTGCATACTATACTTTTTCTACGGCCGTTAGTTTTTGGATACATTTTCGCAAAACAATACGAATACATTCACTGGCATGGCCGTCAGAATTGACAAACGTCAAAATTCGAGTGGGAAATATCTCCGAAAATATCCGATTGCTCCCAAACCCTCGCGGTAAAATCTCGGAAATGTCCGAAGTGGCTCGGATCCGTGCGAAACGAAACTGACGTGGTAAAGCAACCCTTCCCGCACGCTAGATCGGTGTGTAATTAGGTATTTTACAGACGGGAGTAGAAAAATATGTTTATGTTTGACATATGAGTAAACAACGTTGATGGTTGAATTATTGTTGAAATGGTTTTTCGCGAATTTGGCATCCATTAAAGAAGTGATAAGCTTCAAGTATACTTTCCGAATAATAAAAGTGCAACCGTAGCTCGTCGTCAGTATATTAGACTTTATCCAGAGCGCCGAGCTCCTTCAAAACAGATATTTCCGGGCTGGCAGAAAACGCTAACATATTAAATGCTAAAAAGGTATGTCTGAATGACAATGTTTTAAATGAAGAAAATAAGGCAAGGTTCTATAAAGCACATCCAGTTTCCTCAATTACTAGAGTATATGAGGAGAGGTATTTCTCGGGTATTAATCCACTCCAATGTCAAAGGAGGATGGATTTGTTTGGATTTTTTAAATAGATATAACGAGAAGAATAATTTTTTCAAAAACATTTAATTTACTGATGAAAGTTTGTTCACTACAAGAAAGGTTTGTAATAGACAAAATAGGCGATATTGATCTTCAAATAATCCCAGATAAATACACGAAATAAAAACCCAAGGGTACCAGTCAATTAATATATGGGGTGGTATCACAGATGGGCATATTTTGGGTCCGGTATTTATAGATTAAAAGTTAACTGGAGATCATTATTTGCAACTCTTAGAGCACCAAATAGAACAATATATAGAACATGTCCCCTAAATATATCAGCGCTGATTATATGGCCGCAAGACGATGCATCTCCTCACAATCTAGTCCAAGTTAAATATTTTGTTAACATGGAATATCCCAGGGGTTGGATAGGGAATGGAGGAACTATGGATTGCCCAACCAACAGCCCCGACTTAACTTTATTGGATTTTTTCTTTTGGGGGACACATAAACTTGGATGCTAACCCTACCTAACCTACCTAACCCTGGGATAGCTATAGGGAACTGTTTGTCTATCAGTGCCTAATTTTTATTAGGTCGAGAAGGTCGGACTATCTAACTGTTAACGATAGGAATATCTATGATACACGGCATGGTGGAAATTTACTGTTGCCTCAACATCGTTTATCCCTTACCCTTAGCTATATATTTGTAGCTACAAAACTGTTTAATTTACTCCCCCCCACCAGCCCTCCCAAAAGAGACAGGTCAATTCAAACATATAAAACAAAGCAAAGAGAAATCATCCCGAAGATCTCACCGGACACAATGTTGCTGGATCGGCGAGGGTCGTTTAAAAATTTTAATATTATATCTGTGTTTGTCATAAATTTTAAATGTAAACCTTATCTATTTTTATTTTTTATTTATTATTTACTATGGGACGATGCTGAACATTATGTAGTGCGGAAAAGCAAATAAAGCATATTATTATTATTATTATTATTATTATTATTATTATTATTATTATTATTATTATTATTATTATTATTGTATTATAACGTCTTACATACCATTTCCGATGACACGACGACGACGTTCTTGTTCGCCGGCTTCTTCCGTTTCGATTTCTGATGGAGCGCGTTGCCGTTTTCATCCACGCGCTGCGCACGAGACAATTTTATTAGTTTAGGTGATCACATACTAGGGCGGGTAAAAAAAACGGTTTTTTTTTTGGGATTCGACACACAAAAACTAGTTACCTCTAGAAAGTTTGAGCTATTAATATTAACGTGAAGATTATCTTCATTACAGTTTGGCATTTTTGATTTAGTCTCATATATAAATAATCATAACTTATCACCAATAGATCATTAAGCCAATTTTATAGGAAATTGAACGCTCTAGAAAAATGGTCTCTTATACTTTTTTGACAAATCGAACCATTTCAAAGATATTCTAAGTCAAAGATTAAAGAATTTAAAGAAAAATAACTTTCTGTTCTGCATTTTCTTGTTGACTGAAAAATAATTATGGCGAAATGTTTTCAATTATTCTTATAGGAAATTTAATGCTCTACAAAAAAAGGTCTCTTGTGGTATATCGATTACTCGAATCATTTTACTAAATTTTGAGATTATTTATTATCTATTTCAGATTAAACAAAAGTTCTTTATTCAAGTAATATCAATAAATGCATTAATAGAAAAAGAATTCTGTTCCACCATATGAAATTTTATACCTTAATAAATTATTAATAGAAAAATATACATTTTTAAAATTTAGTTATACAAATCGACTTTTATTACAGTCAGGAAATCATCCTCGATGTTCTTTGACAACCCGCAGCAATTATTGAAAATGTTCGTTTTTCATCAAACATTTATATTTAGAGACCAACGCTACTCCCCGCTCTGCTGCGTCATTTACAACTTTCATTTGTTTACTTTCATTATAACCCTCACCTGAAGCCCAGGATGCAATGTCAACATCAAGGAAATCATATGATAGGTCAAAGATTTTGAACAATTTCAATGATTTTGAAAACCAAAGTCACTCAAAAATTCTTTTGAACAATCGAATTGATGTTCTTTTGATCGATCCCATATTTTTTAACAATAGAATTTAGACCATCTTGAGTTTTTACAGCTTCGACTGCATTCTTTTTTATATCGAGTGGAACAATATCATCAAACTGTGAGAAATTATCAATAAAATTGGCTTAATGATCTGCGAAAATGCGAAACTATAATATTAAAAGTTCATACGTGGTAAGTACTTGCTAGAGCTAACTAGCAACTAGTTTTTGTGTCAGATAAAAAAAAACGTTTTTTTTCACCCGCCCTTCTATATATGCATAATAAACAGAAAGGACACGGGCATATGGGCATTTTTTTAAATTTTGGAAATCCAAACTAGAACACATTCTATAGCGATATATAAAATAGCAATTTCAAAGAATTTGAGCAGCGTGAAAAAGGGGCGTGGCCTCGCGGTGATGTCAATCCCATGTCTCAACAACAACTTTAGGGGTTGGGTATAAGTGTAATAATTTAAAATAAGTGAAAAGAAAGTGCGGTGCGTAATTGCCCCAATACTTCGAAAAAGGCCCCAGGCAAGCTATTTATACACACTCAGTCGCATATGAATTGTACCAAGAAGATTATATTAACATAATGTTGAATTCCTGAACTAATTTTTATTCTCTTTGGAATAACTCTAACAAAAACAACTAAGATAATTTGATGCTATATACCAGGGGTTCCCAATCTTTTTTATCCCGCGGCGCAGTTACAAATTTAGTACTTTATCACGGCGCCCTGCTCTTTAAAAAAGAAGAAATAGGCACCTATAATAATTGTTTATGATAGTAGTTAGGTTAGATAGGATTATAAATTAAAACACTTACAATCAAACAGACTTTTTAATATTATAAAATAATTAAAACTGGAAATAACTTGTGTATTTCTTAAGTCTTATGAAAAACAAAAATAAAATATGTACGATTGTCAGTCAAATCAATGTGATGGGTGAGCTTGGTGATATGCACACAGTTTTTCAAAGCGGGGAATAAGACTTGACACTGCTACTCTCATTTCTTTCTCCACATTGATTCTCGAGCGATATTTGTTCTTAATTACAGCTACAGCTGAAAAACCAGACTCGCATAAATATGACGTTGCAAACGGAATGAAAATTCTTAAAGCTTTTGAAGCTAAATTTGGATATTCATTTTGAATTGATAACCAAAACTCCAACAAGTCGGAAGTGATGAATCTAGTTTTAAGACTGCTGTCGCAAGAGAGCTCAATGAGACTCTCTTCATCTTGTGATGTGAACCCTGGTGGAGCTTGTGCGTGGAAAGGATCTTTGATCCATGCAAATTTTTCAACATCATCATCTTTAAAGTACGCCGAAAACCATTCGCTGAGCTTCAATAGGTGTTCCGTGAAGAGGGCAATCAGGTCTGGTGAGACAACCAATTCATTAGATGCCGCATATTTATACAGCTGCGGGAAGCAATCTTGACCGCCGCCTTCATTCATTTTATTTATCCACAACTGTAGTTTCTTTTTAAATGCCGCAATTCTCTCCGATAGTTTCAGAATGTGCGTGTTATTACCTTGCAAAGACAGATTCAAATTATTTAGTTTCTCAAATATATCGCACAAATATGCTAGTTTTAACAAAAAGTCTGGTTCAGTAAAATATTTGGCGCTTTCATGACGTTCTTGCTGTAAAAAAGTTCGAATTTCTTCGTGTAATTCGAACACACGAAATAAAACATTTCCACGTGATAGCCACCGTGAATTGCAATAATACAGCAGGGCCGTATGCTCAGCCCCCATATCCAAGCATAGTTTTTTAAAAAGTCTGGCCTTAAGAGGCCTAGTTTTTATGTAGTTTACTACGTTAATTACAGATTCCAGTACTTGGTTAAGTTCGGAGCTCATAGATTTTGATGCAAGAGCTTCTCTATGGATGATGCAATGGGTCCACAAAGCATTCGGTGCTTTTTTACGAATAAGCGCTTGTACTCCTCCATACCTGCCAGACATGGATCGAGCGCCATCAGTACAAATACCAATACACTTTTCCCAATTCAAACCATTTTCTACAAAAAAATTGTCAATAATTTCAAATAAGTCTTGGGCCTTCGCACTTTCGGTAATGGTTTTGCAGAATAACAGATCTTCGACAATAATATTGTCAGTCAGAAAGCGTACGTAGCAAATAAGATGCGCATCATTATTACTGTCAGTAGCCTCATCAAGTTGCAAACCAAAATAATTGTTTTTGATTTTTTCTATTAATTGGTAATTGAGATCCTCAGCTATGTCATGGATTCTTCGACCGATCGTGTTGTTAGATAAGGGTACCTTGGAAATTAATTTTCCTGCCGATTCTCCAACCATAATGTTTACCATGTCGAGAGCAGCCGGTAGAATAAGCTCTTCTGCAATAGTATGAGGTTTTTTGCATTTTGCCACCCTGTATGCTACCTTGAATGATGCTAACAGTGCGTTGTTAGGTACTGAGGCTTGCTGAGTGAATACGTTTTTTGTTTTATTTAAATTTTGTAATTTTCGGTGAAAAAAATCACGCGATTTTTCAACCATAGTTGGATGAATTGTCTCAAGATGTCGCTTTAACTTACTTGGAAGCATACTTTCGGATGACAATATTTTTAAACAAAGCACACACTGCGGTCTTTCTTCATTATTAACTTCTATTGAAGTAAAACCAAAGTCCAAATAGCTATCATCGTATTTACGATATTTCCGCTTCTTTGCTTCCTTGCCATTACTAGTTGATGCATTATCACTGTCATTTGGACTGCCAACTTGTTTATTTAATAAAAATCTGTCCATTTTGCGTGAGATATTTGACGAAAAACAAAGCGAAAGAAAACACTATGACACGTCCGTCCGTCGCAGCTCGCCCGATGCTACTAAAGACTTAGGAGGGGGGGTAGGGTATCAGGGCGGCGCGGGCGTAGGTTTTTTGGCGAGTGAGAAACGCCGCGACGCGATGGTTAGTAGGTAACTATGTTTTTATAGATGCGAGGGCTCAAATAAGGTACCCGCGTATATTTGTTTCGGACATGTTTCGGATAATGAATGATGATGGACTTACGGCGCCCCTCTTTACATTCTACGGCGCACCAGGGCGCCGCGGCGCACACTTTGGGAACCCCTGCTATATACTATTCACAACTAATCAATATTTGTAGGTAACTAAATAAATAAGAACCAAAAGTTCCGATTTTCACGAAATTACTTCGACAACAATTGCTTCGACAACACCGTGTCTTTATCAGCTTTATTACATTTGATAAAGACACGGTGTTGTCGAAATAATTGTCATGTTAAAATATATAATTTCCTGAAAATCTGAACTTTTAGTTCTTATTTATTTTGTTAAATAGATTTTCATCAAGTAAAAGCCGCCTCAGTTTAATATTTGTAGGTAATTTTAATTACAGTAATAACAAAATATATATATATATATATATTTCATAAGGTCTGGCGCATATGAATTGAACCAAAAGCTTCTATAGCATTACTATTGAATGCCGTTACCTTTTCCTTTTAAAATGGCATCGATTCTCATCTGCACAGTGTTCACTAAGGTTTTACATTATTCGGGTTGAAAGTTATCCCAAATTTCCTGAAGTTTTTGCCTCAGTTCGGGAATAGTGTGGACTGGAGAAGTTCGGAGTGCGTTATTTACTTGATGCCCTAAAGTCTCAATTGGAGATAAATCCGGGCTACTTAAGGCCATTTTAAAATAGATATATTCTTCATGACTTAGTTCCACCAAACTCAATGGACGGCAGCAATTGTTCTTCTAAAATAACGTTGTATTTTGCAGGCAAGAACTGAGCCATCATTAAAAAACATACATTGGACTCCTCGGGTCCCATTGACGCGGTAGCCAGGTTTTGGGATCCCATGGCCCATAAAAGTCGTTTTTTGTATTACAGCAGAAATTTCTCGAGGTATGGTAAAAATGTTTGCCATTTTGTGCCCAGAAAGTCCATTTTTGTGGGCAGAAACAATGGAATTTCGCTTATCCATCGTTTTGCGACAAACTGACTTAAGACGCCAAATTGAGTACTATACGCAACCGTGTTTTGTATCATTATTTGCGTGAGACGGAATAAAATATATATATTTTTTTTATTGTAGTAACTAAAATAACAAATATTGTTGATTAAATTATGTCGATCAAATTACCTTGGTTGTTTTTATTAGTTATTTTAAATAAGTAAAAATTACTTGATTAATTGCGTGAGTGAGTTTTGCAGAATGGGATGCGTCGAGATGTTTTTTTTGTTATCAGACAAAACCCGTGCACGCTGTTGTGACGATCATTTTAACATAAATTTTTCATACCGAATACTAATCAATTTACTAAATTTAAGTGGACCAGATTACTTTAACATTATTATTTTTATCTACCCAGGTACATAATCTTAAAATTATATTATTTAGAGAATTCCCAAGTGGCTATTTTGGTTAGAAAATTTATTTCTGTATTGATCTTGCGTAATTACTTCGTAATATAAATCCATAAAATAAAAATTGTTCAATTAACAATGGACTTAATAAATTTCAACTAATTATCCAACTTATTTAATTTAATACAAATATTCCAGGGAATATTTCAAAAATTAAATTATTAAGTTCATTTTAATAGCTTCATACCTTGATTTTAAATAAAATTAATTGTTGCCATATTCTTACTACAACCTGATACAATCTTCAAAACTTAAATAACCTCAAAAGGCCTGGAATTTTGATAGTATGATTTACTTATAAAATGATAATTTAAGGCAATTTGATATGGTGCCAGTAATTGGAATCTCAAAATACTGCTTGCAATAAATTTTGCATGTTGCTCGACATGGTCCAAACAGACCACCTGAGTGCAGGCAGCATTGTTAACCACAAATCGATACTTAAATGTAACCGTTAGTCGGCTAGTCAAATAATTTTTCAGCTTGTATTTTCTGACTTTGATTTGGCAAACAAAAGTACAAGTAAAAAAAATTACGCCGGCCGGTAAACCTTGCGTACCAGCCCATTAGCTGCCAAACTGGCATGCTAATAGACCATATTTCTTGCGCCTTGTGCATTGCAAGCTTTATTGCGCCATATCGAACGGCCTTTAAGGCTCTACTAACCACTATTAACCAAGTAATTTGTGTCGTGTTTGGATTTGGAACCAGTTAACTTTTATTAATATTGAATAAATCCGTAAAGGCTTTGAATCGCGATCGATACCAAACGAACTAATCGTATGAAAACCACGTAACTATTCCAACCTTTACTTCTCAAGTAGATTAACACGTTTTCCGCTAGAGGTCTCATTGAACTGCAAAATCGCTACTAAGCTGTTGCCAATCCCCCTTTCATTTTTTTACTATGTATGTATAGCTCATATCAAATAAACTTATATTGCTAGTGCTACCATAATCGCAAACCATGCAAATATTCAACGCCAGATTGAATTAATTCGAATCTAAAATTACCACTCTCCATTCAGTTGGTAGCACTACTTCAAAAAAACCAGAACCTTGATTACGTTTTGGCTGCATTACGAGTTCATGGTGTAGGTGAATTTTGTGCTCCTTTAAGCTTAAAATTTTATATTAATTTTTTGTCACACAATTTGTGCAAAGTGTGCAAGATGCGCAAACAAAGAATTAATCGCATCTTTGTTACAATATTTTGAAAGGGAACACTTCCTAGAAATGATGTGCTTTTTTTGGTTGGTTTGCAAGTCAGCTGTTCAAGAACTTGGGTGAACCATCTGTCATTGTTATTATTATTCATGTTGACGTCGACTGTACTAATTCTACACAATTCAGTGATGTAGAATAACAAACGAAAATATTCTCCACGTACCTAAATATCAATTATCTAACAATTAATTTTTAGAGGTACAAAACATTACTGTTATGTTGAAGCTTTATATTGTAACGAATATTTATATGATATCTAAAATTTTATTTGATATGAGCTATAGATGTTAAGGTCACAAAAGCAACACCCACCCAAAATTTTCCCTTCTCTTGATCTTCTGCCCTCTAGTGTAACTTAGGGTCTTAGTTTGCCTTTCCTTTCATCAATGGTAGAAATTCTGAACCACAAACGAAATAAGAATTGTACGTTTTCACTTCGAAAAAAGCTAATACATCGCAATGACAATTTGACGATTTAAGCCGAAAAAACAATCAGGAAATGCACTTTATCGTAAAATATAACACAATGTCAAGAACTTATTTATAGATAGGCCTGCTCAAGGTCAGATTAAAAACTATTTATTACATTAGAAATACCAAAAGTATGTCGAACTTCCATTGTCTTTATTTTTATTTTTAACTTGCACAACGTTTTTATTAGAAACAATGAAAACATCTTCAGCAATTTGGCAACCTCTAATAAGGCGCACCAATGCTAGCGTTCTAGTTGAACAACTTCACGCTTGACTACACCCGACTTCGTCATGGATGAGCACCGTCGCCTAGTATATAAACCTTGTAGCGTTAGAATTAAATTTAGTTTACACTTGATAACGGGTAGTGATGCAAATGTCCGAAATGTTGTGTAAGTTAAAAATAAAAATAAAGACAATCGAAGTTCGACATCCTTTTAGTATTTCTATTTTTCACCTTCAAGCAAATATTTATTACATTGGTATAAAATCTGCGAGAACGCAAATCACATATGTGCAGAAACTGTACCAACCTTGTCCTCCAGTTCCAGGGTCTTCGGAGGGTAGTTGGGTATGAAAATGTTGTATTGGCTACTGACCACTTTCGCTTTCAGAGTGGCGACGTCCATCGAATTCTTACTGTCAATCGACGAGTCGAGCTTCGTTGGTATCGCGTCGTCCACGTTCGCGGCGTGACCCGCTAAAAAAAACCAAAACAAAAATTAATCTAAACCTAACCTCACCCGCAATGACTAAACGCAAAGATAAAACTTTTATCCCCTTATCGCCCACTCGAAGAATAAAGAAAATCGGTATAAGGAAACGTTCCCAATTATTTAATTTAATTATCTTCCCATTTTGAATAGAAATTTACAATACATTATATTTGTGACGTATCATAACATACAAGGTGTTTGTTGAAGTTTGACAACATTATCATTTAAACTAATGAGGAGCTAATTTTGCACCAACTAGGTAAAAATGGTGAAGTTATCTGCAGTTATTTCAAAAATGACCGTCATCAGCTTCACTGTGTTTATACCCTACGGATTTTCGCACAAACTTTTTCTATAGATATATTTTTTGAAGCACCCCGTACACTACTGATTTGAATACAAGAATTATAACCATTTTATCGTAATTAGAAGAGACTAAAGTGATGTTTGAGCTCAACTTTTTCGATACCTCAAACCGAGAAAAAAACTGAAATTACGTTTTTCGATTCTCCCCGAAAAAGAAAAACTCACAAATCTGCCAAGTCGCTTTCGAAGTGAATTTGGGGCCCGATTCCGCTGGGGCAGCTTGTTCCTCGTAGGTCTGGGCCAGTTGGTCGTTCTCGAGCAAGCCGACAGTCTCCATGTCGGTATATTCCTTTTCGCGCATGGCTCTGGACCGTTTCGCCTCCTCCAGGAAATGAATGTCCCTTTGCGTTTCCCCAACGTTGACGTTGCACGGGAGACTCCCTGGCGGGTGCGGGAGAAAAAGAAACACGTGACAACGTCGCAATTAATTTGCTAGCAATTAGGACAGCTACGGCAAGCAACTTTTATTTAATTTATGCATTACACTTTGTGTTTATGTTTTGAGTCAATAATAAAAGGGCGCCATTATTTGACAAAAACTTCCACCGCCCTTTTTGCAGCACAGAGAGAGAGAGAGAGAGAGTGTCTCTTAACACAAAAGGAAGCAACAACCACAGTTAAATATTTAAAGTATGTGAAGGGTGTCAACATAAAAAGGAACAGATGAAATTATAATGACATCAATTTTTTGGATAAAATTCTAAGTTAATTGTTTTTTTTTAGGTACACTGAAATTTTGATAACGATATTTGGCAGAAATGACAGTTAAATTTTTCATTGGGCACGTGACAAACGAAGCGCAACGCTGAACAATAGGAAAACACATTTTGTAAATTAAGTCTTGTAATAATTGATGCAGCTTTGTGAAATTCGATGTCCTGGGTTCTACCAAAATAACTCTTTTTTTATTATATAAAACATGGCTGTATGATATGAACCAAAAAACGAAACATATTTCGAATTTATACTTCATTACCACGAAAATGAATCACCATGGTAATAACGTTCGCTGGGAGATCAATCCCCGAAAAATCGTTTCAAAACAAAGGCGGCCGCAAAATGTATTATTTGTTTGGAATTCGACCAACATTCAGCTCAGCTGTGGCATCGACCAGAGCCACGCACGTACCACAACATGGGTGTAGGTTTTTCACGTTTTCTAGGTTACGGCAAGGCGTGAGTTAATTCGCACCTAACGTACCTTCCAAAGGAGAACGCGAGTAATCGACAAGACGCGAATCGCGAGCGGAAAATGTTTTACTCAATCGAAAAACGTTGCATAATTCGACACGGAAAAACCGCCTATAACGTCCGTGGTGACACGGCGAAAAAAATCAATGTAGCCGTGCCTCCGCCAAACGATCGAACGTCCCCAACCAACATCTGCCGACCGTTAAAATGTTTGCCGCAAAACCCGAAAATTCACTTACATGTCACCTCGCTCCCCGTCACAGAGTCCACCACGTTTTGCGACCGATTGCCGATGGAACCTCTCAACAAGTAGGGAAGCTCGGCCATGACGTTTCAGCCGAGATAGGAATCCTTACGCCGACGGAATTCTCGACACAACTACATGCACATTTTCGCAAACGTCCAGCGCCGAATATCGCGTCAAAACGGTGCCCGAAACGCGCGCGTTTTACCGAAAAACCATCATCGGCGAGGCAGGGCCCCGCGCTACGCGAAAAACTCAAAAAGAAAAACTCGGACGGGCAGAGAACAATCGCACGGAAAAGTGGCGAGGTTATGTTCGTCACGGCCGATGTTGCGGTGCGCGACGTTGTCGGGTTTCGCCTTAAAACTGTGAGCGCCCTCCGAATTATTGTCGGGACGGCCTTGAGAACCCGATGCCTCAGCTAGCGGCAGCGGAACGATATTTCGCTCGGCTTGCATGTATACGCGGTGAGCCAAAAAAAGAAACGCTTCTGGCGGACTGTCGCACGGATGTTGGCTCGTGTGTAAAAGCAGTACGGCGATGAAAATATTTGGCCCGTTATTTAAATTTTGTGGGCTATTTTCGGTGTTTTGGGTCTTTGTTGTTTTGTAAATTTTCATTCACACGGAAAGCGCTAAAAATATGAAGTCTCTAATGCTGCCTTGAAAGCGCCGTGCCATGCTATCTACAGGACGGCCCAAATGTCATGTCGAAAATGGCTTTGGCCACTGTCATAATCCCCGCAGATTTTGATTTTAGCTCAAAAAGCTAGAATGTGTTGGTTAACTTTTTAATGGATGAAGAAGCTGTTGAGAAGAGTCATCTAATATGAAAACTCTTTTCAAGGCAATATTTTCTCAACATATGCACAGAACTAGTTAAACCCTCCGGGAAAACGAGGTAAGTGTGTGAAAATCGCTATTTAAAAAGAAAATGGCAAAAAGTGGAGGTTAGTTGAAATGTGAAGGCATGCGCTGAACATTATTATCAGTGCCGCAGGCGGCACATCAATTATTACAGCAGTAGGGCCACTTTATTATTTCATGATTTCCAAACAATAAAACTACAAATTACTACATTGCTACTAGAAATAATCTATTTCGAAATACATAAAAATATTTTAAGTATTCGAAATACAGGTTTAGAAAAAACATTTATAGCAGGTAAAATCAGAATTTTAACATAATTTTTTTTATTTAATAACTTTTTCAGATCAAGCAATCTAAAATTCATTGTTCCTTCTTCCCTTTTCTTTGTATCCAGCTTTGTCTTCAAGATAAAAATTAAATACCGTTCCTCTGCATGTTCTTGGACCATTCGAAGTAATCGATTGTTTATTAATTATTCAAAAACTTTAAAAATGTTGTTCATAATACAAGCAACTCTTTTAGTAATTGAATAAATCTAATTAACCGCGACGCATTACCATTTTTTTAGTCCAGATTAAACGAAGACGACGGGCACGAAAATAGTAAAAATTAACCAAAATATTATTTGTTCAAAGTCAGTGACACGCCACTGATTTCATTTAAAAAAATAAGTGACATATTTAGATTTGATCTCTTTTTTTTTAGTGCGTCGCACGGTCTTGACTTGAAAATAAAAACCAATTTTATTAACGATATTGTTACGACCATGGAGAGAAGAGGTTTTATTTCTTAAAAGCGTAGATATCGGATTCAGAAAAAAATCAAGAAATTATATTTCTACACACTAAATAATGCTTCTTGATACATGTGTGCCAAATTTTATTAAAATATATAAAGTGGTATTAAAGATATTAAAAAAGTATATATTTTATTCTTGAACAAAAAATTGCCCCCTTATTGACGTTCAATTAGAAAACACCCTGCATAGCCTGGACCAAACAGTTTTAATAATGACCTTTTCATTATCTAGCGATTTTATTTCTATACAAGGTTATTGTACAACTTTATTTTCTATTTCTACACATTTTACATTTTCAGCATTATTGCAACAATTCGCGGAAAAGAGACTTGTTTGTAGCTAACAAGCTAGCATAGAACGGATAATTTGGTTGTAACAAGGGCTAAAGTGCCAATGAAATTTCGAAGTTTGTTCCGCTTGGCAAATAAATTTATAAGCCGCTAGATTTTTAGTTTGTTACCAATAATTCGCTGTATATTGTACTCATCATAACAGTTATACAAGATTAGGTTTCTCAAGGCGCGGCCTCAAGCGACGCATAATATTTCCATTGCTCTAACCTTTTTCTTTCTTGTAATAAAACAATTTTTGAAAAGATTGATATGGAAGCGTTCGAACGTTAGACGGAGAGGCAATAGTATATTACGCAACAAGTGCGGTAAACGGCATTTGACTCACGTCAATAAACGAGTGACTTAAAAGTTTACCGAACGCAACATACATAACGGGAATGCATTCACTGACATGACCGTCAGAACTGACAAACGTCAAAATTCAAAACGTGCGGTAATATCCCGGAAATGTCCGAAGTGGCTCGGATTCATGGGAAACGAAACTGACGTGGTAAAGTGACGCTTCCCGCACGCTAGATCGGTGTGTGATTAGGTATTTTACAGACGGGAGTAGAAAAATATAATTCTGCTCGTAGTTATGTTGAATGTAAAAGTAAAAAGTTTGGTTACATTACGAATACCAAATTGGCTGTGCTCTCGGGACACCCTATAGATCCCGGGCAATTTGGCCCGTTCACCGAAACGGCCGATAAATATAAGATAACGCGCAGCCCACTGCAATCTCTTACCGAATGGAACGGACGATCTGTTTTTCGAGAAAGACGGATAGGCAACGTGGCGAGAGATGATAAAAACGGCATTTTTACAATCGGGCACAGGCGCTTGATAAACTTTTTGTTCCGATAAGCCCGGATTATTGGTGCTTTTTTTTCTAGTCTCTCGACGATGCTAATCCAAAATCGGACCGAGAATAAATATAAGTTTCTAGCGCCCGTGTCAACGAACAAATAACGTGATGAAAAATTAAACATTAAATTGAGCAGGTTGGACGAGATTTAAAGTCTCGTTTTTTTACCAATGACCTTGCGACATTCAACAGTCAACATGGCCGCTGACGGATCATCAATAAGTTTGGATACGTAATTTTTGTAGCAGTAAAATACCATCTTGATCAAAAATAAAAGTTTATTCATCTAAATCTATATTGTCACCTTCAGTGTTTTTTTTTGACTCCAATGAACAGAAAGAAGTCACAGAGAGCCAAATCAGGTGAATCAGGTGGCTGTTGGATGGTATTTGTTGCATATTTCGCCACCAAAATTTCACACAGTTGTAATCGATGAAGACGACTTGGTTTTTTTGGTCTCGGCTCATTTGGTGAACTCCATTCACTTGTCTGATCTCTGACGGTTAATTTGCGATTATTGACCAACATTCCTGCTACGTTATCAATGTTTCGTCGGTTTTAGATCTCGATGGTCTGCCATTGCGTTCATCATCCGTTGGCTCAAGACCATTTTTGAACCACTCGTGCTACTGGTAAATGATTCTTTAGATAATCGCTGCCGAAACACTTTTCCAACATTTCCGCCGTTCAAGCACCATTAAAACACACAAAGATAAGATGTATTCTTGGCTAGGTAAATTTTCCAAATGTAGAGCAATGACGTTAAGATTTAGAGGAAATGTCAACAGATGTACCAACATAACGAAAAAAAACTTAAATCACAACAATGTGTGCGCCACGCGGTAGTTATTCCGGGAACTTTAGAAGAGAAAGATAGAGTCGAAAAAAATAATGGAGTAAAGTGTGGATTAGTGGCCGAAATTTCGAGGCATGCGCAAATATGACATTGGTAAAGATCTTGAGTTTTGCGTTATTTACCGACGACGTAATTAAAAAAAAAAATCCTGTATTTTGAGGATTGACTCACTCTCTAAATAATAACTTGCAAGCTTAATTAATACAGTGAAGTGTAATGTAGTGCCTTAACACTGTGGGTGTAGCTGTTAAATATGACTAACATTTTTTTGATAAAACAATTTTTGTGACTTGGGGACACTATACGTTCTAGTATCTGAATTCCATATATTTTTACATAAGGCATGCTTGTGTAGAATTCTTCACTAGGTATATTAAAGATCGTTCGAAATATTAATATTAATATTAAGTACTTCATTTTGTAGCTTTTTTATTTATTTTATTTATGTTAATAAAGTACTGGCAGATACAAAAGTAACAAAAAATATTATTTAACTCATATGTAACAATGGGTACAATTATCACATTAATAGACTGAAAAAAATAATATTAAATAGTTTTCGTCTATCTTATCGCCATAAGCGCCATCATTTGATTGCGCTGACATGTATAGACTAATTTTTTTTTGTATAAACTCTATACACGTTTTATTATGTTAGGTTACATTTCAGGTTAGGTTTCGTGATCATAATTATTCCATCCAATGCCTCTGTAATTAACTATTATACTAATTTGTACCGCCACCTAATTTTTTTAAATAAATAAAATATCATAGTCACCTGAAGATATTTTTTTTCCTTAGCAGGCACTCTATGCTTCATTGTAATTAAGATTAAGATCAAAAGTTCCCACGTAAACAAGGGTCCGGAATAATTCCTCCTTAAATAATTCTCAAATACTTGAATTCCTCTTTATTATCTACTGCAAAATATGCATTTCCGAGAAATAAATACCAACAACTATCACGTTTTTGATTAGGTTTTCGTGTTTATCTCGCAAAGGATTCATTTCCCGTTGATATTAAATATCACTAAAATACTCATAATATTGATCTTCTAAGCAATCTAAACGTTCCAAATTTCAAATAGAAATCTTAAGAATTCGTGTCACTGTGTATACGAATACATTTGAACAGATCGAAAATCATAGATTTCAGTATCGTCATCGTTTCTATTATTCTATGATCAGCGACTCCGATAACCGTTTCAATTTAATGGTTACATATTTTCGTGCAATAACAGCATTTTTATTAGAAAGTCTTGGTTCCGCAAGGTGCACAAGAACTTTTGCAACACCTTACAGTTGCAGTGTTTGATAGGTTAATGTAGCACTATTCCATTCGTCATATTATGATTGTTATTATGACTGACAAGGCGATTTTTTAATTTACAAGTTTAACGACGCGTTAATGTCACGGAATGACAAAAAGGATTTCGTGCGAGCCATGACGTCACTTATCCTCCTCGAAACCAAGTTCATGCGTTATTTGTATGGGAACATAAAATAGTTTGATTCTTAAATTTCTATTAGACGACGCGGTAACTAATATCGAACCTCTGCTATTACGTCATGAATCCCCTTTTGAAAATTAACCACCCTCGCTTTACTTACCAATTAGTCCAAGCTATGGCAGACATTATTTTGGAAAATGTCGCCCAGTTGCTATGCAAAAAACCTTTCATTCGACAAAATGACAATGCAATGGAGGCCCTTTCATGGGACACACTATTTTTTAAATAGAAACAAAAAAAGCAGAATACATAATTGCCAATTTCCAAGAGAAAAAAAAAAACACAACACACAACCTTTTCTGAATATTTTTTACCAAAAAAAAAAAAAATACAGCTAGTATAAACCTGGGAAAATCATAGGCCAAATGCCAAAACAAAGCAGTCCACTATTTTCACTTTGAGTGCCCTATTAGAAGTTCTGCAGAAATAAATTCACCCACTTCAAATCTAAATTCAAATGTATATTGGTACCATTTCCTGATTTTTTGCGCAAAATTTTGAGTAACTTTGGTTCGTATTTGCCCTCGGTTTTTTTTTTTTAAACAGCACTTTATTAAAACTTAATATCTTTTTGCCTAAGTGGGCTAGCTATTTCAAAAAATTCCAGGAAAATAACATTCATTTTGCGAAAGTTCCATAGTAGTCCTCAGGAGCACGATAGAAAAAGAAGAAACGACAAGAAGCCGCGAAGCGTTCTTCATGTCTTGCAGGCTACTTTTCATCTCCTCCTCTGGTAGTATTTTTAGGTTCAGTTCCTTGAGTTTTCCAGTTTATGTTTCATCTATTTCCTTTAGTTGTCTTCTATATAATTCTTCGTAGAAGTTTTTTGTTATCTCCGATATTTTCTTCCTATTTGTTGTTGTGTTTCCTTCTCAGCCTTTTAGTTTAAAAACTTCTTTTGGAGGAATAAGGAATGAAAAAAATATTTTTTTCTGCGAATTTTTTGATTGACTTAATTTGTTGTAAATATGAAAACGCCGTGGAAATTTGCCCGTAACCTTGCGGGAAACTCAATTTTTAACGTTTCTCGAATAATAATCTGTTTTTACAGGTGGTTTTGGTGGTTGCCGATCGAAACCCGAAACTAATAAGCGACTCACCCCCTTCCCTTTGGCGGGCGCTAACCCTCACCATCGTCGAGCATCCCGACGCCGACGACGATGTCGATGATTTCCGACCCCCCCGCAACCGTCTCGTACTCTCGAACAGCTCCTCCTTGGCGAGGTTGTCCAGGCTGCCGCCGTGGGTGCCCCGCTCGCTCACGGACCTGCCGTCTAGGGTGGAGGAGGCGCAGCACCCGGTGGAGCGCCGCCCGCGGGGCCCCCCGTGCCGATGCCGCCGCGCTGTCGGATTGCAGTGGCGTACGAGCTCGGAACCGCCAGCGGACGTCGCCCGGGCTATACGTTCGGTCTCTTCCGCTTGAAGCAGAAGGTCCTGCGTCAAACAAACATTATTTGGCCGCGCAAAAAAAAAATCGAAACAAAAATTATTAAATTAAAGTCAAATTTCACTTTTCGCAAACTAGAATATGCAATAGTATATTATGCAACAAGTGCGGTAAATGGCATTTGACTCACGACTTTATGTGACACTAGCGGAGCGCAGCGGAACGAGTGAATTAAAAGGTTTACCGAACGTGTTGCATACTATACTTTTTTTAAGACCGTTAGTTTTTGGGTACATTTTCGCAAACTAATGCGAATACATTTACTGACATGAGCGTCAGAATTGATAAACGTCAAATTTCAAAGCGCGGGAAATATCTCCGAAAACATCCGATTGCTCCCAAACCCGCGCGGTAAAATTACGGAAATGTCCGAAGTGGCTCGGATCCGTGGGAAACGAAACTGACGTAATAAAGTGACGCGTCCCGCACTCTAGATTTGCACAAACATGATGGGACAACGGACACTTATATAAGTCTGATCTCTCATTGGTTGCCGAGTTGAAATGTCCTACGCTCAATAATATCTAGAGTTATTAAAATACAAGGTTTCATGTAATGAGTAATAAACAATATATTATTATTGTCGAGAAAAAATAAAATGGGGCATGTTATGCAAAAAATTTGCAACCCTCAAATCAATAATATTGAGATATTTGTAAATGAACTTTTTTCTAAATAAGAAAATCAGCAGCCAACGCATGCAGAACTGAATACAAAAAAGCAGTAGCAGTAGTACGAGTATCATCTTATCTTACTTTAAAGTATAACAGATTTTTTTTCAAAAATACCAACAATTTTATGGCTTTCTAGGATTTTGCAAATTGAAAATGAGCAATAGCAAGTATCAACAAATTATTATATTAAAGAATAATGATGGAAAAATATAAAATTCGATAGCTTAAGTATCCGCATTGAAATCTAGATCCTCCACGTCGAATCCATCTACATTTTCAACTATACGTTTATCTGATTTTAAGCTGCTATAAAAAGACAGAGCATCTTCCTGTATATGAAGCACCAGTTCTTAAACACTAGATATGTGAAAGGTGAACTAATGGTTGCGGACGGTCTTCCTCTCAGATTTTTTAAAATATTTATTGCCCGGCATTCAATAGCGAAAATAATTTCTTTAACTGAGACTATAAAACGGGTCATTCCTTTGTAATTTAATCGATTTAATATGTAGCCAGTCTTTTTTTTTCTACTGTTTCGATTTGTCGTCTGTTTACAATATTTTTTCAATATTTGAAACACCATAAAAATTATTCGATAAACACATAAACACCTTGGAATGATTTTAATTAAATTTAAATCCGAGTCGTTCTGTAATTCAAGTCAGACATTTTCCGTTTGACTCAAGCTCTGAAGAAGCCAACAGGATGATTGGCGAAACGTCAGCAATTTCGACTAAGCAAAAACCGACGCAGCAGGAATCCAGAAGTTTTGTAAAAAGCATTAAAGTAGCCTGTGGAGGTTTCTTTTAAAAATTAAAGTCACTTTACTTACCGACTAGTCCACTAGATTTTAATTGTAGGTTATAGCACGTAGTATTTAAATTGTCTGATATATTGCGTAACATTTTTCTGTGTATTAGTTTTTGGGTACATTTTTGCAAAACAACAAGAACACATTCACTGACATGACCGTCAGAATAGAGAAACGTCAAAATTCAAACCGTGCGGCAAAATCTCCGAAAACATCCGATTGCTCCCAAACCCGTGCGGTACAATTCCGGAAATGTCCGAAGTGGTTCGGATTCGTGGGAAACGAAACTGACGTGGTAAAGTGACGCTTCCCGCACGCTAGATCGGCGCGTAATTAGGCATTTTGTAGACGGGAGTAGAAAAAAACTCTTTTAATAGAGACACTATTAGTAGAAAGCACTTAATTAGACTGAACCAACCATCCATTATCTGGAAGGATGCGCCACTGAAGCGCAACATTCCCCGGCAAAAGGTCAGAGATTAATAATTACTCACATTTGTAGCAAAAACGGATTTGTGACTCTTTTACATTTCAATCAAAACGGAGTGGAGTTATTATAGTTGCTGTTGCCGAGACTGATGTTTTTGAAGACTACTTCCAGTATCTTATTACTCTTGGGCCTGTTATAGCCGTCCGAAAAAATACCCCCGTCTTTTTGGCAAAAAATACCACCATTTGTTCGCTTACTGTAAGCAATTTGCGAAAGATGCTGAAAAGGAGATACTGGATATTGCAAATTTGAATAAACCCCTTTATCGCTTCAAAACGAAATACTTCGTCTACTGCCATATCACTGTAAATGATCAATAAAGTAAAGTAAATGGTAAAAGGGTTCGTAACAAGGCAAAACGCCACTTTTAAAATGAGGGACGCTGAAACCCTCTTCCAAGGAAGACTAAAGACAGTGGAAATGGAAAAAATATGATATGCTGATAACATGCTAAGAACACTGAGAGGAGCCCATTATTATTTCTTGGGCCTCCTCCAACTACAGTCCATGCAAATTTGCAAATGAATGAAATACTATTTACCTACTTTCATATTATTTTAAATTCTATATAAATTGTTATTAGATCTTAGAATAATTACTATCTCAATTGTGTTATCATTATAATAACGTATAATTATTACATTCATTATTCTAATAAATTATCTGTAGTGAAGCCACCATCACTTTCATTCATCAAACTCGCCTTATGTATTGTATGCAAATTAGCAGGACTCTAATTTAGGAAGGATTGGAGCTGTGTAGATCGTAAAAACTGAAATACGGAAACTCATTGAAACTGATCTCAACTTTACGATATACCTTTTAAGTTGTCGATCCATACAAATTTACATTTTATTACTCCCTCGCATTAAAAAAAAAAAAGGAAATATAAATTCAAAGCCCTTGCTGATGCTGATTAATAAAGGAACTTTTGGAAGTCAGACTGAAAAAAAATATGTTGTTAAAATTGTTTCTGTGGTTTAATATCCATAAATAGGCAAAATTTGCCTCACTTTTTTTATCACGTCCTTGTTATTCCAGTTTAGATCAAGTTCAAGTTGAATTTATATTTTGTTTATTCTGCATATAGGTACTGGACCTACAGAAGCCAACTTGTGCATAGAAACTTTGACATTGACCTTGAATGTTGGCAATTCAATAGGCGCACGCGCCATAGTTTCAAATCTCGTTTTCAACCAATAAGACCATTCGATGTTCAACAATCAACATGGCCCTTGACAGTCCTTCCATTTCACAGTTTCCGTTTGGATGTGGCATTTTTTCGTCTGAACTTCGCCTAAATCAGCCGATATTCAATTAAATTTTCAGAAAAAAGAAGAGTCAAATGTGTGGATATTGCTGTTTTAAAGGAAAATTGCCCAAAAAGCAGGTTAGTGTGTAAAATTCATGGGCACGCGCGGAAGATCATTACAAAAATTTCATACGGATCTGTTGTACAATATTAGGGTACCGCTATATTATCTAACAACACTGGTTTGTTTGGTTTTCAGCGTTCTAATCTTAGGGCCACTGCCAATTTTTTTGTTCATTTTTAGCATCACATTATGTCTTGCTTGCTTCTTAAATATAGCTTTTCGCAAAATGTTGTGTTTCTTAGCAGAAAAAGAATACTTTCAGCCCATCTTTGAGTAGAGGAAGACAAAACTAAGCGATTCTAAAGCATGTTTTAAGGTTATATTGTTAAAAGGTCAATTAACTCCTATATATATAACGGGGCCCAAGCATAAACAAGGCAAAGCCTAGGGTGGAACTTTTTTAACAATTAATAATTTTTTGTCATTACAACCAACTTATGTACTTACGTTAAAGAGTTCACTTTTTCCCTCCCGATCTTTGGGATTCTTATAGTTGATGGCTTCATCCAACAACGCTTTAAGTTCCTTATAATTTAAATTCGAGAGTGTCTGAAACAAAAGATATGGAATGGAATTATTTAAAAATATAAAGAAATAAACATTTTTTAATTTGCGTTTCAATATGAACTGCATGAACATTAAATTGGGAATAAACCCAACATTTTTTATAATAGCTTTGTAGATATGGACAACATAACTTGGGATGCGATGTGTATAAAATTTAATTTCTAAAGATGAAATTTAGCCAGAGATCAATAAATGGATCCCACGTTGGTGTAAAATATTCTCAATTTTTATAAAACCGCGCTCACCCAGATTCTTCAATTCTTCATAATTTTATGAAAGATCCACCTTGTATTTACACTTTGAAACGCTAAATATTTTCTAGTTGATCAGCAAAATACCGACGCACATGTGCTTTATTTACCACAAAACTATTTACACAAAATATTAAGACTGATGAATCAGAAAATGTCACATAAGTAAAAAAAAAATGAGTATTGCCGATGCGCAAAATATCTATCTTTAGGAAATCCAACAAAGAAAGTAAAAGCAGGACAGTCAACCTCAATTTTCGCACGGTAATCAATTTTCACCCCAAATACGGCTGGTCATTCTAAAAATTGCACAAAAGCCTTAGAAAAACGGCAACAATTACGAATCCAAATAAATCATTGTTTACCGATATTGTGTGCCGAAAGTATTTATTTTCTTTTTTAAGAAATCATAGCGTGTCAAGACGCAGTAACATATCGATTTATGCAAGAAAATTGATCCACGAAGAGAACCAAGTCACGTTTCGTAACATTGGGGCAAACATTTACCACCGAAAATGAACGAAACGAATTATGTGGAGTAAATATATCGCAAAAATGACAAACGTTATTTACCTCCTCATCCTTTCCGCTTTCCTTTCCGGATTTGTCTTTCGTTTTTTCCAATTTTTGTTTTTCCGGGATTTTATCAGGTGCCTTGGGGGTGTTGTCGTCGTCCGGGGATGGGGCCATATCCTCTGGTCGTACCAAAAAAGAAAAAGTTGTGGGTCGCAATAAAACACGAAAATTTTATTTGCCCGCTTTGCGACGCATGATTACAGTGCACCGCGCGACAGCACGCGACCCTGCCGCTTTAGTAACCTTAAAACGTTACTAGTTTATCTCGACGTAATCTCCGCGAAAAATTAGAAAAAAAATCACATTTTCACCGTCCACCATTACTGTTTAGACGTTTCTACAAACTTCGAATGACGGCTTGACCGCACAACAACCTGAGACGTCACCGCTAGTGACATCTGACATTGTCAAGCCCAACCCGAAATCCACTGACCTCCTGTTTTATCGATTTTGTATTATTAATTATTTATGTATAGATACCGTCGTTTTTGCATTTAAATTTCTTATCTGCAACACGCGAACACTTAGAATGATAACAATTATCGACGTCATGATTTATTTCACTTTTTTAGGAAATTCTATTATGAGAAATGTGCACTTCGGATTTTTCGCGACTATATTTACGAATATGCGCCCTCTATTATGCCCCTTTGGGGGAGCTTTGGTAATTCGTAGCAACAATTGTAATTAAGTTTAAAATCCTATAGCTGACGTCATAAGCATTAGTTCTAGGATTATCACAAGACTTATTTAAACTGACCACATTTTTTACTTGCGATGTGTCACTAGGTTTGAATCCCTGCATCCTTGCGTTACTCATCCAACCAATTGGCGGATCAACTTGAAATTTGAAATATTGACTTTTCTGTAATTGTCAATATTGAGAGTAAATAAAATTAGAAACAACTCATTTGCTTAAGTGAAGCCGAAATGAGCGAGGAAAATATTTTTCTGTTCGTTCCCAACATAATCGGTGAGTGTGTCTATTCATAATGTGGTCGTTATTATAGATATTCCTAATTTTTTACAGGATATGGGCGAATTGTATTGGCAATTATAGCTTTTTATTTTTTGCCCACAAACTATATCGTAGCGTCTACTTGCTACGTAATTTCTGCGTTATTAGATGCCCTCGATGGACATGCTGCTAGGTAAATTATGTTTGCATTGTTATATTCGGTGAGTGTACTAAATGGATTATCTGCCGCAGGTACTTTAAACAAGGCACGAAATTTGGCGCGATGCTGGATCAGCTCACCGATAGGTGCGGCACCATGGGCCTTGTAACAGTGTTAGCTCATCTCTATCCAAAGTACATGTTTCCGTTGATAATGTCAATGGTTATTGATATATCCTGCCATTGGATTTATGTTCACTCGTAGGTTATATTAAATTTAAAAAGTTAGTTTTGTAAAGAAAATTTGTGTTTTAGAGTGATCTTGCAAGGCAAGCAAAGCCACAAATTTGTGGACATGTCAGAGAATCCCATTATGAGTATTTATTACACAAATCGCCCAGTGTTATTCACGATGTGTCTTGGTTATGAAGCCTTTTTCAATGCCCTCTATCTTTTATACTTCACCGAAGGACCAACAAGTACGCTCTTTGGGCAAAACATTTTTATTTTCATAATCCCAATTTTTCCTTTCAGTTATTGGCTTATCTTTATTCAGGATCATCATATATTTGTCAGCGCCAATAATGATTGTCAAGACGTTCATTTCTCTGCTGCATTGTGTGGTCGCTGCTAAAAATATGGCCATTATTGATGTCAATGAACGGAAAGATGCTTTAAAAAAAGAAAAATAGGTGTCAGAAACTTCCCTATTAAGAAATTCTTATAAACTATATCCCCATGGTTTAATATGTCTCCTCTACTACCTGTATCTGGGATGGTTGTACCTAGCAAGTAGAACAGTTATATCATACTGAGGGAAGTCACTCATGTGAAAAGGTGATTACTATTTAATACTTCCACTAAGCCAAAGAATTGGTATTTAATTGTTTAAATGTGTTCTTTTTGAATAGTTTTATATTATTTGTTTCAACCTAACTTATTATCGTATTGTTCAAATTGATGTTTTAAAAGTTGTATCTCTTTGTAATTAGAAATATATTCTAAAAATTTACTACCCAATTTATACTACATAAAATTTAAAGCAACTTTATTTTCATGTTTTAATAGAGATAGTCTTACAAACCAAATTAACAATCCCAATTACTAACAAAATAAAAAATAGCAAAAATATTCCAATGGAAAGAAAATAACAAAACATTTTTACATTTACAGTTTTACATTAGGAAAAAAACTGCATCATATTTTTGAGTTTTATAAAAAACTATTTTATTCAAATTTTGTCTGTTGAGGTAACGCCTTAAAGTTAATACTGCCTACCAAAAATTTTAATTTAACCAACATTTTCAAACTGACATTTTACATTTGAGTCTTTGCCAAAATTCAAATCCACCTTGGAAGGGAAAACAACCTTTAATTTTCCATCTTGGTCCAATATCCTCACTTGACACACTTCTAAATTCTTATCAAACAGAACTGCAGTGTCCTTTAACAGTTCAGATAACACATTTTTGCAGACAAACTGAGATACATTACTGGTTACTTCTATTAATATTTCTGTTGTGGACATTTCAATCTAAAAAAAAAATCTGGCTGTTTTAGATATAAATCTGTAATTAGTGTTTTCTGCTTACTTTGGAAATTTCAGAATTTGTTATGGGCGGAAATGATATAACTTCTTCTTGATTATTCATTAAACATGGATAAGCGGGCTTGCCCTCAATCAAATAAAGATATTTATGTACTCCTGAATAGGTACTCCTTTTTTTTTCTTTACGCAAATTATTTGCTTCAGTTTGAAGTCTTGCAAATAATTCTGCTCCTGTCATTTCAGTTGTCTTGTTTAAAGGTTTAATTTTGAAGTCTCTTGGGGGAAAACTGGTATATAGTAACGGACCTGATCCCTAAAATAATAATAAAATCAATGGTAACAGTTTTACCCATTCAAAAACATTCTTACCAATTTTTTGAAATCATGTGTGGCAATAGTTGCAGAGTTCCTTTTCTCACAAATACTATCGTGCAGTTTATTCTGCAGTTGAATAAATTTTTTGAACAATTCTTCACTAAATGAAACATTACGTAAAATACAACATACTATGTGTTCTCTAATTGACTTTACATTATTATGAATTACTATCTTGAAGTCATTATTGGCTGGTTTAACCGTAATGCAATATTTACATGAGGAATTATTGTCTTCTTCATTTTCGGACTCAGATTTTTGCTTAACTTTGCCCTTTTTGCTTTTATTTGCTCCCGTCACTTGCACTGGTGTAGTTTTCGAACAATGCTGCTTAACATAATCAATAATTTGCTTCGTACGACACTGTTCAATTAATTTAAACAGCCTACGATCTGTTATAGGATTGGACTTAAGGTTGAGCTCTAAAATGGTAGTTACATAAACCCTGTGCAATTGCAACAACTAATTTTACCTTTTAACCTATGACAGTCTGCAAGTTCCCCGGGTAAAACTTTAACTTGATTCCCACTGATATCCAATATTTTTAAAGAAGGCAAAATGTAAATAGTATTTGGTATATTTTCTATTTTATTACCATGTAATTTTATCTCACTTAAATTTGCCAACTGCTCATAACATACATCTGGAAAACATGCTAAATTGTTAAGTGATAAGTCCAGCACACTTAATTTTGAGCTGGTTTTTAATATGGGAAAGCATTCTAATTTATTGTTTGAAAAATTTAAAGTAACAATTTCCGCCAAGTTTGTCAAGTCTTCAGGCAATTTCTCTAAAAAGTTTGTAGATATATCCAAAATTTTCAGTTTAGGTAATTGTGTCAATTTCTTTGAGCACTTCTCTATTCTATTAGAATGTAAAATCAGGGTCTGCAAGTTAATAAGCTTTGAGACATCATCAGGCACTTCTGTAAGACATGTTTCTGTGAAACTGAGGTAATTTAAATCTATCAGGGAAAAAATTTTAGAATCCAAACCATTTTCAGATATTCTTTTGCTGATTTCCGGGCCGGTCAGTACCAATTCTCTACGATTTTCGTCTCTTGCACGTTCTATTTCAGGCCACATTTCTAATATCTAATATTTTTTAATTAACGATTATAATTCCACTATTCAATTTTTTTTTCAAAAAGTTACAAACGAGCACTACTTCGCCTCGCCTCGAGTGCAAATTTTGCAATGAGCACTTAAGTTATAGGCAAATACTGGATTGTTTGAAAAAATAATAGTAGTTCAACTATACAACGATTCTAAAGTCCATAGAATAGCAAAGATTAACTAGACACATTGATACAGAACAAAGAACATATTTTCGGATGTGTGCATTCATTTCGTCAATATAAAAATCCAAATTCCAGTTGAGAGGCACTACAAATAATTTCGTTGTGCTTTCTAGGTAAAACTGCAAGCACTAATATGTGATTTATAAAGACAAAATTTTTAAAGGAATAGAAATGTAGAAATGTAATTTTTTTATATACGTGCCCAAGATACTTCATTCACAATCAAATCATTATGGGAATTATATTAAAAAATATATACGAAATGCGGCCTTGGAAGGTCGTATTGATTTTGTAGTTCAAATGTACCAACGTTGAGGTAGCCACTGCGAGAAAAACAAAAAACCAGTGCTGCAATAATGAGTCCTCTGGCGGTTCTATCTCGAACTACTCTAATTAAAAAGACCCTAACTTTTTGGTGTCTTTGTATTTCTTTTGTCCCTAGAAATCAATGTTGGTAGCTGGGATGCATTGTGGGTAATCGAATGGCGTTTTGGCGTGTTTTGTGATCGTCTGTCGTCTCATCTCCGTTTAAAAAGTGAAATATGCCGCGATCTAAAAAAGTTGTAAGTTAATTTAGGTAGTGAAAGTGAAGTAGAACACTTAGTTGTTGCAAATCTTTGAAAAACACGCTACTTTATTGATGGCTTGCATGAATAAGTGCTGAATTAAAAAAATGGTAATGTCATTTTTTTCTCCTCAATCTTTCCTTGCTTTAATCTGTTTATTTTTGCGATTTTCTTGGCATGTACCCCTTAATTGACCTTAGGGTAGACTTGTTTGCTTCGCCGAATGATCGGCGCAGTCGATTAAATGTTTTTTATGCGTTTTTTATTATGCTTTCGTCGATAAAAGCTACGTTAAAAATTCATAACCAACAAAAAATAGAAAAAAAACACCGTTCGATTCGGCCACGTAGGGCTCGTCTGGCGATGTAACAACGCTAGTTTTTATTTCTTCTGTTGGGGTTCTCGGTGTTTGGCCTTCTAGGGCGTTGGTTCACGCCATATTTGTCTTAAAGTAAAAGAATTGTTTGCATCGCTTCAAACTTGCCTCTTCAAGGCGGCGTTTATGTAACATGAAGTGGGCTTCTGAGCTTGAACACTTCGTCTCTTTTGCAACCTGGAAGAGCATATTAAGGGTACATTTTTTTTGCTTTAGTAGGTTTTCTTAACATTGCATAATTTTTTACAGAATCTTTAAATCTTACTCAAATTGTTTATAATATTGTTAACTAGTCCAAGAAAGTCATGGATGATGAGGAATTGTCTGGTAGTGACTTTGATGATGATGAGGATCCTGATAAGATCGAGGTACCGGGTAAGCGAAGGTGCATTTTCATGCTTTAATCAAAATTACAATCTGTCTGCTTCATAGGTGGAGGCAAAGATTTGGCTTCTGCTGCCTCAATTATGGAAAATAGGGACATCAAATTTAAACAGGAAATGAAGCAAGAGAATGACATCAAGCCCGACCTGAAAATGGGCCCCATGAGTATGGGCTATAACCCAAAATTAGGACTCAACATGCATCCGAGCCCATACGACATGATGCGAGCCCCACCAAGTAAGTGCAGTATTGGTAATTCCAGTTTTTATTGTTTAATTAATTGCGATGATTCAGTACCCAGCTGATTGCCAGAGTGCCAGATTTTGCGTTATTTAGCATTTTACTTGGCTTTTGTATTAACAAGGTTGCCACAGATTTTAGACTATAGCGATAGAATAAAAATACCTTATGTGGTTTTGAGGATTCTGCTTAAACATAATGCACAAATTTCACAAAATAAAATAAGAAACTTAAAATCCAATGATTTAATTCATAGAGGTTTTTAAAGCTATTTTTTAATAATTGAAAGAAGAATTGTCATAAAAAAAACAAAAAAATTTTTTTTTTAATTTGATGTGAACAAGTATTGGCTTAAATATATTTTTGTTAGGATTGTATTTTTAGTTTTGCAGTGGGTATTCTAGATTGTGGTGGGAAATTTGGTTTTAAGGTTGATGGATTGGATAAAGGGGTAACAATAGGTAATAACTTTTTTTTTTTTATTAAAATGCACTTATTTTTATGGAAAATTATAAGTTATGTTCTAGAACAAGCCAATTTTTGTATGTTGTGTTAACACAGTGTGGCAATTTAAAACCATATTGTGGAGATTAGTGACTTCTCTGGTTTAGATTGAATCAACTGAAGGAGGAGGAGTGAAGAAGGGTGTTGGGCCTTGTTTTTTGTTTTTTCAATTAGTTTCCATTGCTGATAAAAATTCAAAATAGTGTGGCTTCAGTGCTAAGCCCGAGAAATTCTCTTCAAACATTCTCCTTTCGTTTTTACATCCATATCAAATTAATGAATAGTAATATTGGGTGTCGTACCTACAAAAATCGAAATGAGAGTTTCCCATTTTGTATGGTATCAGTGGGCGGGCCTCAGTACCCCGGCATGGGCAACCTGGCCGCCATGGCGAGTATGTTAAGCAGTTTGGGAGCCGCGTCGGGCCCGATGGGCCAAATGTTTGCCCCACCGCCCCCAGGTCCCGGGGGCGGCGGTTCTAGCGGGGTACCCGGCGGCTCGGCCGCCTCCGCCGCCGCCGCCTTTAACGCTGCGCAATTCTTGCAGCAGAGTAAGTGTCCCAGAATGTAGGTCTTAGTTTGTTATTGGCTGCACCTGCTGACGCTTGAGGGGAAGATGCCGCAAAATTGACCTGGAAGTTTGCATGGCTTGGCCCTGGATCTTGGTGCCTCATATATATATAAAAGCACCTTCTCGATCCTTTTTTAGAAAAAAATGTATTTTATTTACAATTTATGTATAAGTATATCCCACATTTAAAAATTTAATTACACTAGACTCTTCATGATCCAAGTTAACTTGACTTGAAGCACGATTTATGTTTTGCTAAATGTATGCTTCAAGTGTATATTTCAATCGTTTATATGTTTCAATATTTTTAATAATATACTTAAAATATTGTACTTAACTTACTAAAACTCTACTTTTCAACGAATACATGTTTTATTAGGGAACAAAGAAATACTGGCGTGCTTAGGTATCAGCGCCGAGAATATAATGAGCAACATGGTTTTTTGTTTTCGAAGCATTTCAAGAATCCTATCCAATAACGGCCAAGTGGATTATGGAGATTTTTTTGTACAATTATACTTTTTATAAATAATCCTTTTATACTAAAAACGTATATATAACTTTTTGCTTGCCCGTTGAATATGTTCGGGGTCGAAAATCAATCAAAAATGCACGTATAATTTCGTGGGTCTCCAAAATTATTTTCGTATTGGTGGTATTTGATATATCCTTAACTCTACCACAATATGGCATTAGTTAGAAATCGGGCATGTCACACATATTACTAATCTGGAAGATATTTTCTTTCCGTTTACATCTTACGCGAATTTTAGTGGAAATGGCCGCTTTCGGAATGAACAGTCCGTACGGAAACCCATTTTTGCAAAATCTATCCGCCATGTTGTACAATTCGGGGCCCATTCCGCCGTGGGGAGGTCATCTCAGTAACAAGGTACATTCGAACTACTTTCCCTTTATTGTAGTCGCACGTACGTTCATTTTTTAAAGGCCGTTCAGCAAATGTGGATGAACCAAATGGACAACAAACCGATGCACCACCACCAAGAAGAAGAAGAGGTGGACGACGAAGAACTAGGGGTAGCGGAAACTTACGCCGATTACATGCCGTCAAAACTCAAATTAGGTAATCAACTTTTTGATATCCTCTGGATAAAATCCTTTGATAGCCTTTTGAGTTTGCCGAGACGGCGCAAAAGGCAATAGGATAAAAACGGTTTCGAAGCTCCAAGGCTGTCAATCTTTCAAGTTTTCGATTGAACGGTAGTATAAGCTTTGAACATAGAATTTAAAAAATTCTGTTTTTGGGTAAAGGAACTTGCTCCTCGTCCATTCATCAGAAACGTTTTAGGGAAGAAACATCCGGATCCGGTCGTGGAAACCGCGTCACTTTCCTCCGTGGCTCCGGTGGATGTCTGGTACAAGTTGTCAGTGCCTGAGGAAACCATCAAGACCGGAGCGTTGTCCGCCTTGCAACTGGAAAGTATAACGTACGCCTCGCAAGCTCACGAGCATATCCTTCCCGATGGAAGCAGAGCAGGATTTCTCATAGGTGAAAAAAATGACTAATCAGTAAATATAAACAGACGAACCAAAGTTTTCACCACTTTGTCCACCTGTTTCCCATTTTGTTTATTTTTAACTTGCTTCTAAAATCTTGTGATGATGGTAAACTGTTTTCCCGGTACTGCGGGTCTCGTCTGTTCCTAGATATAAGAAAGTGACCAATTGCTTTTGAATGGGACTATCCCAGGGTTGTCATTAACATACAAGGCAACAAGATTATTACCTAAAGTTTCGGAATTTAAATCCAGGTAAAATTATGGTCCGTAATAAAAAATAATGTTATACCTACCTGTGTTTAATATTCTTTGGTTTGGTATACTACTTAGTTTAAGTTTATTAGTAATCATTCTTATTTCGTGTGTAATACAGCGTGTGTTGAATCGTGTGCGAATTATGCACAATATGCCCGAGTCTAGTGTATCTCAGGAGATGCTCCCGCCCAAATGTAGAAAACACTTCTATTGAGACTAAGGAAGTTATAAACAATGTTTATTTGACTCTCATTGAATGTGGTCCGGCAAGCAAGCATCTTTAGAAGAAACGGTCACATTGACGAAAATTTCAACATCAACTGTATGGAAAATTGTGAATAAAAAAAAAGAAGCGAAGCGATGCTGACATTTTCTCGAGTGTAGATGAAAGTGATCTAGATATAATACGGCGTAAAATTTACCAGTTATACGACGAACAAAGCGTCCCTACATTGGATGTCTTAATCAGGAGGCTTGAAAAAGATGAAACCTGTGTTAAATGTGGCAGAACTACCTTATGTAGTGTATTCAACACATGGGTTTTAGATTTTAAAAAAATTGACAAAAGACAAGTTTTAATGGGATCTTTTAGAATTCGGAAATGGCGATTGGAATATCTAGAAAAAATTAGGATTTACAGAGAATAACATAGGCCAATTATTTACTTGGATGAAACCTGGTTCGACACTTATGATACCCCGGAAAAGGATTGGGTTGATTCAACTGATAAGTGTAAAACAAACGCGCCATCAAAAAGAGGTAAAAGAATAACTATTTTCCACGCTGGCTCTAAAGATGGTTGGATTCCAAATGCACTTTCTCCCTCTGCGAACAATATTAAAGATTCTTCTCTGGATTACCATGAAGACACCACAGCTGATTTTTTTGAAAGTTGGTTTAAAAACAAACTAGTTCCAAACATTCTTCCTAATAGCGTAATTGTAATGGACAATGCAAGTTATCACAGTAGAGAGTTGACTGAAACCCCTTCCTCATGTGACACAAAAGCAACAATCCAAACCTACATGTATAATAACGACATTTATTTTCACGAAGATTATACCAAAAAGCAATTAATTGAGGTTCTACAAAGCTTGAACCTACAAAAGGAATACGTCTATGATAATTATGCAAAAAATCTAGGGCATATAGTTTTAAGGCTTCCACCTTACCACTGTATATTTAATCCCATTGAACATGTTTGGCACCAACTGAAATCTCCCATTCGTCGTAACAATGTTTTTCCCCGTGTTAACTCCAATGACCTCAAACTTATAGAAACCGAAGTTTTTAACATCCCTCCACAAAGTTGGACAAATTATATTAAGTATATAGAAAAAGCAGAACAATCGTATGCAAATAATATAGAACAAATAATAATTAGAACAGGCGAAGATAGCGATAGTGATACTGATATATTATGTGAATAATTTTAAGTAACTTATGTAGGTAATAAAAATAATTTGTAATTTTATTTTAGATTTAAACATAAATACATACATAAATAAATATTGTTTAGAATCTTTCCTAACAAAACCCAAAATAATTACTCTTGCCATATTTCATTATTACAGCTTGCCCCCTGGGTCTTTCCTTAATTCGTATCAGTTAGTCACTTTCTTATATCTATGAACAGACTTTATGAAAAAATATTGACATTTGACAAAAGTTTGTGCGCGAAACTTGGAATGAGAAGCCTCTTGTTCTGCTGGAGTTCTGTCTTTTTGTGCACTTTGGTTTGACTTTAGAGTTCTGGATAGTCCACGTGACTATTTCAGACCAAACCTTGGTGCTATATTAAAGGTAGTTGGGAAGCCACAGGGCCCGCGTTCTTCAAGGATTGAACGCGTGGTAGTATAGGCATCCGACAATGTTTTTTCTAGTTTTGGTTTCTCTCGAGTTTTAACTAAATATAAACGATTCTTGTTGCGCAGGCGACGGTGCAGGAGTCGGCAAGGGACGTACCATAGCCGGCATCATATACGAGAATTATCTGAAGGGCCGCAAGAGGGCGATATGGGTGTCGGTGTCGAATGATTTGAAGTACGACGCCGAAAGGGACCTCAAAGATATCGGCGCGTCGAAAATCGACGTGCATCCGCTGAATAAGTTAAAGGTTTGTTAGTTAGCTTAGATCCGTGCGGGTCATCTATTGTTGTCAATTTGTCCAGTCTCCAAAATGTACAAGTAGAATAAGGTGTACGGGTTGCCAAATCATGTAATCTCGTGTTTAATGAGCTCTAATATGAAATACAAATGTTTCAGCGTACTTTTATTTCGTCTACTAACACTACAAGGGGTTCCAGATTAATTTTTAACATAAACATTTGTAATCTGATAAATTTAAACCCTAAAAAACAATATTTTCACTATTAGTATTAACAAGATTTTGTCACTAAAGGTTTAATATGCCTAAATATGATTAAGCGGTCTTATTACTTTATCTGCTAACTATTCCAGATTAATTTTTGGTACAAATCGAGGCACGGCTTTTAACAAAATCACTAACCCAGTCTAGAATTCACTATTTTCAAAAAAAAGGACTAATTCATTAGGAAGACTTACAGACACTATTCAACAAGTCAGTTTCATTATTTGGTCATTCAGCAGTCATGGTATCTGTAACTCTCCAGTTTTCTCTACACTAGTTATTGAAAGTGCATTCTCTAGATTGGACTAGACCAGATTGTATAAAACTTAAATTATTTTTTTTTTGTGTTCATTAGTTTGTTGGTTAGTTTTATATTTGCCGTAAACATATTCCCATTATTTGGCATGAATGAACAACAGAATATTAAGAAGAAAATACAGCGCCGGATACAAAGCGGGAAACGGGTTTCAGAATGTTTTAAGATTTGAATAAAAATATTACATACTGATTGTTTGAGAACCACTGACCATTTAACTGCCTGACATTTTATTCCAAAACCGGCCAGCTTATAACGGCTTACCTATGGCGTTCATTTGAACTACTCACGCTTACATTGCTTTCGCTACCACATTTGCAGTACGCGAAAATCTCGTCGGCGGTGAACAATAACGTGAAAAAAGGCGTGATATTCAGCACGTATTCGGCACTGATCGGCGAAAGCAATTCGGCGGGCGGCAAATACAAGTCTCGCCTGAAGCAGTTGCTCCAATGGTGCGGACCCGATTTCGACGGCCTGATCGTTTTCGACGAGTGTCACCGCGCCAAAAATTTGTGCCCCGTCGGATCGTCCAAACCCACGAAGACAGGTACTGTTACGGTACCGTTTATTATTCGGTTTTACGCGGTTTTTCTCGACAGGTCTTACCGTGCTCGAATTGCAAAACAAGCTTCCCAAAGCGAGAGTGGTGTACGCGTCAGCTACCGGCGCCTCCGAGCCCAGGAACATGGCGTACATGGTACGGTTGGGGCTTTGGGGCGAGGGAACGCCCTTCGGCGAGTTCGCCGATTTCATTTCCGCGGTAGAGAAGAGGGGCGTGGGCGCTATGGAGATTGTCGCGATGGATATGAAGTTAAGGGGTGAGAGTCTTTGTTACTGTGCATTGTCGCCGGTTTGTATTAATTGACAAATTCACGAAAAATATAAATTAGGAAACAGTACTAAGGGTTGTCAGTATTTTACTATATGAATGTTGGTGTTACCGAAATATAAAATTGAAATTGTAAGGTTGCCAACTTTTGATTGCTCCATTGTCCCATAAAAAAATGTGAATATTTATTTGCAAACGCAAATATTAACAAGTAACATTAAACCGTCCGTCATTTATTGAAATGCTCTAGTCGCATATATTTGTAAAACTAATTTACTTTTACCTAAGTAATCCTAAAATATTGACCTAAAAATATTCACCCTCGGCAACTTTGCAGTCAAAGTTGATGTCAAAACGAAGCGCGCGCAAATCGGTTGCTCAAATTATAATTCAACCTATAAAATAATATTTTATTTAAAATGTATAGCTAGTGTTGGGACTGGTTAATTGACTAGTCAAAAAATGTTTTAAATAACATCTTGCAATTGTAGAGTGTTATCTATCGTTATTTAATAATATGTATTTTATTAATTAATATAAGTAAATATAAATTTCATGGTATTTTCAAAATTATTTCGCTCAATTGACACCAAAAAATTTGACCGGTAAATATTGTTATAGAAACATGAGGTCTTTTTTGTGTTTATGAGTTTTTTTTTAATTTTGTTTAAACCGCGGGTAGTTCTGTGTAAATGTGTGTATAATTATTTTTAAAAATTATCGTAATGTTTTTGGGGCCGCTTTTATTTTAATATGCGAACATTTAATAAGCTTGAGTTATTCAAGCTTTGATTACAGCTTTGCATTTAGTTTCACCACAAAAACACATCAAATTAAAACTGCGCTTGTGACAATCTGTGACAATCTATATGAAAAACCCATATGAAGCTCTGATCTGCCAAAGAGTCAAATTCCTGCCAAATTAGTCATGACAAAAGCAGGAAATCAAAGATGCGCGACAGTTGGCAACCTCAGAAAATACAAATCGAAGATTACATTAAAATTGCCTATTCCAAGTAGCCATAAACGCGCTAGTATAATTCGTGTATCTCGTCCATGCTCTGTAGATATTCCAAACAAAGTTGTAATATTTAAAGGTTTTGGGAGCGTCAACAATATATATCGTTACATTTTTTGGGTATAGGTATGTACATAGCGAGACAGTTAAGTTTCCACGGAGTTGCGTTTAAAATCGAAGAGGTCCCGCTTTCGAAAGACTTCGAAAAAGTATACGACGCGAGCGTCAAATTGTGGGTGCAAGCGATGCAGAAGTTCCACGAGGCGGCCGAATTGGTCGACGCGGAGAATCGCATGAGAAAAACGATGTGGGGTCAGTTTTGGTCCGCCCACCAAAGGTAAAAATACGTGCTGGTGAAATGTCGTCGACGTAAATTAGAATTGTTATACACAGCAATGTCACTCGCCTTCTTCCATTTTGTTATGCTATTTCGTGGGGGACTTTTTTAGTTTGTTGAACCGAATCTTTAACTAGAATAACCTCACAAAAGCTGCAAGAATGCATATACAACGTTTTTTACAAAACAATTTTTTCGAGGTAAACTTTCTAAAAATGTTTACAGTACACTTTTATACAAAACAATAAAAGTTGTTTATAGGATTTTAATGTTTACTAGATATACTAAGGAATGTGGAGTCTACTAGAGAATACTAGGAAAAGTGCCATTTCTTTTAATTATTTTCGATGCAGTCATTTTTGACAATAATTATATTGAAAATATAGAACATTTATTCGGTGGCAATTCTCTGAGGGACCAAAAAACAAAATGATCAATTCAGTATTAACTACTACTAAAGCACCTATTTTTTTTTTTTTTTTAACAGGAAACTCGTACATTTATTCATTGGTCGTTCAGTTTTATTAGAACTGCCATGTATGCGGTGGGCCGTTTATCTTGAGACAGTACCTTATCTCCAATTTATTTTAATTTGGTATATACAGGGTGTTTAATTTTTCGTGGCAGAATATCAACGTTCGTAACACCTAGTATATTACTTTTAATTTACCATTTCATAGTTGACCATAATCTTGCCGATGCGCTTATGAAGATCCAAACATTATGTAAATGTATGTATGCATTATTTATACATACAATGATACGCGACAACGATGGTGAATATTTTATTAACGAACGATCAATATAAAATTAATAGCTTACAACAGATAATAATTATTTTAACAGGTGTTCAATATGTTCACTTTGAGCAATACAGTTAGTATAAGGGGGTTTCTAAATACATTTCTAACAGGTTCAGTCCCATTTAAATATCTGACGTTTAACTTCCTCGCCAATTGAAGGGAAAAAATCTAAGGGGTTTTTAAGTCGGGGCTCCTACCATTCTCTCCAATTCATTCTCTATAATGTGCATTTAAATAAGTGCTAACTTCTTGACTTCCGTGATAAAGAGCGCCATCCTGCTGACAAATTAAATTTCGGCGTTTCTTTTCAGGCACTTCATTTTCAACAAAGGAATGAATAATATTTAATAACATAAGTAGCTTTGGGAATTTAAATTCTGAAAAAAAAATACTGGGCCTATTATTCTGAACCTCCATATGGCGCACCATACTTTGACAGAAGTTCTACCTGATCTCGTAACTTCCATATGTTTTTTATTATTCTTGTTGCTCCAGTGATGGGTATTTTTCCGATTAAAAATTGTAGCAGAGGTTGTAAATATGGACTCATCTGTCTAAATATCATTAGCAAATGTAATTTCTGAAAAGTGTCTCACCACAAGATTATGGCAAAAATCTAACCTGATATTGTAATCCCGTTGCTCTAATTCTGCACTGGACGGAATTCATAGGGCTTCCAGTTGTTTATTTGAAGGCAAGAAGAAACGTCGGATTTAGGTATAAGACATTATACACAAAATATATCTAGAATTTTGTGTACAATTAAAAAATGAAGTAATAGACTAGGTGTTTTTAATTTTTTTAATTAAATTAATTAATTAATTATTAAATTAAATTTAATTTAATTTAAAATTAATTAATTGATTAATTTAAAATAAGAAAGTTGACATTGTCCCACAAAAAATTAAACACCCTGTATATACCAAATTAAAATAAATTGAAGGTTTGTAATACTTAATTAACTTTTGTATTTAACTTTTCACTGCACCCCGTATGGTTTCTAAAATAAGGTGGTGTCCCAAGATAAAACTATTTTATGATAACAATAATTTAATAAAAAAAAAATAAATCAGATTGGCTCTAATAGCTACAGTATTGTATAAATGTTTATGATATAATTGGAATAGCGTTCTATAAGATATTTTATAATTTTGTCCTTGCTACTTTGCTTGCTATTGTATTTGTTACAAAACAGGTTTGTAATTTGACAACCTTAACACATACATACAAATTATAAAGTGAAATTGTTAGTTGTAGTATTATAACCCGTATTATAAATAATTATGGTTTAGAAAGTTCTTAATATTTGTTCTTGTCCCTCCTAGGTTTTTCAAGTACCTATGTATTGCGGCCAAAGTACCTCACGCGGTCGCAGTGGCGCACGAGGCGATTAAAATGGGCAAGTGTGTGGTGATCGGTTTACAGAGTACCGGCGAGGCTAGGACCTTGGAACAACTCGAGAGGGATGAGGGCGAGCTGACCGATTTCGTCTCTACCGCCAAAGGTATGCATACAAAATACGACAAATAGAGACTCTTTTAATTTTTCAATAAAAACGGATATGATTTTTGAGGATATTTGAGCTAAGTGACAGTTGTATCAGATTAACCTAATGTCAAAAATTTGATACAACCTCAAAAATGTTAAATGAGAAGGGGGCATGTAAAACCTTTTTCAAAATGTGTTTTGATCGTCTATACAGTTTATTTTTCTTTAAGTACAACTCCTAAAATGCTAATGGTTTTGACCTAAGCATAAGAAGTCAAATTATTACAAAACCAGTCATTTAACCGTCTTTTTTGTTTCACAAAAAGTTAAAATTTTGAGTCGAGGGTAAAGAAAAATAACCGTATCTTCTAGGAAACTAACCCGATTTAAAAAAAATTATACGGTGCTTTACATCTATTGCTAGCATTGTTTTATTCCTCTGAGTAATGTTTCATGTTTCCTCTGTCTGGTTATGTATTTATTCCAAAGTATTTCATTTAGACATCTATGATATTCTTGCTCCTATTCTCTCATCTTTCCCTGTCATATCGAATATGATTCCAAAGTATTTGTAATCTTCACAAGTTTTTATCCGAGTCACCTAGTTTTAAGTTATGCTTTTTAACTCCACGTTACAGGTATCTAGTGAAACATACGTGGTCATCTGCAAATTGTAAACTATTATATTTCCTAGTGGTACTTCCCTTAGTGAACATTTTCTCTTCTATTTCATGAGCTTTATTAATGCATAAATTATGTTAGAAGGTACTAATAGAGGCAGAATTAGCGTTAATAGTATCTGATTTAAATTGATGTTCATATGGTGTATTGCTTCCCAACATTATATGCTTTTGTAAAATGGAATGGGGGGTTTCTAGGTGCACTGCTGATCTCTTTTATTATTTATTTCATGGAAAACAGGTTTTCATTGCGAGAGTTCTAAAATCATTTTTCTCCATATACTATCTCTATTAGACCTCTAAGTATTTGTCCATGCAAAATCTACCAATCGAGCTGGTTACCGGCATTTCCAAGTTTCTATTGCTTTGCTTATAGATTTACGAGGTATAGGCGACTTTCCATTCTATGGGTACTTCTGGATCCGTTTTTTTTTATTTATTTTTTGTTGGTCGTATTTTCGTAACGTTTCGGTTCGTTTTTCAGGTGTCTTTCAGACGTTGGTCGAGAAGCATTTTCCAGCGCCCGACCGAAACCGGATACACAAGATATTAGGCCTCGAAAACCCATCAAAGAAAGCGATGAACGGCAACAACGACGAGGGCAATTCGTCTACCGCGACGAAAAGGAAGCCCAGTAAGTTAAACCATTGATCATAACCATAAAAAGGGATTCCGTGGGTAGCATTCCACGAGGCAGGTTGATTCTTGTCAGCTGCCTACAGAGTTTAAGACCTGTTTTCGGTCTAATAATAGTGTCTTTTAGTGATATAATTGTCCCGCGGTTTCGATGTTTTCCGCATACACGCCGGTAACCAGGCCCGATAGGCCCGGTGGTCCATGGCGCAAGCGAGGGGAGCCGTGTTTTTTATAGAATCGGTTAGAAAAAAATTTCTTTTGTCGACGAGGGTCGGTAAATAATCGTAACCAAACTTGGAGGATGATGGAATAATCCAGAGCCTCTCTTTACGAAGGCATCCTTTAGGAATTTTGAATTATGTTATCCAAAGTTTGTAAGGTGGGCAAATTGCCTGAGTTGCAGGGCAATGGGATTGGACCTCTGTCCTTGTTCAGTGCCTTATTCCATCTCTTAACAATTTCTAAGCTTTCGTAGGCATCTAATTTTCTACTATTATTTACATGTTTAACTAATTTTAAATTACTTATATCTACCTTATGATTATTGTCGAACGTATGTTCGGCTACACTTGATTTTTCTAATCTACCAAATTTTCAATGAGCTAAATGTTCCTTAAATCTAACATTAATTGATCTTTTGGTTTGCGCTACATATGACTTGTCACAATCGTTACAACATATTTCATAAATTCCCGACTTTTCAAGGGTATCTAATTTATCCTTGTATAAGTACGTACGGCATTTGAAGTTTATAATTTTATAAAAAATGCAAGCAGAATGTAATTCTCTCCACCTCTCCGTGCTAAGCCACCCTATTTCAAAGAGTTTGTGTGAAATTGACTGGTACTTCCTTATTCCATGAATAAGTCTAAGACATGAATTTTGAATTTACTGAATTTTTCTTTTAATAGAACTGTTTATACAATTTGTGTAAAGAACATTACAGTAATTTTTTCTTATAAAGTATATATGTAAAGTATATATGTTTTATTCTGACATCAACTATTTATATGAGCGCTAAATCTAAGAGAACCATTAAATACTAAACCGAGATTATGCACCAGTCTCCTTTATGGGCAACACAGTATCCCCGATTTCAACCCTTATATTGTCTTTTGCAATGTCAATATCTAATTTACGCCCTAATAATAGTAAGCAACATTTTTGAGGATTCTTTCAGTGCATTTAGCTCTCTACTCAATATTCCACAGCTCTCTCCGACGCTCCCCCTACTGAACTACAAATACACCTGCGTATCGTCAGCGTAAAATTGCGTTGAACACTTTTTTAGAGCCTTTGTATAGACAGCATAGAGCAGCGGGGAAAGAATTGATCTTTGCGGAACACCTTGAAGGAGGTCCCGTGGTTCTGATAATACAGATCCGATTCTGACACAAATTGACAAAAATTATCGATGTGTTACTAAGGCCGACATAGTGCAGAATTGCCAGAAGCAATTTATGGTTTATCATATCGAATGCTTTCGAGAAATCCAATAAAGCCAGCATCGTGCTGCTCCCAATATATCGTCTGTTATATTAATATTAGTCAGTGCTGTAGCGCAACTATGATTTTGTCTGAAGCCTAATTGATTTTCAGGAAGAATGTTGTTATTTTCAATATGATCGAATAATCATCTCTTCAATATCTTCGACAAGCATGGTAAAACACTAACTGTAACTTTTGGGGTTAAAATTTTTGGGCAATGGCGATACTAGACCTCTTTTCCAGCATTCCGGAAAAACTGAGTTTACTATACAAAAATTAATAATATGAATGAGTAAAGGTAGAATGAATGGACAGCAAAGCTGTAAAGCCATTATTCCAATACCGTCAGCGCCCTCCCCTCTGGACTTCATTGCTGTAATAATATTGAGTAACTGAATTTCATTAATTTTCTTAAACGTTAAAATAGATGTTACGGTTTCAGAAATGTTTTGACTATAGAAGTTCAGAAGTTCACCGCTAGTGGGTAATTGAACATCCCTTCAAAATTTTTCAGTGCGTCAGGCGGCGGCACGAGCGGTGAAACGCAACAAGTGGTCGACGTCGGACAGCGAGAACGAATCGATAAAAAGCGACTCGGACTTTCAAATGTCGGACAACGAGAGCGAGATATCCGAGGAGCATTCCGACTCGAATCAGTCTAGCGATTTTAATCCGTTCAATTCGGACAGTGATTCGGACAACGACCCGTGGAGCAGGAACAAGAAGAAGGGGAAGAAGCAGAAAAAGTCGCCCAAGAAGAGGCTGTCGACGCAGGACAAGTTGTCGATGCTGCTCACGCAGAAGACCAGCAAATGTGAGTCTTATTGTTTGGTTATATCGGTGAATGACGTGTTTTTGCTTCCAGAATAATTAGAATTTAAAAAGAATAGTCAATTATAATTTTCATAATTTTTAATAATTTTAACAATTTTTTAATCAACATTAATTACATGAGGGAATATTGGGAAACTCCTGACTAAAAGATTTTGTTGCACGGATATAGTGTCATCTCTCCTCTAAGAAATCGATCAATTGGTCATTATTTGCGTTTATAGCTTCATTCTATCTGTAGTCAGAATTGGTAGTTCTTCTCCATCCCAGTTTGCGTCTGCTGTCATCTGAGATTAGCGTTCATTTTAATCATATATTGAGTATGTATAGAGTATTTTGAAGAATCGGAATACCAAAGAATTAAGGTTCGCATCGAATAAAGTACTGAGTACGGCACATTTAATTTTGACAATTTGAAGAGAGCATGAAAAATTTTAAGTGTGTGATGGTGTGACCATTTGATCTTGGTAACTCTTGAAATTTTCGCTCGTTTTTGGACATTATAGGTTACAAAACTCGGATATAATTTCAAACTGTATTCAGGCGAGTGTGGAAAAAAAGAATCTGGATCGAGTTCAACACCGGACTTTTTGAAATATTTGCGCACCTGCAGAGTTGATAATTCAACTGAAACTGTTACAAAATTGGAAATTAAAATGCGCACAATTTTCAGTTGACTTTTGTTAACATTTTTTTATACCCCCACTTCGGAGAAAAAATAAATTTATTATTTTTTTTCATAGAAAAACTACACTCTATTGACGTATAATATTTTATAGAGGTTCGTGGTAATACTAGAAAGCATAACTTCATTTAAAACTGTTTGCCGATGTCAAATATTTTTAGTCAAGATGAACAAGGGGAACAATAGCCTACCTACCTAGTAAATAATTTATGAGAGTAATCTTTTACTTGCAGTTTTTATTTATGAGATTAATCTTTTACTTGGAGTTTTTGGAATTTTTATTCACCCAAGTCTAATAAACGGTTGCCGATGAGTATAGGGAGATGTTTACAGATTTTGTAGATAAATTACTGAACTTAACGGTAAGTTGGAATAAGTAAAAAAAAAGAGTTTTGACTGTAAAAAAAACTTTTTGGAACACCCTCTATGAATTACCATCAAAATCACATACTGACCTTTCAAACAAATGTATTAGATAATCCCTAAAATAATAATAAATAAAATTTTGAAATATCTAGCTCGCTCAAAAAGTCATTAAGCTTTAATTAAACTGTGTTTTCTGCAAAAAAGAAATAAAATATTTTTTACCAAGTAACAGTGAGTACTTATCTACTTTCATGGTGTTTCATGTGTATTTCCAATGTTGTCGTTTGTTTCGAGTTGAATTCGTATAATGAAAATAACCGATGGGGATAACTGAGAATTGTTATTAGATGAGCCAAGATTAAAAAATCCATCCTATTGCTTCGATGTCGATGGATTGATTTCAAACCTTAAAAATTGTAAATAACTTTTGAAAATAACGGTCATACGCGATGATAACCACCCACCAAGTTTTACACCATCACTGCAAGCAATATAAAAAAAATACAATTTCATAAAAACCATAATGGATCCCCCTCAACACAACTGTTGCACACTCTCTAAGAGTGTTAATATTTACAGTAGCATAAAGGCGTAGAAGCGCGTGAGTGCAATAAATTTTCTTTTTAAGAAATATAGAAACAAAAAAAATGGAAATGGAAAATGGTAGGGGTAGGTTGCCCAATTTGCTGTAACTGCATATAACATGGCTGAATGCCCGTTTGTCCCAAGGGGAACCAGAGAAAAAAAAACACCCAAAACAACAATCAACGATGAAGTTTTGGTTAGTTATTACGAAGTGAAAAAAAAATTAATTTGATTATTGTAAGTATTGTAGGTAGATGTCCTCAATTTTTTTTACGAATCTGGCAAAACTATTCAAAAATGAGGTACAGCGTAAGTTAAGTTATTCCTTATTCTTTGGGAATGAATGATTTTATGATTCTGCAAACAATCCTATGCGTATGCAGTTTTCTACGATAAGTAATGTTGATGGATTGGATTGGATTGTTGATGATTTGGATTGATTTTTAAAATTTCCAAAACAATCTCCGTGCACCAAACAGTTAAGAGCATTAAAGTGTTGCATAGAAAATATTTTTGCGTTGTATTTAAACAAAACATTTTTTTTGCTGAGATTCAATTGGATTCATATGTATTTAAATTCGTTAAAAGGGTTTCGAACCTAATTGCAATTTGAGAAACGTTTAATTCCTTAAGCAGCGAAAACCAACGGCGGTCCGGCCAACTTCAAGGTGTCCGCCCCGCCGGTAGACGCCATTGAGCGCGCGTGCACGATGAAGGAGGAGTTACTGCAGGCTATCGAGCGATTAGGCGAGAAGTTGCCGCCCAACACCCTCGATCAGCTCATCGACGAGCTGGGCGGGCCGGAGAACGTCGCCGAAATGACAGGTCGGTAAACTATGCGTGTTTCTTTTTTCTCGTCTACACCCACAGCGCCTGCTCTAGCTTGAAAAAGACATTTCGCTGATCCTTAACGGTAATACTTAAAAATCAATATAAAATAAGTCATAGGGTTTAATTATTATCTATTTGAAAGATTTAGCAAGTTTTTTATTTTTTTCAGTCAATTACTTGGTTTTTCTTTTTATCCAAAATCGTAAATGTTGCAAAAATTTTATCACGATATCATCTTTTATTAAACTAAACTTGCTGCCTTTTCATTGTCGTTTTTATCAAAATTATGTTTTACAAAAAGAAATACTTTTTTTTAACTGTTAAGCATATCCAGAGAATATAATAAGTGAACATCGATTTTCGTAATAAATAATCGACAAATATAGATATTATTATTATTTATTAATGCAATTTTCTTTCTTTGTACGCAACTCGTTTAATTTATTGGGCACTGGGTGGCAGAAAAAAAAGTACAGCGTCCCATTAAACAAATCAAGTTGTCTTTTTTTTTAAATGAGCTCAATGGACTTGACCCGGCTATACCTTATTAGACAAGGCGCTCTACATGGAGGCGACAAGCAGTGAAAGTCGTAGCACAAAACAGAACTCTTTAGTCTGAGATAAACATATCATCTGCAAATAGGTTCTTGGACAACAAATTTCATAAAAAAAAATATTTATTCAAATTTACAATCTCCAGCAGCTCCTTGTGTCTTTTTTTTTACAAGAAGACGGATTTTCTTGGGTGGTAGCTTTCATGATTGTAACAGAAAAAATTTGTACAAGTAATTATTAATATTTTACCTTTTCCCGAGGATGCTTCTATTCCAAGTGACCATCCTTCCATGAAGGTCTAGTTTGCACTTTTTAAATTTTTGTACTGTCATGTTTTACCAAAGGTATATCCTACATTTATCCAAGTTTCGTCCATATAATAGATATTCCTGTTTTCTCTTTAACACTGACTAACTGCCCCGAAATATCGTCGTCGTCAGCCAGAAAATTTCGTCTATTGAAAGTGATTTTCTATTTTGAGTTTGTTTTCGTATAGAAAGTTCAATTCCTTCAAAGTTTTACCCAATTTCTTCTTATCCATCGGTGGAATGAAATCATCTTTTTTTTTTACAATAACAAGTGTATAATTCTTCTTTGGTGGCCTGAAGTCGCTATACCGGGTGATGCATGCAAATATTTGCTCCACTGTACATTTTTCAGCAAAGTTGTAATATAAATTTTTGAATATTTTTTAAAAAATCCCTATCATTCTATCTTCTATCTTAATCGCTTTCCCCGGAGTTTTGTGTTTTTTTAATGTGGTGTGATATTTATTTACAGCTTGTTCAAAAATCCTCCACATGCAGTAAAATGTTCAAATCCTATTGTCCCTTTCTTCTGCTCTATTATTTTTCAGATGAACATTTGCAGTTATTTGGACTCGTAATAATAATACGTTTAATTGTTTAAATTGAAGGTATAGTTTTAACAGGAAAATAAACTAAAAACATTTCCGACACTGCTGTAAGACTGTTGCTGTATAATACCACTTAATTAAGGTTACTTTTTCTTCAATTTCTTTAAATAATAACGTAGAACAATCACAAATAAAAGTATTGTCACTGCCACGAATTTTCTTGTCATTATCAAAAGGAATTTTACTGGTGTTTATTACCTAAACTATTAATTTTTTCTTCTGCTTCTGCTATCATATTTAATTCGGTAACTGAAAATTGGCTTATTAAAATTTATTCAAACTCGGTTGAGTTTGAGTTAATAACTTTCAAAACGTTATATTACACTTTGCTATAAAATGTACAGGGGAGCTAGTATTTGGCCACCTAAAAATTTAAATGGGACTTCCCGTGTTCGGTTCGGCAATGCATGACTCGGTATAGTCTCCACTCATTTCCGAAAGTTCATTTTTGGAGGCGATGAGCTTTGCCCAGATTGACATAATAACACTGGTCTGCAAATTGTTTTTTTCTCCTTATTTCTTTTATGCCGTCACCACGAGAAATTGACCTGTTTGCAGGTACGATGTTCGGATATATAATCTTATTTTTATTTTTTTCGAGAATGCTTGTGTTGATGTTTGATGTTGATGTTTCACTCCAAAGCGTTGGCATTGTAAACGGTATAGAAAATCCAAAATAAAGCTGATAAACTATTTTAACAAGGTCGGATATGGTATTTCGCTGCATTTTTAAAGTAAACTCACAAAAAATGTGGCAAAAACAGTCGGGAATTCTTACAAGTTCGCGGCATTCTATAACCTAAAACTAATTAAACATTTTTTTTGGAAAAATTTTCAAATTGCTATTTTATATTTATATGCTCTGTTCATGAGAAACTACAGGAACTGCACATAAAGTACTTAACAAAAATATGAATTTTATGCAAAACTTACCAAAACATTTGATACATAAAGTAAACAATTATAAGACAAGTTTGCAACTAACTGTTGTAAAGTCACAGCTAATACTGCGCAAGCGCATATGTACTACTATAAAAATCGCATTCGGCACCTTCCTTCTTTATCTTACAACTCGCTCATACCTATTTTGTATGTACACTGTTTATGATGTTAACGCATAAAATTCATTTAAAAAAAACCTAAATTTATGATATTTAAAAAAATATTATATCGAAAAATCTAGAATAGATAGAATATCGTTCAACGGGAACATATTCGTCAAAGATTCAAGTGTGGATTACCCTGAAAACATGACCGGGGAAATATTTAAGTTCTAGTCTGAAAATAAGCTGTTGAGAAAACTATCGTCAAATACTGTTATTGAAGAAGATATTAAAGAATTTCTGTACCAAAACGATTCATATGTTTTGAAGAGAGCTACACAAAAAAACAACTTCTAGAATTATTAAAAATAGAACATTTTAATAAAGACTACAAAATCGATTCGATAGCACAACAAATCGGACATGAAATCTTAAATCTATGCAGACACGTAAGGAAATATGTATGATTATGTACGTGCTCGGCGAAAAAGATTGAAAACATATTTAAATCCCGCTGTAGGTGGTTACGGATTTTGGAATAATAAACAGTAGCACTATATTTCTGGTCGAAGTATACCTATGATGCTTCGCCTATGGAATATCACTAAGTGTAACAGTTCAACAATAATTTATAACTCGCTCTCATTAACAAGCGGAGCATAGTTTAGAAGTACATTTTTAAACCTAGCATTTTTTTTCCTTACGCAAGGTCGCAAGGGTAGGGTGGTCCAGACGGAAGACGGCGGAATTCAGTACGAAAGCCGTTCGGAGATCGACGTGCCTCTCGAAACGTTAAACCTGACAGAAAAGCAAAGGTTCATGGACGGCGAGAAAGACGTCGCGATCATATCCGAGGCGGCATCTTCGGGCATTTCGTTACAGAGCGACCGGCGAGCTAAAAATCAAAGGCGGCGCGTGCATATCACGCTAGAATTGCCGTGGTCGGCGGACAGGGCGATCCAGCAATTCGGTCGGACCCACAGAAGTAACCAGGTGAACGCGCCCGAGTATATATTTTTGATTTCGGATTTGGCCGGCGAAAGAAGGTTCGCTTCGATCGTTGCGAAAAGGTAAGGTTCGACTACAGCCCACGTCGAAAGGAGACCAGACGAATATTTGTTTGTTGCCAACACCGAAATGGCAACTAATAAATTTGTACATGAAAAATTACTTAATTTATTATGGTCTAGCTTCTCGAGCAAATTCAATATGCTATAACAGGTTGTGAGGCGGATCTGAGTATTTCGGTGGTAAATAAAAAAGTGTTTTAATTTAACGACATTTTTTTTTTAGTATTAAAGTATTTTTCCGAAAAATCATCGTTGCCATCGCGCTTGTGGTTATGTCGGGTATGACATATTTTAGGTTCCACTATAAAAATACAGATATGAATTTAAAATCCCTCATCCTGGGACAAATAATTTGTTTGTCTTCTTGATTTTGAGCAGATTCCAGTTAGAAACAGCTTTTCTGCCCCATATTGTTACGATAATAGCATCAAACTTGCAGATGTCAATTTAAAACCGGATTTTCGAGGTATATTGTATCTAAAACGGCATCAAAATTGCAGATATCAGCTTAAACCTTCATGTTCCGTTCCAAATAGTTCCAAAAACATTTTCTTGTCAATATCTTTCAAATAATAGTCAAAATCGGCATCTTCGGTCTTTATGTAACGAAAACGTTAACAAATCAGTAGATATCGACTTGTTCCAAAATAGTTAACATTTTCTTGTCAATATCTTTCAAATAATAGTCAAAATCGGCATCTTCGGTCTTTATGTAACGAAAACGTTAACAAATCAGTAGATATCGACTTGTTCCAAAATAGTTAACATTTTCTTGTCAATATCGTTCAAATAATAGTCAAAATCGGCATCTTCGGCCTACATTGTAACGAAAACGTTAACAAATGAGTAGATGTCGATTTCAAACTGCCCTGTCAGGAGTCCAATGGTGGGCTATTTCAATTAGATTCAAGTCAAAATCGGCTTTCCCATTGTATCTAAAATGCCATCAAAATTGCAGATATCAGCTTAAACTTTCATGTTCCAAATAGTTACATTTTCTTGTCAACATCGTTCAAATAATAGTCAAAATTGGCATCTTCGGCCTTTATTATAACGAAAACATTAACAAATCAGTAGATATCGACTTGAAAACGCCCTTTCTGGATCAAACAGCATCAAAATTGCAGATATCAGTTTAAATCTTTATTTCCTGTTCCAAATAGTTTTACCATTCTTGTCAATATCGTTCAAATACTAGTCAAAATCGGTACCTTGGGTTTTTATTGTATAGAAAACATTAATAAACCAGTAGATAACGACTTAAAACCGCTCTTTTCGGGGTCAATAGAATCATAGGATTGTGGGGTTGGATTACAAAATAACGTTTAAACCATTCTCTAGTCCTTTGTAAAAGCACCATGTTTTCAATCGTTCTCTGAAATCGGTTGTTTTTCCAGATTTTCAGAAATTATTATTTCTCGCTGCTATTCATAAGAGTGATCCGACGGAGGACATATGTAATTTTCGTAGAATTTGTATATTTGTATACTAAACTCCTTGATAAAATGGTTGTTAACCTAACCTGTTAAAGATTTGATTGTCGATGAGCACCCTGGCTTCTCTTGTGAGAAGTCGACGGTTACTAGTCTCTTTACACGACTTCTCGAATGATTCCGACAGGGAGACTCATAATTCCTTATTGACTAAACTTCTTGCTGTGGGTTTTTAGTTGGATATAGTTAATTACCGTAGAAGTTATACAAAAGTAAAAATAATATGAAAATACATGAATTGTAATAAATGTACAATACAACTTCATTTACAAATTTGCAATACGCGGTCTTCTCGAATTATTTTGACAGGGAGAAACTTTCTATTGACTAAACTTCCTGCTATACTTGGTTATAGTTAATTAATTGGCTTGGAAGTTATCTGGAACACGAGTTCAAATTGTCAAGAATAAATGATTTCATCGGAAATAAAATAAAAAGTTTCTTTCTCTGTGACGGTTTTGAATTTTTGTTAAATGACTTTGGTACTATTACGACATCTCGCGTTGATCTCAAATTATTCAGAGCAATTATTACCACAGCAAGCGTAATATTATTACAGACAGACTTAAACAATGTAAATATGTGGTTAGAGAAAAATGGGTTTGCAATATTATTATTATTATACTATTATTACTGCTCCACTGGAGTCTGTCCCTGTAGTCAGGGACTTCGGTGTTGCATTTAGGAATTGTATATTGTTATATTGAGAAACTTACAATTTGTTATAAGAAATAGTTGTTATCTAACGGCCTTTTATAAATTTATAAAGTCGCTTGTGCCCTCTGGAATGGAGTGATCTGGTACTTCATCTATGACTGCCACGTTGATGAAATTGATAGAGTTTAAAAGACATTTTTTCAAACATTTATAATACAGATAACTACAGAATTAATTACAGGCCAGTGCTGAGCTTCTTTACTGGTTCGTATTGTTGAAATATCTCAACTTAAATGCTGTCAGAAGAACTCTGCATTTTTCTTTGTTTTCTATTCCAATCCAAGGCTCCAACTATAGCATCTATAGTCCTTTGTTGGCCCTTCTTTTACAAATCTTGTTAAACGATTAATTCTGTGAGTTGTGGATTTTCACCACAACGCTTTCTTTTATGTTGGTTTCTTTTTTTTTTCTTTTTATTCATGTCGTCTCTGGTCTCCTTTTTTGGTAAATGGATGCTGGACCTCTATCGATACGCGTGACGTTTTATTTGCAGGTTAGAAAGTTTGGGGGCGTTGACGCACGGCGACAGAAGGGCCACCGAAACCCGAGACCTGAGCCAGTTCAATATCGACAACAAGTACGGCAGAACGGCGCTCGAGGCTACCATGAAAGCGATCATGGGGTAAGTGCGTCGCGCGAGAAAGTAGTTCGTTTGTACTTAATTTCCATTAGCCGCGTAATAGCGATAGCGGATCTCCGATTTTTTGGAGTAGTTCGTTTGTACGTTATTCAAAATGAACGACGTCTGAGAAAGGTGGTAACAATATATTAACAACGCAAGCAGAAAGCAAAAAAATGTATTAAAACGATCGAAGGCGTTATTATAGCTGCATTGCAGGCAAGTTGCTTTGGTAATTGACGCATGGTTGAGTTACAAACGCCAAAAAAAAGTCCACTTATATATTTAAAAAATGGAGTGTAGTTCATTTGAACTAATTACTCATTACGCTTATCAGTCAAATATATTTGTTGGTATTGTACGACCAAGAATATAGTGCATTTATTGCTTTGATATTTAAAGTATTTTACAGCACCGATGTTTAATCTGTATTAAGTAGGTCTGCCTGAGATGGATCGGACCGAATATTTGTAGAAATTTGAAATTTGTATTTGAAACGTAAATGGACGGTTTATTTTAACTTCAGGTGATATGTATCGTTCTTAAGAATTTAATCTAAATTGCAATATGTTCGTATATATTTGACTGTGATCCTTAATGTAAGGACATATTTATGTACCTGATTCCCGAGGTTTGGCCCGGCGATGCTGTATTCACTAGATAGTTCAAAGGATAAAAGCAAGTACCTATACTCTATTTATCTTAATGGTAAGTTTGAAAATCATTTTTGTCTTGTGTGCCTGTCTTCTACATAGTGCTTTGATTTGTAAACAACAATACTCTTTGTTAAGACTATAAATATTTATTTATTTATTTATTTATTAGAATCTGTAGAAGACGAACTACCTTAGAAAATAAGAAAACGTATCCATTTGTCTTCGGACGCTATACAAATTGCTTTGAATGTTTGCAATTTTATAAGAAATTCAGAAGGAGAAATACGAGCAGCAATACAAACAAGTGACATGACCAGAGTTCCGAAGTTAACTGTAATAAAAATTGTGCAAATGAGTAAGATCACGTCAAGTGGACCCCCCATTTACCACTTGATCATAAAAATTTAAACTATATATATATTTTATAAGTACTTATGATGAAACATTGATCCCCCAAACGATTTTTTTAAATTTTGGTTTTAACAACTTTCTTTTTTGTAATGAAAATTTTAAGCACTTTTAATTAAAAAATCGATTAAAAGTCAACCGTAACTGATAAATTTATGAAATTTTCAGCATCCATAGTTTATTTGTTAATTTTCGTATTATTAACCAACTTTTAAGTTAACGAATGAAACTTTAACTGATTTCTTGTTAAAAAAAAATATGTTTATTTTATCGGTCACATGCTTTATCCATTTAAGTTTAAGATTCCGGAAGAAAATTTCACTGCTCGTCATTAGTTTAAACAAAATGAATTTATTTATGACAGCGCGCCGGGCTGAGCGCTGTGGAAGCGCCGCACTGTCGAGCGTCTCGAACTGCATTGAAGGTTTTATCAGTGATAATTTAAAATAATCATACAGAATATTATTATGAAACAAATGTTATTATTATTTATACCCCAAAATCAGTTAAATTTTCATTTGTTAACTTAAAAGTTAGTTAACAATACGAAAATAAACAAATCATTTTAAGTCTGAAAATGCTGAAAATTTCATAAATTTATCTCTTACGGTTGATTTTTAACCCATTTTTTAATTAAAAGTGCTTAAAATTTTCATTATAAAAAAATATGTTGTTAAAATCAAAATTTTAAAAAATCGTTTGAGGGATCAATTTTCCATCATAAGTACTTATAAAAAATATATATAGTTTCATTTTTTATGATCAAGTGGTAAATGGGGGGTACTTCTAAGTATAATCTACTACGCTTATAAAGTGAATAGTATTTTATTCCTAGAAATACTGCATAAAAAAGTACTGACAGGCTTAAACCTTAGTACAAAGCTGGCCTAAGTGTGAAAAACGAGTAATAAAAGAAGAAAATATTTATCGAGAAGTGGCGGAGTAATAAATTGTAATTTCTTTATGTACATATTTCAAGAATTACATTGAAAACATACTATCCCGCTTGTTAATGTAGGTAGAAAAATTCCTAGGAAGGTCCTGGAAAGGTTACGGGTAATGGTCCGCTCGGCAGGGGCTGCGGTTTTGAAGTAATAAACATTAGGCAAAGTTAATCACGGGGTCGGTTTTAAAAGCACTATATTTCTGGTCGAAGTATAATTGTTTTACTCGCCGCTTTTAAGTTTGACTGCGCTAGCGTAACGATGCCCTTCCCTTTCAAGTTACGACCAGCCGATCGTGCCGCCGCCGCGAGACTACAAGGGCGACTTCTTCAAGGACGTCGCCGGCGCCCTGGTCGGCGTCGGGCTCATTGTAAATAGCGAGAGCATGCCCGGCGTTTTGTCCCTCGACAAAGACTACAACAATATGTCAAAGTTCCTTAACCGTATCCTAGGCATGCCCGTCGAACTCCAAAATAGGCTATTTAAGTAAGTATCATCACCTTGTCCAATACTTCCTGCATCATAAGGTCGCGCCAGTATGAGTCATCACGTTGAGAGAGCGATATTTATGGTTCTATCCCGTTCAGAATGTCAAATATACGCTTTAGGTGGTTTATGTTATTTTAATATAATACAGATATGCAGATTAGGTAAGTATGGTCTATAAATTCATGTGCCTAGGTATTTTTAATATTTTAGTATTTTTTTTTTATGAAGTAAAGAACATTTTTTGTGCTCAAAATGACTTGAAGAAGCATTATGAGACCTAATCATTTTTAACTGTGGCATTCTTTTCGTAGAGACTTCTATCATGATATTTTTTAATAAAATTTTTAGCAGAATATTACAAGAAAAGATAAAGTTGATTGTACAGCAAATTTATTTTTATATTTTAAAAATTCTTGTTCCTCTTGAAGCAGTTTCGTAATATTATGTAAGCATAAGCTACAATCGGAAATACTCTGACTATGGTAATATAGCTACTAGAAATATGTTGCAAGAATTTTCTATTTCACACTCATTTAAATGCAGGCAAACATGTTTTATAGAATGAAACGTTCAAGATTGCTGAATTTGTTTTTCATCATCAGTTATTACAACAACACCCTCCAAAGCCTTAGGTTTTGAAACTATTGGAATAACTGAAGTTTCTTCTATGATTGATAAATATACTTTATTGAGATGTGATATTGAGATAAGTTTGTTTCTGAAGCTTGTAACGACTGCTGAACTTTTTTTTTTTAATTTGTCACTATTTCAGTCGTTTATATTGTTGCTCATATTTTCCTAAACAACAAAAAGTAACTCAATTAAAACATATGACTGAACATATACAGACTCTACAGACTATTGCCTGGTGAATTGAAAACAGCTGGTCTTCAGGGAACTCTTCTTCAGTGGTAACTAGATAGATTTCAAGTTATCAAGATAAATAAGTTTTGCGTTGCCACTTCAGTCCCTTATTTTTTAAATATTTGTTAAAGACATGGCTGAATGTGCGGTGAGCTCAATGCGAGGAATCTGAGAAAACACAATATAACTGTGTTCAGTAATTGCATGAATTGCTCTCCGTTGTCTCAGGTCTCAAACATTAGTGATCTTGGATCATTTGTTAGTCACATGGATAATATAGTGCTTGGTTTCATTAAAAAAACAACAGACTTCAAAAGTATTTATGCTATAAAATTACTAATACTCTTGCCTAGTTCGACATATATTAGAATATTGCTCAACTGTCAGGAAACCTTCTTCTCTTGTGACGGGTACAGCTATGAGTTTAATATGCTCCAGAAGAGATTTGAACTATCGACATTGAGGATTAGAAGAGATAGCGCAGATCTTATGATCGATTGTCTCCTATTGCTTTCTTCATTGATGCTCCCAGTTTCATCTAGAAATACCAGATAGGTCCTTTAGGCCACGAACGTTGGACTTAATTTCTTCATCCCAGCGGCAGGGATACATATCTTATATTCTAATCACCTTGATTTTTTTTGCTGTCAGCTTTAATTAATAGTTAATAGTCTCTTGAAGCGTCATGTCATATAGATATAAAGTCTATAGTAATTTATGGACTTATCTATTGGTATATTGAATGGTATATTTAAGTTGATTTGTTCTAATGATATAGGTTGTTAATGAATAAAGTTTAAAAGTGATCTATCCTCCCTTTTCTGGGTGACTCACCGATTGTTTACACTTCGTCGTTTCTCCGCCTTATTGTCGCCGTCGTGTTGCCTCGTCTCGTTTAGGTATTTCACCGATACATTGGCGGCGATCATCACCCAGGCGAAGAGAACCGGCAGATTCGATCTGGGTATTTTGGATTTGGGGGCGGGCGGCGAGGTCGTCAAGCGAGTACGGTGCGTCACGTTCGTCCGGAAACATGCGACCGGTACCGCCCCCACGGAGCTCCACATGGTTCACGTGGAGCGCGGCATGTCGTGGCCGGAGGCGCTCGACAAATTTTCCGAATTGGCCGGCGAGAACGAAGGCTTCTGGTTGTCGCATCAGGTAAAGGACTCAAGATTGTCGTTTCAGAAATATTGAGATAACTCATATGAGTTGATATCAACTCTCCTACTTATTACAAAATTTTTAAAATTTTAAAACAAAAAGATTTTTTGAGGTTCTTTTTTAAATATTTCTAAATTTTATGTGCCGTTATTGCACACATCCATTTTTCACAAATAAAGTGCAATATTTTGATAAAAAAATTCTCAATAAAACAGTAGATCAAAGTTTTAACGTCATTTTATTATAAAAATTCGTATAAAAATATAATACGGCAGGTCCATTTGCGAGATAGGTACATGAAAAAACCAAACTGGATATTAATAAAACACTAAAAAATGCGCCTTTATAAACTTTGGCACGTAAACAATAACTACAAAAGACGTGGAAAAGCTATTATTAAAAACAACGTACTTATAGTTTTTGATACATGTGGAAATAGGTATTATTTCTAAAATAAACGAAACAACTATCAGATATGTAATCTTTTAACACGTAAACAATAAAAAACAACAGACCCATAGTTTTTGGTACAGAGCTACTGTTAAAAAAACAACCAACTGACCTGGTTTTTAGAAAAAAAAACAGAAAGTACTATTTCCAAAGTAACTAAAAAACCGTGACATTTTAATCTTTGCCACCGTTCGGGCTATTATAAAAGTGACTGTGACATTAAACGTTTTCTTTGAAATTGATATAACATCTCGATAAGCACGGTCTAGATTCGTATTTCCAAAAGACGTAAAAGTCGCGCCTGTTCGCATTTTTCTTTGCGTAATTTTTATGCTTCTGTGGTCAGTTCACTGTTTTATAGAAAAATGTGTCAGGAGCATCTTTTTCTACTTTGAAAACACACGCATCATTTTTTTTTGACAATATCGCCTGAGCTGTCCCAATGAAAGTAAAAAGTTTGAATTACTAGTTTTTTAAAATCAAAAAAATCATCGTTACTCATTTCTTGGACTTTATAAGGAGTTCACGTCTTCTTTGTGCTTTTTTCCAACATTACGTACTCTACGGTGATCACAGACACACTGCGTTATGTCCCGATTTTGCGCATAAGATCGTTAAAAACTGCGGGAAATTCAATAGTGGCACTAACTCTCTTTAGCGGAACTGAAGTAAGAGAACTATGTGCCGGTATTCGTTGTTAAAATACAAATAAAAATAGCTATTTTTTGTTATATTCTATTATTGACAGCCATCGCTAAGGCCTCCAAGTTTTACAGTTCAATAATGATTTATAGAACTCTCTCCCTAGTACTTATTAATTATAAATTATTTTTTTTACACTTTGTTTTTTTCCTATTGTGATTTTCTAATTGTCAATTATCTGTAAAATTTGGGAGTTAGTATAATTCAAATAGTACTATATAAGTAACCAAGTTTCGTCAGTGTCTTTGGAAATTTCCGATAAGCATTACTTAGAATTAATTATTCGTTTTATGTCACTTCAAATAGCAACAAACACACATAAAACAAAATAGTCGCTAGGAGAAAATTTAAATAATATAGTGTATGAATATTTTCTACCAACTTTTAGTTATTCCAGCCAATTTACATAAATCCACTGGCTTACAACAATCTGATGGATGCATTGAAAGTTCTTGGTAAAATGAACCAAATCTGTAGGTTGAAAGAAACCTAATATACAGATCTAGAGCTGAAAATAATTGATTCGTCTCTGCCGCAACTGAATGTTTTTAGTCAAATTTGATAATTTCACTCAGTGTATCGGGGTATTCGGAAACGATTGGTCCCGCAAATTTGAAAAATCGGCCAAAACAATGCTGAAAATTATTTTCGAGTTTTTGAAATTGTCACCTTGAAAAACAATTGCCACATATCCGTTTATTTTTAATGAAAAAATAAGTGATAATACTAAATATTGGAAACCCGCGAAGGCTATTAAAACGTGGTAATAATGTCAGCTACTGGATAATTTTATGCCATTTGATTTGAGTATTGCACAAAAGTTGTGAACATGGTTTTATTTTAATTTGGCGTTTAATTAATAAATTTCAACGTTTTCAGGCTGTTGGCTCTTGCTTGACTATCGTCACAATTTTTTTTTTTAGAAAATTGTTTAGTGATAGTCGAAAAACGTTACCTGGTGGCAATCGCCTCACTCATAGCCTACAAAAACGATTTTTAACCACTTCCGAATTTACTAAAATGCTTACATGCTACATTTATTTCCGAAAATATTTAAACACCATTCGCCTTTTACAGATAGAGCAAGAACATTAAACAAAAAGATTTGAATTTGTCTCCACTCCGTATCTCGATGTACTTACGGTATTCTTTTATGACCGGGTTTTAGGTGCGAAACGGGAAACACACGGCCATCTTGGCGGTGGCGGTGGACGCGGGCGGGACGGCCACCAACAAGAAAAAACCGGAGAGCAAGAAAGAGCAGATGTTTTCGGTGTACAGACCGAACACCGGCTTGCAGTTTCGGCAGGAAAGCTTAGCCGAACTCGAGAAGAAATATAAGAAGGTGCGGAAATATATATTTTTTATTTTAAATATTCAAAATTGTTCTTCGGGTAGCAACTTTCATAATTTGGAAAGCTTAGCCGAACTCGAGAAGAAATATAAGAAGGTGCGGAAATATATATTTTTTATTTTAAATATTCAAAATTGTTCTTCGGGTAGCAACTTTCATAATTTTCGGAGCACTCAGTTGTCTTTGCCATAACAGAAGTGTTCTAAATTTGGTTATACAACGGGAGTTCAAGTTTGCATTGTTAGATATTTTACAGAAATATTTAATCCTCTTTTTCTTATTGTGCCATGTCAAGTAAAAATAATAATAATAATAATGATAATATTAATCATGATAATAATAATAATATTGATAATAATAATAATGTCTTTATTCCGCTAAAAGAACAGCCACAAGAACAATTATCAACAATTAAATGCAACCACCTGATGCATTATATATATATATATATATATATATATATATATATATATATATATATATATATATATATATATATATATATATATATATATATATATATAAAGTAGACGGGTTAAATAAAGCCCTCTTAAAATAATAAAAGTTAGGAATAAAAGAAGGAATTCTGAGAAGCTCGGAATACTTAGTTTGCCTTTGATGCATATTTGCATACACGAGTTCCCAACTATTGAAAATTTTGTATAACAAATGACAAAAATGAATTTCAAAGCTCTCTTGGATTTTGAACCAGCAAAGGCAGGGCTTATACGATCATATTTCCGTAAGTTGTATGCAAATCTCAAACAAGAATTTTGCACTTCTTGCAGCGAGTTTTCGTCCTTCTGGACCTGACCAGGCCAGTAAACTATGACAAAATAATTACTTACGGTACCAAAGTATCTAAAAGTTTTAATTTTGTGTTTTTATTTAGCACATCTGTATGCATATAAGTTTCAGTTTCTAAAAACACTTACAGAATACCAGAATGCTTAACCCTCAATTTTTACCTACTTTAATAGGACTAACAACTCAATTGTATCCCGTCCAAAAATAACCAACTTCGTTTTAGAGTTATTGAGGATTAATCTATGAGCCTGTCGAAGTTTCTTTGAAAAATTAGAAAAGGGATAGGCCCCGATATAAGAACCAATTGTGAAGCTTCATCAGCTAACACTACACCCTTAAAACGATCTGAATGTTGGCAACGACGATGGCGAGCTGATTTCAGGCAGTCTCGACAATTGTTGTTTGTCCATTCCCGCATGTTCCTCGACCAGGAGATTTTTCTACTTCCTGCGCCTCAATATTTAATCATTTTCATCAGTTTTTCAAAATGTTCACGCGAGAGAGTAATAGAAAGAAATTTCCGATTTCAGGTCGACTCGACGGACGCGGAAAAAGCGTGGACGGAACAGTACGACTCGTCGGTGAATACGTGCTCGCACGCTTATTGGCGGGGCAACTGTCGCAACGTCACGGCCGGTCACGACTGCGAGGTGGGACTGCGCAGGCGGGCTTACAACGTCATGAGCGGGAGCGTTCTGTCGGTGTGGAGCAGGGTAGAGGGCGTGCTCGCAAGTCGGAACGGGGCGCAGAACAAGATGCAGGTGATAAGGCTCCGCACTCAAGAAGATCTGAAGATTGTGGGTGAGTTTATGCGCAGCAAGAATTTTTCAAATTAAGATTAAAAATTAATATACAAGGTGTCCGAAAAATATGGAAACGGCGGCTAACAAATCTACAAAAAAAACGTTCTAATGAACTAATAAAAGAACAGTTTAATAATACCTAACATGCCGCCTCACTGGTTGGGGGGAGGGACCGGCTTTGAAGTATTAAATGGCAACCACCACTTTTTATTACAGACTCCGATACTATGCTACAAAAGCGCAGGTGTAGTCCGTAGTTGTTTTTTTTTTATTCTCTGTATATACGCTGCGGTTACAAAAAGTCATTTATCCTACGAGTAGGTAGCAGAAAAAAATATGTTAAATCGAATGTAGGATAATACTGAAGTCTGATTCATAACACTAACATAAATAGGAAATCCAAAAGAAAACTGCAGTAGGTGGTATGAGGGGTCTTGTTTAGTGTTATTAGTCAGTTTTTTTTCTCATTATTTAATTTTTTTTTCTTTCATCAATTTTGTACTTACAATTACGTAATTTTTGGTAAAACAGTGCCGTTCTTGGTAACTAAATGCTAATAAAGTGCACCTTTTTATGCTGTTACAAAAATGTTTTATCAGGGGAACATATGAACTAACTAAAATTTGCGTTTCTCACTTATTTCTGCATTTTTTTTATTATGTCTTAAGTTTATTCTATCAACAATTTCATGCTGATTTGCCAAAATCGCTAAACCAGTAAGACTGATTTTGTGCGGTCGTAGAAAGTGTAAACTTCTTAATTAATTTTAGTTTCGAGAAACTTCTTTCCCCATTTGCAATATTTATTAACTTTAATATGTTAATATTATTGTTAATTTTCAATATTTTAATATTAATTTATTTTAATAATTAAATTTCGTTCGCTCGTTATTCCTAATTTATGCCAATAGAATTTAAATTCTTATAACATCTTTTAGCCACGGCTTTTAAATAGTGTGTTTTATATACAAATTGAAAATAGTTGACTCTATTGACTACAACCAAAGCAAACCTAGCATCTAGTGCATTTAGTGCTCGATCGATGGTAAAAAAAAAATATATTTTTCTTTGATATCTTCAGTTGGTTCGTCTTGTGCTTCTTACGAGAAATTAGTTTTTTTTTCTTCTGACTTAAAAATACTTTCGTAAGTTAACTCAAATTGAGCAATAAATTGATTGGAAATGTTGCACGATGTACTTACTAAATCAATTTTATGAAATCGCTTGATAGGCCTTTAAAAGTAAGTTTATACTATTAAAAGAACCACAGTTCGCAAAAAAAATAATTTCCTAGTTCTATGCAACAAATACAAGCAATTAAACATTGTAAAATTTAAATCCGATTTGAAACGCGCTGTCATTGGCTGTGACCGGCTGTGACGTCAATTCGCTCGTTAGACTACGCGCCAGCCGGATGGTAGCATAGAGAAGGCATTATTAGAAAACGACAACGAGTTCGTCTTGGTGGTTTTCATTTTAATTTTAGTCTTGTGTTTGGTATAAAATAGAGAATTTTGAAAATGACCGAAGCCGATTTTTTAAAAGGTCAATCCGATAATTTACCTGTAGTGGGTATATGTTTATGGTGACATCTTACACTGCGCCGAAAGTTTTTCTTTTGTTGAGGTTCGCGGTGTTAAAGCTAAAAGATATGGTTATAGAAAATTTAGGTACAAGTTTTAAAGCAATATAATATTGTAATCAGCTTAAAGTTTTCTAGTTTTTAAAATTCAAATGGTCCATCAAATAAGGTGTTAATTATTTTACAAAAAAAAAAGGATTTTTTTTAATTGGTGGAAACCTAAATACTGATTTTAAAGCATTGATAACTTAAAGTGTTCTTGATTTTATATAGATCAGGAAGCCAGTTAAAAATGTTTGGACGATTAAGGCTACAATGACAACTGAACATAATGTTAACAAAAAACGACGGCTTTTATTTTCTGATGGACCAATAAAAAGTTTATTTCGCGTTTTACGGGTTGTAGCCAAACACGATGGCACGATTTGTAATATTGTTTTTGTGTTGCTTATTATTATCATGTAAAGCAGACTAACCACAAATACAAACTGGCGTAGATTAAATAGAAACACACTTTGCACCAGCCAAACATAAACGTAAATAATATAATTTTAGTCCTCTAACATGTCGCCGTATTGATCTAAAAGCAGCGCTATGACGTCACGATCATTCCCACGCATTTAGTGTCGTTTAAAAGGAATAGTCGGCTAGCACAACTTGAATTATTTATTGCAACTTAAATATTGGGTTTTGGGTTTTGATATTTGGTATGCGTTATTTTCATACATAAACAATTCAATGAGCATTAGTCAAAATCATCATCATTACACAAAGTATAATAAGTGGGTAAACTAGGGCACATCTTGCGATTTATATCATCGCGCGGCGACGAGGCGAACAATTCCGAAGATCTCCCAATGAATGCCGAAGTAAGCGAACTATTTTTATGTCTTGCTTTCCTGGTAATTAGTTAATAATGGAGTTTTGTCAATTGATTTATTTTTTAATTTATGGTCATAAATGTTACAAACCAAAGGTGTTATTTCAGGTACGCTAATCCCGAAGAATTGCGTAGAACCGTTAGTCGATGCGTTGTCTTCAGACGCGGAAAAAACTGAAGAAAAGACGTTCGACTAGAGACTGAGGAGAGTTTTATAGGGTTTTTAATTTTTAATTTAATTTCGCAACAATTACAGGGCATGAAAGTATTTTGTACGGCACGGTATCTCTGGCAGTGTGGCACGAATATATAGACTTTATACCTTTTAGTTTTCGGAAACTGACTGTAATATATTGTAGGATTTTTAAAAAGCAACCGCGAGAAAATTCCAAGTATTTTGTAACAGAGAGCGAGAGAGAGAGGCGGACCGAGGTCGACGTTACTATAGTTACAAAATAAAAAAAGTAAACACTGTGAAAATAGTTATATTTGCTAGTTGATAATGTAATTTATATAAGTAGTTTTATGTTTAGTATTTTTATTTGTTGACTTTTTGTTATTTAAATTTTCGCCCCCGACGCTCCCCCTCCTGTGAAACGAGACGTGGTCTTTTTCATTTTTCCGAATTAGTGAGAAGTCCAGTGTATAATTTATGAATGTGTTCACTATAATAATAACGAAAGACGAGAAGAAACCGCTTAAACGTCGCGTTTTTATTACAATATCCACCCACGACACCCGACAATTTTCACACAAGAATTTAGAAACCGGAGGACAGGTTGTGATCGGTAGAGTCTTCATCGCCATCTCGCAACTCGGGCTTCAGATTGGTCATCAGGAAGCTTAAATCTTCGTTGAATCTCTCCGAACAGTTGAACTGCATCGCGATGTCCCGTAACCTCTCCAGGCCGGCCTTCATCTTTTGTATTTGCTTTAGCAGCATCGAGATTTGGTCTCGCTCTAACAGAAAGCTAATTCAGTGACATATAATTTAATCAGGACCAATGGCAGAGCTAATTGTTAACAGTGGTTCCAAAGTTTTTAAAATACCTACGATGTCACTGAATGTTAAAGTGCACCAAACCATATACTGGTTTTACCAACTTTTTTGGTTTTTGACTTTGGAATATGTTTAAGATCCGCCTGTTGTATACCACACCTACTGTTATTCAACACTCAGTGAGATGCCATGCACATTTTATTATAATTTATTTCTTACCATATACTAATATTATTCAATTTTGTTAGTCACTTGCGATGTCCAGCGAAGAAGAAATGGTTGTCGATGATAATTTTAAATTTGTTTTTGTTTCTGAGATCAACATCTGTGGAAAGTAGAGCCATAACATTAACGTCCGAGTTGAATAAAACACCGTATGCCACAATACGTGACATGGTTGTGAATGGTGTCCAAGAAAGACGAACGCGGATAGATCGTGGGGTCCCAAAATGTCTACTTGACCATGCACCATGCCGGACATGGTTATATATGATGCGTATCAGAAGAATATTGTTTTAACAATTAAAACTTTACATGGAGTTGCATAGTGTTTTGAACTGTTGCCCCGAGGCTTTGCGTGCGCTGGTACGAAGAATTGGTGTTTATTACAAAACCATCAATAAGTTTTGATGAAAGCAAGAAGAATTTCGGAGTGGAGGGCAAGATATTTGAGAGAAATCCCAGAAATTCGAGCATTTATATACACGAAGTATCGAAGTACGGTTCTGGAATGCCATTGTGGAATTGCGAATGTATTTATTGAATGTTACAAAGAGAAACCCAAGCAAGATTAGACCTTCATAAAAATTTACCAAAGTTAAATACCGGATTGTGTCGTAAAAACTGTATATTGTTTGGACAACTTTACCAATTTGCAATTTTACAATTCAGTGAGATTCATCCGAGTGTTAAACATTAAAGGTTCAAATCTAGACACAAAACAAATTGCTTACTTTGATGGATGTCGCTCAAGAAAGATTAAATAACAATTATCCTAAAATTTATATTTTTTGAAGTAAAAAATCCAATTAAGCGTACCTAACACACTTTGTGTGTGCAATGTGTTTGCAATTTATCTACAAATCAGCTTTAACTGCGAGCAAGGGGATTTGTGGAGACTGGGCTGTTTACAATTTTTAAGTTTTCCTGTAGCAGACATAATTGAAATATCATTTTTTGCTTTTAATAATGTTTTGCCTTCCAGTAGACTTTGGCTGGCACACGAAAAATGAATTTCATCGGTGTCTTGGCCTATGATGAACTTATGAAGCAACTAAGGAAAACAATTTTAGAAGAGTTATTTAATAACATGCGTATGTACAGCATTTAAAATGTCGCTGACAAATCCTCAATAAGTTAGGATGCGACACTTTTGGGGCCGGAATTTACTCAAAATATCTTAAGTCATATTAAATATTCAGGCAAAAGGAGTGAAACTGTGAAGAGAAAATATACACGTTGCGTAATGGAAGCCCTATACAAACCACCTTTAAATCCTTTAAATGAACTTTTACGTAAGGCAGCCTGCAAAGACACATTTATTTTTTTGACAGAAAACAAGTTTTTTCAAAAACAAAAAGGTACCCAACACCAAAAATGAAAACAACAATGGCACAGAGTGGCTCCGGTGCTGCCAATAATGTTCGGATCGTACAGACCTAGTGTTTTTATGAAAATAAATGATTTGCAGAAAAAATGGCGAAAATATCGCAATTCAGCGAGGAGGTGACGCATGCGCGAAAGATGATTATATACGAAAATGTCATAGCCACCTGCGGTGCATTAATTACTGTATACTATACACTATATTATCTAATAACTATATGGCCGCTCTCTGAGAATATGGTGCGAAGGTATGAGCGAAACCCGATTCAGCGTTGTTATATTATTAACACCACGGTATTGTTTTATTAGACCCGATAAGGTTACGTCCAATTTGGACAGAACAAAATACAGATTCGCCATCAACATGGCCTTCAGATGCGCTCATTAATTTATGCGACGTCATTTCAACAACACCCAGTATTTTTTTCAGAAAACTTATAAATATTCCGCGTTTTCCAGTTTGAAGGTGCGTTTTTTTACCTGTTTTGGAAACGTCGACTTGTTTCTTGGGGAAATTCTTCAACAGCTCGCCGACAGTCGGTTCAGAGTCTTCCTCCTTTTCTTCGACGTCGGTTGCCTCGTTGTTCGAAAACGTAACCCTTCCGGTTACCTCTTCATCTTTGGTACTCTTCGGGACGATTTTGAAACCAGGTGAATGCTTGCAGGTTACCGTGTCGCCCTGCTCGGTTGTAATTTGGAACGAGTTTCTAGCTTCGAGGTGCGGATTTTCAGCCGCCCTAATGGATTTTCTAGTTTTTCCGTCGATTTCCAACTCCATATTAACGGTACCGTCCGAGTTCGTGAGACAGTAGATGACCGCGCGAGATTTCGTGTTATTGTAGTTTCTGTCTCTGTCCAAAATTCTCTGGATCAAACCGAATATGCTACGAAGCATGATTTGCGCAATAGCCAAAGCTGTAACCTATCAAAATTACATTTATTTACCTCTCGTTACCGAAAATTTAATTTTCAATATTTTTCAAGCTTCAACTTTGACATTCCAAAGGTAAACGTGATTTCTTTAGATTTTTTGTCACGCCGTTAAAAATGAATTACTTATGCACCCAGAAGGTATGAAAGCGATGTATTTGAACACAATAATATGTTCAATATAAACCATATTCAAAACGTATGAAAAAGGCGTAAAAAACTACTTATTTCTGACATGGTCGAGTTCCCTTAACTTCAACGCAAGCAGGAAGAAAATGGTGGTTAACCTATAAAATGTTCTTACAACTAAAATCTTATACTTTTAAATATGAGAATAATACCTCCTTTAAAACAAATAGTTAATGCTCAGACCCTAGACGCGCTAAGAAAAAGCATTTCCAAGACCGTTGCCGAAGCCACGCCTTATATAAATGCGGCGAAAAAAAAACAAATAGACATTCTTAACGACAAATTTTTTAAGTTAAATAATTGGTATATGAGAGTTGTGGGCTTGGATAAAGTTCAGTTAAGTCAGGATAGGGTTACAGCATTACAGGTAAGTAAATGTGATATTACGCTTTACACAGCAGCGATGTAAAATTAAAGGGTTTTTCTTTAATTTCATTTTAATTTTGTACATTTGTAATTTATTATATCATATAAATTTTGATTTATATTTTTATTCCTGCTTCTTTTTTATACAGAGTTTATTAAAAGTGAGTAATTTTTATTTGGCAACGACTAGGAACTTCATTTTTCTATTAGATTTTTCTATTACTTAGCAACAGCTACTCGATGTACAAGAAAAGAGAAGAGAGGTAAGTCGACAACTGACTGACGTGAGGAATAAGTCTATGGAAATGCAGGATGAAATCCATAAAATCAAGAGACAAGATGACTTGGAAAAATTTTTGGATTTAATGAAAAAAGAAACGGAGGTAAGATATCGATATTTTAATCAATTCCAGAGAGACCAGACAAAGGTTTAACTCCATTTTCTTAGAAATTGAAAATGAAAATCTGCTCTTCTCCCCACATTTTTGTTATAGAATGGGTTTTAAAATATGAAGGGGATAATGCATAAGGTTAGATGAACTGTGATTTTAATATTGGGTTTATTTGTCTGGTTCTCATTAAATGGAAATTTATTGAGTTTCAATAACTTTTTTTTATGTAGATTTTAAAACTAGAGAAAACTATCTCCAGAACATTTCAAGATTATGATCAAACGGAAAGAGAACTTTTTACTGCTTTTACCAACGCGATAAGGGATACTCATGAAAAGCAAAGAGCACAAATGGAATATACAAAATATTTAGGCATCATTCTTAGTCTGATTGGCTCACTTTTAGCATTCTTGTTTTCGACAATTCGTAAACAACAACTTAAGGCATTACTTGATGAACGGTTGAGTGGAGTTGCCTCGCCTTTGGATGAAGTCGTGAAGACTCGTGAAACAATAGATCAAGTCATCAATTCCCTGCATAGATTAGAACAAGGGGAAGTGATTTCAAATAAAAGTACTTTTGAGGAAGTTGTGAAGACTCGGGAAGTGATAAATGAAGTTGTCAACTCTCTGCATAGATTAGAAGGCAAAGAAACTGCATTGATACCTCATACCTCTTTGGTTGAAGACTGGAAGACTCACCCTTTGTACGTTAAAATTTTTGCTGGCGCCATACTAGTGTGGTTGTTTCTAAAAGCGGTATAAATGATTTAAGCAGTTGTCTATGTATATATGTAGTTCTTATATTTCATTTGAAAGTTGAGATTTTTCTCTACGTAGGTATTAAAATTAAATACAAATTGTTCAAGTGTAAATTTATTAAGACAATAATATTAAGACAGAGATCATGTTATCGCCTAAATACAGTGTAAGGGCAGCTGCTATTAATACAAAATTGGCAGACGAAATCTTCCTGTCTGAATTATTGGTAGGATTGCTTGTGGAATTAGCAGCGATATCGCTGTTTGTTTTAATCCAGTCAGCAAACTCGGTCAATCTAGTGTACACTGAAGGCTTGCTCATAGTACAGCCGGAATACCCAAATGAAACAATACCAATTTGAGCCCCATTAAATACCAAGGGTCCTCCTGAGTCGCCATTACATGTCCCAACGTTCCCCGCGCCTGGAACAGTGAGTATGCTTTGTCAAATTTCGGCTGAAGGCACATGTTTCAAGAGAGTACTAAAATGAATTATTTAATTTAATATATAGTGGATCTACTGGGTAGCCCTTAATATGTCGGATAAGCAGAATATAGATAGAGATATAGATATAAAAGGAGGCCCAAAACAAATTTTTGTTTTCTGAAACTGTTTATAATACTTAAATGCTGACAGAAACGCTGATAATGTTGTGGACTAATATGATATTTTTTAAACAATTTGGGCATTCTTGTTTGAAGTAAAAACTATTGATTTTGCGGTTTCTTCAGGCTTTAGCCCGAAGTGCTGACCGAACTAATAAATTATTTTGTAATATTCTATTTGTCCTGTAATTAGCGAAACACAATAAACATTTCTGAAATGTTTTGGCTGCCACATTTGTGGCGTGCAAACAATCTGTAGCGATTTGTTACTTCTGGAAAACCCGCCTTTCAGTGGAAATCTTGTTATAAAAATTACAAAGACCTAACTAATAAATTTGGATTTAGATTCTCTCTGCTTTCCAACAGATGGTAGCACAAAACGAAATTACCGATCTAAGTTTGGCTACTCACCTATAGATGGCAGCAGATTAGATTTTATGGCATATGATCACGCGTATACGGGGATATCACAAAAATTAAATATATAGGGGGAAACCCGGGGTTGTTTTACGCTTGGAAATGTAGATAGATTCCCTACTTAACTTAAGTATAAAACCATTTTAAATAACTGTTTAACTAATATTTAAAAATAAAACAAAAATCGCAATATTATCAATCATCCGGCATAAAAATTTGCAATATGATCGCTGTGTTGGTCCAGAAATATTAAGGGCTTGTCGGATCTCTTGGAAATAATACCTTTAATTATATTAAATATAATATATTTGACTTAAGGTTAATTACATCAAATATATTTGGATGTGATATTGCATTTCGTATTGCATTAAAAGCATGGCAACGCTGCGTTTCAGTGATGTTTAACGTCAAACTTAAAAGGCGAACTTATCCAGATAAATTAGTGGGTAATAATTAGTTTTTTTTTTTGAAAAAAAATGTCATTCCAGTCAAACTTTGATAAGTCGAACATGGATAACTGGAACTGATTCTTCAAGTTACTACTTTAAGTCCAGAAAATGAATGTATGTTGTTCTTTGATATCAAACAAAATTCATTCAAGGTTTTGATCAGTTGTCTACTTGGGAAGACGTAGATGATCTTCCACTAATATATTTTATGTAAAATTTACACGCAGATTTTAAGCCGTTCTCTCGCAATTCCTCTGAATTTTATTTCACCAAATTATTTTGGAAAGATAGAAGAATAAGTAGTGCCTGTTAAAAATTATAATGAAGAATATTTAGAAAAACAAGTTGAAGCTCCGTTGAAGAGATCGGTTGAAGAAGTGTCAAACACGATATGTTTGTATTTGAACATTAAGGTCACACAATCAAAGATGTTTACACAGCAGTGAACGCAATTTATTTATTTTAATTGACGTCAAAATATGTAAGAAAATTTAGAACCAGAAGTTGAAGCTCCGTTGAAGAGGTCGGTTGAAGAAGTGTCAAACACAATATGTTTCTATTTAAACATTAAGGTCACACAATCCAAGATGTTTACATAGCAGTGTACACAATTTATTTATTTTTTAAATTGACGTCAAATTATGTAATATTTAATAAAAAATGGAATACAGACGTTTTTAATATGTTGCGTACATTATGCACATAATTCAAAATTTCGTTCTACTTTTCAATCTCTGCTTTAATAAAAACTGGTACTTGGTACTAGTCTATTAAGCTCAACTGATCTCAATAACTCAAAGTTTCGATAGGTCGCACTTATTTTTAGGCCATTAGGGGTTTAAGTTATCGAAATTTGACTGTATTTTGATTATTACTTACCTGACGTGCATATGTGACTAGCGACTATATGGTTCCGGTAAAGATCGAAAGTGGCACATTCTTGATTCGACATGACTATGACGTCAGCGTACTTGAGCACCGAAGACGTCGCCCCGTTAGCCGTGAGACCCCAACCCGTCACCCTAGCTATATCGCCTTCGTACGTGTCCTTAGCGCTCGTAATTTTAATGGTGGCAATGTTCTCGTTCAAGGTCGCGGGCGATGGTAATTTTATTAAAGCTATGTCATTCATCATTTCTGCTTCGTTCCAGCGTTCGTGTATTATAAACATCGACGAGTTGTACGCAGTTTGTGAAGGCTCGGTGGAAGACATGTTGTGCACTCCTAGATGGACCAGAGCATAAGATGCGCTAAAAATGACAACTTGGGTTATGAACGGTGCGCGTATTAGTTACGAAAGTCGCTCACTCTTTCACGCAGTGTGCCGCGGTTAACACAAAGTTGCTCGAGATTAACGAGCCGGAACATAAATACGAGTCGCTAGTGATGTAAGCGAAGAGCAGGGCTTGGTAGGGGTAGGCGTGAGGGGTGGCTGTCCGGCCGCCTACGATCCTCGGGGAAAACGAATCCAGGCCGTCTTTGGGGAATGCGAGATGTGGTACCTGTGAGAAGAGCAAAATTGATATTATAGTTTGTCTCAAACTATATCATGTTGGCTTTTGCCTGCTTTTATCGAAGTAAGCTGCCGATGCTAATAAAGCTACTATAGATATAGAGACACTACCTAATGTTGATAATACAGGAACTTATGAATCAATCTTAAAAATAATTTTGAGAAGGTCCATTCAACATTCGCAACATTTAAAATCTCATTTTTAACCAATGACCTAGCGACATTCAACATCCAACATAGCCGGGGACATCATCAATAAGTTTTTAAGGCAACACTTTCTCAAAATATTTCCAGATTCTATTACATCTTAAAGCAAAAAGGAAATAAATGTGTACACATCGCTATTTAGAAAAAAATATCCTAGTCACTTGAGGTGTATCAATTCTTACCCTAGTAGGCCCACTATATTATTTATAGCCCGACACATGATAAATGATTCTAATAACGGACCAATAAATCAAACCGGTCCAGGTTAGTTAGTAGAATAAGTACAAATTTGATATAGACAGCACAGAATAGAGAATGGTAAACACCGGCGGAGACCTATGTTGGACAGTGGATAAAACAAGAAGGCCGGGATGGTGATGATGATGATGTCTACGGGATGTCTTCTGAAAATTCTGAATGAAGCTTAGTGTAAACCAAATTGTTAAAGGATAATTTCTCAAGGCAGTACGCCATACCATTGGCACAAAGCAATCTCAACTGCTGTAACATAATTTTTATACGATTTTAAAAACTAATTTAAAAACTCAGAGTCTAAAAGTAACATGAGTATGTCTATGCCGCACTAATTGGGTGTAGAGATATCAGATTAACTTATCTTCTTTAATATTACTCAACAATTAGCTAGCAATAACTGCGTAATCAAAAAATAGTAAAGCAAAATTAGATGAAAGTATTATTACAAAACAAGGAAACAAAATTATTCTTAACTATTTTTTATGCGCTATTGATTTTTTAGTTGTATAATCTTTATAAGCGGGCACAAATGACCTGTATTTTAAATTAACAAGAATTTAGATTAATTAAAACAAATAGTTGCGATATGAAGCCACTATAAAACAACGACAATAGAAAAAAAATTGTGAAATGATAACAGATCACGCGAGTTGTTTGATCTGATTCTCAGAGCTATATGTATTTTTCAACCTGTCAACCTGTCAAATGACGGATGAAGTTTTCTTCCGACACCTCTTGCTTAGATCTTTTCTTGTATCTATTCATAAAATGTCACCGATATTGTAATTTTCTTTGTCTTAGTTAGGATTATTTCTTTATCTTTCTTCATTCATCTTGGTACCTTCATTATTTGTTAACCATTCTGTCCAGCTGATTTTCAATATTCGCCGGTATGTGTATGGTTCGTACAACACATCTCAGCGTTATGATTTTCAAATCTAGAGCGCAGAATATTTGTACTTTTCTATTTGTTCTATTACATGATTCTGTTTGTATATTTGTCCGACATAGTTTGTTCGTTAATTAACATGAATTTGAATTTTCTTTTTGTGACAGGTCATATTGCTCACTTTTTTTCTTTATTTTGATAAGTAGACCCTGTAAATCTTGAAGGGTACTTGCTAACAATACATTAACGTTTAACATTCATAACATTTTTCACGATTTCTTTTGACACAGGTTCATGAGTGCCGGTGACTGTATACATCTCTTAATAAATCTAAAAATCGCACTTCTGTAAAATTTTCTTTATAAAATAAATTCCATACTTTAACCAATTTTCTATATTTTTTACTTGTGCCAAATTCACAAGTTTATTTTCAGAACACCAGTAACGCATATTTTTTCGATTATGTAACGTTACTGATGTAAATATCGATTCATGATTAAATTAAAATTAATTAAATTTAATTAAAATCGTTAAATGAAATAATATCCATTCATTTATTTTATAATAAATAATTTTTATAATTTGTAACGGTGTCTGAGATAACCAGCAATTTCGTTAAAACAAAAACAAGGTTTTCATAATTATCGTCAAAAATCGTCAATAAATTCGAAACGGTGCATCGCAGCTTAATGTTCACATATGTCGTTGAATTCGTCTTTTGAAGACCTATCTGAAAATGCAAAAATATACAGGGTGTTTGAGTTACAAAAATTGAGGGAACTTACATTTTGCGAAACATCGTGACACCGCGTATTTCATAAAAATGTTTCAATTTTGAATAATGCCCTAGAAAAAATGTTTTCTCTAAAGATCATTTTACTAGGAACAACTTCTGTATTCCAACTTTTTTTATAACACTCATAGGTTTGGAGATAAGGTATAGCCCCCTGTTAAACTGCCCACCTGTTACATAATGTTTAATTTTAATTCTGTCAAAATAAACTTAGTGTTTTTTTTTACAAGTGACCTACCGGAACACCTTTATCACGTGACTTTCATTGTTGATGAATATATGACAATAGGCAGACTCATAAATTGACCCAAACTCAGGTGGTATACGCTACACTCAATAAAAAAACGAAGTTTGGAATGAAATCAATGCCAAACGCTGAGATATTCGTTAGCTCGCTTTACAGTCCTTTTGCATACCCAATGAGGTTTTATTCCTCCACACTTTTCCGAAATAGACTTTAGTGATTCGGAAGAAATTGGTAGTGTAACAGATTAATTTGCTATTATAACTTTTTACACTATTTTTGACATTATTTTTAATAAAAATTAATAAAACACCGTTATTTAAAAAAAGACTTACTCTAATTTCGGAGTTTGCGCTATCCACGCGAAATCCTAAGAGCAGGATGACGACCAAAACAGTACCGCCCATTTTTCGTACACTGAAAACCCAATCATTCGATCTGGCTTATGGTTTCGGAAACATTTATTGCACGCATTATTTTTAATGGTGTCTATTATTGTTGTTTTATTGTGGTGTGTGTGCTACATGTTGAGGTCCGCTGAAAAAACTAGCGTTCACCACAGATAAGCCGGATTAGTTGCGATTGCGCCCTCGCGATGGCGCGTGGCGCAATTTGTAAATACGGTTCGGGTATGCTTAATTAAATTTGATTAAACAGACTCCGTGTAGGTTCCGTAACCCCCATCATCTGTTGATAAACGAACTTCAAGATTTCGGTCAGATATTGACACGTTGGTATTATCATGCCGCGTGTGTTGTCGGCAAATAAGTTGATAAAAAAAATCCCAGATTCTCAAACACCATTATCAGCCCACAATAAACCTAATCTGTTTATCTGGTTTCATTAATACTTATATTGCGGCGGGGTTGATCAAAAAACGACAAGCGCTCGAAATAAATGCGCTATGTTTATTTTGACGTCACGTTTGGGATATTGCTTAAAAGTGATATCATCAAAATTAATTAAATTTGCACTTTTATTGGTCCGATGACTAGGCCAGAGTCAACGTAAACACAGGTTTAACATCTCCCATTTAGAAATCATGAATGAAAATCCACTGGTCTAACCACTCTCTTTCCTAATAAAGTTTCTTCTTTCTAATAGAGTTCTCCAAACGATATACCGTTTTTACGACATAATCCGCTATTTAACTTTGGTAAATTTTTATGAAGATCTAACCGCAGGCCATAAATAGAATCCCAATTCCACAATGACGTTTCAGATCCGTACTTCGGTACTTCGTGCATACAAATACTGAAAAATCGATTCTTATTTTAAAATGTTTATTATAAATATAAATGAAGCAGTAAATTTAGCTATAAAACAATGTTAGAATATTTATTTAAAAAAAACGTTATTCTACATCAAAATAATCGCTATCGACACTGGACAATAATTAATTCTGGCTATTCTATAATAAACATTTTCTTCTTCTTCGATGACATGTCCTACACATTTTTTCCAACTACTTCACTTCAAATTAATTCTAGTGTCCCAGAACTAAATTTCGGCGAGGTGTTGTTTCCTATTAAACTGAGTTTCAGCTGGGACAACTTTGAATCCCCGTTCCATGGCCCACTTGTCCACATTATACTTCTTATCAAAACATCCAAATGTTGATTTCAGAAAAGAAATTATAATTACGTCATCGACCACAATCTCAACTTCTTCGTCGCTGGAGATCGCAAGTTTAGTAATTAATAAGAAAAAAATTGTAATAAAATGTATATAGTACCTCAATAAAAATGACACACTGAGTCTTGAAAAACAATTGAATAACAGTACGTTGGTAATTACTAATTACGAACACCAATAGGAATAGAAATAACTCCGAAGATTCGACGGCTAAGAAAATACAGTTTCATAAAACTAGCAGCATACTCCGATTTCACCAGCTCCCACAAATCAACCAATAGCAAACTGGGAAAACATCCATCATAAATCAATTATCTACATTGCTATTGCTTTCTTAGAAAGATATTTTAGAGCCATTATGTTAAACCCTTAAATTGGACATCAGTTTAAGCTGTTTACTATGCTTTTAATATATGAGATTAACCTATCTAATGGGAAAATTCAACCTGAAATCGAGGTACTAGGACATTTCGTTACTCTTAAAATACAACAGGCACACTTCTTCTTGCCTAACATCTTAAATACGGCCCTGGCTTGTGGTACACAGACTGAAAAGAATGGTGGAATGTGAATGCGTGAATGTGGAATGGTGGAAAACCATAAAAGGTTGTAAAAACCGTATATCGTTTGGAGAACTGTAACACAGTACTTAGGAACCGACTAGGTACAAACGTATGATGGGACCCTATCACAACCGAACATTAATTCATTTTAATAATGCCTAAAGAGGAGAAAAGTACAAAAAATATAAATATAATAGTATATTACGCAACAAGTTTGATGAACGTCAATATTTCCGAAAACATCCGATCCCGTGTGGTAATATCCCAAAAATTTCCGAAGTGGTCTCCATTTCTGAAGTTCGCTATTTTCATTTTAACCATTTAGGAATTCTGAAAAACGTTGGTATTACTCATGTTTCATAGATCTTTTATTAAACAGGGAAGTTATCCCGTCCAAATGTTGTTCTTCAATGTGTTTTAGCACCCCTGCAGGTAGGACGTCAGGCCCAGAAGTTTCTTGTCTTTAGCAAAATTTATTGCTATTTTTACTTAACGAAATTTAAATTATTATTATTATTTTACTTCGTGACTATTATTGTAAAATTCGACTATAGATGAAATGCAGACTTTGCCTTTTGACTTCTACTGTGTAAAAGTATATTAGTTTTCCAATTTTCTACCAATAACTAAAAATATCTATTATTATTATAATATAAAATATCCAAGATATCTGTTGCATGATCTAGTGAAACGCTTCAAGACATATTTAATGCAATTTAAAATGTGTAATTGTGCACTCCGCCACTGAGTTTCAAAAGCAATCGGAACAAACTGGCATTGCCGAACGTTGACATTAACTTACTACTATCAACTAATCCAATGATTTTTATCGCACCAAAAATCAATTGAAGGTTGTCAATGTTCTCCAGCATACGAACAACATCGGAGGATACAGGGAGGTGCAAAATAATTGTCTATTCGAACAAATGAGTGGATGCAATGATTCAAATAAAGTTAACGTTTTCCCGCATGCAAAACAGGCCGTCGAACTGCAAATTATAATAGCGGAGTTGGCGTTGACGTTGATCCCGAATGGCATTTGATGTATTAATGTTTCGACATATATCACATTAACCTAGAACTAACTACTGCTTATTTGTTCTTAGGTGTCACCGTGTAATTATTAATCGGCTCTATTAAACACTTCTGTCACTGACAATCGTAGATATTTATCTTTCTTTTTGGTTTCGCAAAGTTTCAAGTGTCTATAAAAACACAGTTTTGCAAGTACGTCGTCGAGTAGTCCCCTTAAAAATGGCGACAGTTCGATTTCTAGTAGTTATCCTATACGCAACAAGCACCGTTCTAGGAATACCAACAGTGAGTAAATTGTGTGTCTTGATTGTTGATGGTTTCGGATATACAGGAAGTTGTTCTTAAACGTCGACATGAAATTTGACAGCTCTTCTATTGTTTTTGGCAGAAATAAAAATAATAACGTTTAACGTTACCTAAATAAGACGCTATACTTTAAACAGCAACATGGCCGTTGACAGTTCGTCGATTTATCAGGTTTCAGTTTAGATGTAACATTTATACGGTAATATTTTATAAAAACATGCCTGAACCTCGTTAAACGTCCTTAGAAAATGAGTTAAGTTTGTACTTTAGAAAGCAAATGGCGGACAATTCGGGTTAGTGGGTGAAAATTATGGAATCTTGGGTAGGCTAGGTGTTATTGACGGATTCTCAAAGGTTTTGGTAATAATATTTTTGTTGTTGTTTATTTAGGTGGGTATAATCTTATTAAATTCTTATCTTAATAAATTCATTGCGAGGAATATCTATACATAATTACATTGTCATTCTAAGTGTCTAAATCTAATTTTGTTTCACTATCACTGTAATAGGATTTATGTGCTTTTGTATAGAAATGTCCTCAATTTGTGTGTTCTTAATTACATTTTTATCAAATTTCTAACACTTGAGCTTAATGTAGGAGCAACATTTTCTGCTCAGACTTTTGATTTTGATAGAGGAAGCCGTAAAACAGTATACCCAGCCTCTTCAGCCAAATTATACCGTTTTTTAATTGCATATGAATTTAGGACTTTCAAAAATTGCATTGTAACTGAATTCAAAATAAATATCATTTAATAACAAATATTCCTGGAATTCTGTTTTTGAACTTGATAAGGCTGATGCTTTGGATAACGCTGTTATTGGAATATTTTTTAAAAGATTGTTTTGAAACCGATTTTCAAAAAGTTCGGCACTTGTATCCTCATGGTAGTCCTAGCTAGAATCCAGCAAGCAGTTTGGGACAAATCCGTCTTCTGACCCAGCGTGTATTATGGTGATGCGTTTTCCTATATTTGAAGGTGTTTTCGTCTTGACAGTTTCTAGTGGAATAGGTTGATTCCTTTGGATACAGTGTCGTGTGTATCAGACCATGTTTCTTCATATCTTTCATTTTCATTTCATTATATCTTTTAATTTCTTGAAAGGAAATTAAATCTGCAAGTGCGCATTCTCATTTGCTCGAAAGACGATTATTCTGTATTCTCCGATGTTATTCGTATGCCGGAGAAAATCGCCTACTTTCAATTGATTTTCGATGCGGTAAAAATCAATGGATTAGTTGATAGTATCGAGCTGGAGGTTCAATGCCGTGAGTTAACGGTACTTAAATCCCATGTTAGAAACAGTTATATTTATATTGGTTTTATGTTCTAGCTTCTTTTTCATTTTATCCAAGGCAGGACTAACTTCGCTTTGATAAAAACAATATATAATAATTTCATTTTGATTAGGTCCTGATCACTAGTGTCTATACGGCGAGTTTGAAAATCATACATAAGCTGTCTTTTTTTTTGCAATTTTCGTCTGTTTTTCGTACATCGCTATGAAACACGATAAGTGTCCTAGATTTGCCGATTTCAAAATTGCCACAAATATAGAGTTTAGTCCCCTAACGGAATCTATTGAAATTGGGGCGGCTGGGGGGTCGGGAAGTATATTTAAAAATTTAAAAACCGGATTTGCAGGGTATGGAGAAAAAAATCATATCTCAAAAACGGTATAGACGATCGAAAAAATTCTTGAACCAGAAGACTCGCGAGATCCTGGCCAAAATCATTTATTTCTGATGATTTGCAAAAAACTGAAAATTGGGTTCCCCTTATAAGTATAATTGACCTTTACTCGGAGGCTGTCTTTCAGCTCCCATTTTTTTTTCACGCGGCCATATAGTACGTTTGAACTGCAAAAACTTTTGTATTTTAGATTTTCACCTATTGTACAGGGTGTTCGGGATATTCTGTACCACATTCAAAAATGTAATAGATGTCTCAAATTTGTACCTATCGACTTCAAATTTAGCAGATAAGTGAAAGTCCACACCCACATCTAAACCGTAGAAACTAGCAGCAATCAAGACTTAGGTAGTATTTTTTTTTAATTTTGAAATTTTTGTTTGTCATATTTTTTCTTCCAGAAAAAACAAAAATTTCTTGAAAACTATTAACGTGATTGGCAAAATTATTTTACAAGGAAACGCGGAAGATTCGGTACTATCACTTTTTTTTTCAAGCATTTTTTCGATTATGTACAAGGTTTTTCAATTATAGACAAAAATCTAAAAGACCCTGAAAATCGTTCTTCTCGCTATTAAATTAGCTGTAAAGCAAATTTCGTGAAAAATATTACCAATTGGTTTAAACAGTGTTATAGGCCACATCGGCAGCTACAACTTTTGTATTTACGGTTTTCGTATATCACATACACTGTTCGAGCTATTTGAAAAAATCCAAAATGAAAATCAACCATTAAACGCGATGACGTCATTTACTATTACGACGTACATGGTTTCAGAAAACAACCATTTTTTCCAAAACCATTTGCTCTATTGCAAAAAATTCTTATACCAGGAGAAATGGGCAAAAAATCTAAAAGATACTAAAAATTTCCGTTTTTGGTGAGAAAATTATTGGCGATAAATACAAAACCGTTAAAAATGGAATAATTTCATTTGAACAGTATCGTAAACTGTGTCGAGAGAGAATTTCAGGTTTCATCTCTCATACAGGGTTCGCGAAATATTTGAAAAAAATATCATTGAAAATCGCTATTATATTTTAAAAATTTAATATTTACCAAACCTTGCCGTATCTTTGAAGTTTGGCGAGACTTGAAAGACAGGGTTTATGCACAATAAAATTACATCGATTTTGCAAAAGTTCACGATCACCGTCGAAAAAAAAAATTTTTTTTGTCCGTCCGTTCTCCGTTCTCGTCTTTTGGCTTTTCCTGAATAACTTTTGAACCGTTGGAGCTACAAAATAGAAATTTGCCTCCATTTTAACCGTCCACGCGGCACATAAGGTTATAAGAAATGGCCCTGATCCGACACGGGTATCCATTTTTTTTTCGCGATTTTCGACTGTTTTTTGGACCTTGCTATGAAACAAGCAATCCACTTCATATTTGGCACATAAATGCAGCTTTGCCCCGTGACTGAACCTATTGACAATGGGGGGGGGGGGTTCGAGAAGTATTTAAAAAAAAATAAAAATCGCGTGTGCAAGGGTCTACAGAAACGACCATTTTCCGAAAACAGTCTTAGCTTACAATACAGCGCCTCTGGCGGTAAAATTACCAGAAACAACCTTAAACGTACACAACAAACTATTTTCCTTCGTTTAGCTGGCAAATTTCATGCAAACTATTATTGGTAGAAAACACTTGGGTTAATGACTGTTATTTGATCCGTAGTACCCTGAATTCAACTATACATGAATGTTATAGCCCATTAAAGACCTAACCTTTCCGGGTGAAGCAAGGAACGGAGTGAACGTGAGAATCGTCGGGGGTGAAGAGGCAACCGCACACCAGTTTCCCTACCAGGTAGCCCTTTACATCACCAAGCGGTCGGAAATCGTATTTTGCGGTGGCTCCTTGGTCTCCAATAATTATGTGCTGACGGCTGCGCACTGTCCCATCGAGTACGTTGGTTTTCTCGTTATATCGAAGCCCTTTCAATCGTTGGTCTTGCAGTGGGACCAGCGTGGACGTTATTTTGGGAGCGCACGATATCAAACATAACGAATCGTCTCAAATTAGGCAAACGAGTGACCATTTCGTGGTACATCCCGGATGGAATTCCGACGACTTGCTTAACGACATCGCATTAATAAGACTTGCGAAGCCGGTGGACGAAAGTGATTACGTAAAAATAATAAAAATTGCTACCGGTAAGGATAGTCGATTATAAAAACGGTAAAAAAGGGTCACTCACCGTTGGAATGGGGTTGTAGTTCTTTCGAAGGGTTGCCGCTGACGATTCGTAGAATATATCGATTCTGTGATAAAATCTATGAGAATTTCTACTTATAAAAGGGGAGTACACAATTAACCGATTAATGCTCTATATCTAACGTATGACGTATTAAAAAATTAAAATAGGACCTCTTAAAACTTATCGAAATGACCTATCACATGTTTTAAGTGCGTGAAGCTTATCAACAAAAACTAGAAATTTGGTAAAAAGAGGAGTATGCAAGTTTCAAGTTTATGTAGAATTTGTGCTTTTATTGCAAAACAGCCTTTTTTTGAAAATATATCTTTGTTGGATATTCAGTATTCGGTATTCGCAGTAAGGCGGTATTGCAATTGTTCAAAAATTGCTAGCAAATTTAAGTGGATAAGGATGTGAACCAGTCATTTTTTCCTTGACGATCACATAAATGCCTAAAAGAGAGCCCAAAGCATTTTTTAAATGTGTATAAATTCATAAGTTGTACTTACTACCCAACACATTTTTTAAATTTTACCATAACTGGGTTTTTACTGGTTATTTTGTACATATCACGACCACCATCTACCAACGTCCTGCTGTAGGTATTTTGTATATTATATATAATTTGATATATTCACACGTTAGTGCATCTGCACGCACCTTTAAGAACCGTCATTTTCCATAAACCGTGGATAACAGACAACATTAAACTGCTTATAAAAACCCGAAATAAAACTAAAATTAAATATAAAAGAAATAAAAATGTAGTTGATTTTGAACAATACAAAAGTCTCAGAAATTTTACAAGTATGACCATTAAAAAGGAAAAAAGGCCTATATGCAACATGTGTTAAATCGTAGCTCGAAAGAGGAAATTTTGTGCTATCACAGAGACTGATGTGTCAAAATTTTTATGCAACATTAAGTCCAGAGCAGTCGGAGCAGACGGTTTACATGTGAACTTTCTAATCTTTTGTTGTCCATTTATTCTTAAATATATCTGCCACATCGTTAATTTTTGCATCAATAATTCCATTTTTCCTTCCGCGTGGAAGATCGCACATATTGTGCCCCTTTCCAAAACTAAAATTCCCCCCCAATAGTGAATTACGCCCTATTAGCATTTTGTCTGTAGTTTCCAAAGTTCTGGAAAATGTCATTAAAACGCAACTGATTGATTAAAGTTCAAGTATGCGTTTCACAAAAAAATGTTGGGCTCGACTGCTAGGATCATTCGCCCATTGCCGACTTCCGTCGAGGATCTTCGCTTTTGGTCATTGACCAACACGTACAAAGAAGACATATAACCAATATTTGCTCAACTAGCAAAAAAACAAATTTTACCGATACCAAAAAAAACCGACACCCCCCGCTTCCACCGTGGACCATCCGGGCCCATCCGGCCTCCATACCGGCGTGAACGGGGAAAAACGACGGGGCCGACGACGATTATAACTTTAAAACATGCACTGAACACTAACAACACTAAGTCCACACAGTGGAAACCGATATCAAACTTTTGAGGACGAATACAAGGGATTCTGTCGGGAGCGAACGGAGGTTAAACCGCCGCGTGCAATGCTCCACCACAGAATCCATTTGGAGAAAAACAGTATTCTTCCTGAAACTCAGTCTGGCTTCAGGAGGGGGCACAGTTGTGCTGCTCTCAATTCAATTCAATTCAATTATGCGTTTCACAAAAAAATGTTGGGCTCGACTGCTAGGATCATTCGCCCGTTGCCGACTTCCGTCGAGGATTTTCGCTTCTGGTCAATGACCACCACGTACAAAGAAGAAAAATAACCAATAATTTGCTCAGCTAGCAAAAAACGATTCTGACCGATACCAAAAAAATCGGCTTCCCCCCGCTTCCATCGCGGACCATCCGGGCCCATCCGGCCTCCATACAGGCGTGAACAGGGAAAAACGACGGGCCGACGACGATTATCACTTTAAAACATGCACTGAACACTAAAAACACTAAGTCCACACAGTGGAAAACGATATCAAACTTTTTAGGACGAATACAAGGGATTCTGTCGGGAGCGAACGGAGGTTAAACCGCCGCGTGCAATGCTCCACCACAGAATCAATGTGCTGCTCTCCTAAACGTCACTGATAATTTATTCCGCACAATTGACGAAGCCAAATGTACCATGTTGGATTACTCTAAGGCGTTTGATACCTTGAATCACCATACTTTGGTAACTATTATAAAACATAGGACTTGATGAGGGTGCTGTCGAATTTATGGGGAACTACTTACAAGGTCGTACACAAAAAGTGGTTCTAAATGGACAGCAATCAGACTGCCGTGCTATAATATCTGGGATGCCTCAATGCTCCATTCAGGGGCCAATTTTATACTGTATATATACGTCCGCGTTTCCTAGTTTTATACAACATTGCAAGACCTAAATGTATGCAGACGATACACAAGTTTATTTTCGGGAGATAAAATTTTGGAAAGCTGTCAAATCATAAATAATGATCTAGAAATCATTAACAGGGTGTCCCTAGAACATTCACTCCATCTAAATCCAAAAAAATCTTTAGCAATGTTCTTTGGTATAAAAATATCGAATATGTGCATTTCTTGGGCTTATGCTCGACAGTAAGCTAAGATTTAATGGTCACGTTACACAATGTATTAGAAAATCCATTGCTCACTTAAAATACTTATATGGTAAAAAAAAGTAAAAAAGGTCCTGTGTGATTTGATACTTATATCTTCTTTTAACCACTGGATGTCGTCTATGGTCCATGTCTGACAGCGGCTGCCTCAGAAAAAATCCAGGAATACTGTCTAAGATTCATTTTTGGGATTAAACGCGGCAGGCCTGTTAGTCATAAATTGACGGAAGTCCGATGGCTTAATATGAAAAATCGACGATATCTCCATAAATGTAATTTTTATCACAAAATTATAAGATTGAAGTCTCCAGCTATCTTTTCAAAAAAATCAGCTTTCGCACGGACGTTCACAATTTAAATTTAAGATTTAAAGGCCTGCTCCACGTGACACCTCTGGAATTTTTGAAAGATCCTTTACATATGACATGGCTAAAACATATAATGCATTGGATCAGTCTCTTAAATTGCTAAACAATACCTTTTCCACACACCTGCGCAAAGTATTATTATCATTAAATATTTAAGTAATGTCTACTGTAAGCTATTTCCAAAGTGTAAGTCCCTTATTTGCACAGATCGTACTAGGTATTTTTTTGATGTATATTTTTCCCGGCTAGCGCTGCTACCTTCTTCTTAGGATAGGTTTAAAAACGGAGGCTCGAAATATCTTATTTTGTTCATCTGAACCGTGTCCTTTTCATTGTGTATTAATACGTGAATAAAATTATTATTATTAGTATTATTATTATTTGTCTGTAGGTATACTTTAACAATTCTAGTAAATATTTTTGTACAATTGGGTTGGGATTTATTGAATGCCGGTAAAGGTGTTCTGGTCCAGCTGCCACTCTAATAATATACAGGATGTTATTTATATTTTATTCAGTTCAGTTGATAAAGGCTATTTTTTCATGACCATGTCCGACCTAACCCCAACCGGGAATCTCACTGACGTTGCCCATTGATCGGAACATGTTCGAAGCAAATATTTCATTTAGTCTATTTATCTGCTGCATGGTACTAACCATACCATTTGCGTTCTGTCTGTATCTGTAAGTGGAGGAGAAGGTTAGCCTACACAACAGCACTTAGGCTTCAATAAACCCATTGCGCTTCCTCCTGGACAGAGCACTCAGTTCTGTCTCGTCTTGGAGTACTACTCAAAGCAATCTGATTTGGTTTTTATTAAGTAAACAATGACCCGTAAGGTCTTGCCTAACTTTTTCTTTGAATATGTGTGAATAGCGCTATAGCTTTCTAGCTAACCAATAGTTGCCTGTTTCATCCCAACGTTTTTCTTTATTGGTCCTATGAAGCAGCCAGGCGAGTCAGCCATATGATTTCCCCTGGAAAGCAGAATAATAACTACATTGTCACAGTGAGTGACATTCTAGTACCAGTTTTATATGGCTTGTATCATAGTAATTTCCACATGACACTTATAATGCAATGCACCATAAACACGCCACCTACGTTCTAAAGAGCGAATCATCAATAAGTAAAGTAAAGTAAAGAGACGAGCCCTAAAACACCGGTCATTTAGATTAGATTTTAGAATGTAATGTAGAATTGGAAGTTTTTGTAGCGATCACCAAATATTAAATACGACTGCGGAATGACTAAATGATGAAACTATGACTCGTTGAATAATCTGTGTAGAAAGAACTTTTCAATGTATCCTTTTTTGAAAATAGTCAAATCTCGAGTGGTGATTTTGCTAAAAGCGAGAATCTTTGGCAATGTGGATGAGACACTTTATTTTGTAATTTGGATGGATTTACATTTGGATGTGTCAAACTATTGGTTTCCAAATCGTAACACTAACCAATTACCTGAAAAGATGTTTTTTGAATTTATGAGACTGGCAATGTTCGAATTCATAATTAATCTGGAACTCTTTAGTGGTAGTGTTAGTAGACAAAATGGGAAACAGTTTTTTCTTTCGTATTTGAGTTTGTTATAACGTATATTTTTTAGACCAAGAAAATTTATTTATTTATGGTGTCTTTTCAGTAACACCCTGTATAAAAATTATCCTTTTTTTTCACAGAAGCCTTATAATAATATATTTATCTGGTTTTGATAAATTTGTAATGATTTATTAATTTTGGTTAACATTTATGAACCGTCACATATTGTCAGTACGATTTGTGTTGGCATAGTCGGCAATAAAATCCCAGACAGAATAAAATATATTATTCATCCTGGCCTCCACTTGTACTTTAACAGATGTTGAATATTGCAAGACAGCCGTCACTAACAGTCATGATTATATTACTGGGGAGTAAGAGGGACAGAATTAGTTGTACATTTATTAATTTTACTAGTAGGCCCACACTTAGAGATGGATTCATGTATTTCCTATGTAATAATAGATCGGAGTGTTCCTCAATAATATGAAAAAAGAAGAAATTAACAACTCGATACATAGAATGTCAAATTCCTGCTGGCAACAAAGCTGGGGTTGGCAATATTGATAATTGAAATAATCCAAGTAGCAAGAAAACTGTATTAATTTTTATTGATATTCGTTAATAAAATTGGTTTGAAACACCTGATCTTTCTTCCTCGACTATTTGCAAGTTAAACAGCATACAGGACACACAAAATACAAAATATATTATAAAACGCATTTATAATATAATATATTTTAAATATCGCTGCAACAAACATAAAATTTGCTAAACGGATTTTATTCTGAATAATTTGTGACAGTATTTAAAATTGTTGAAAAAAATGATAAAAAGGAAATCAGTAATATATTCCCAACAAAAACTTTTTTTGCCTTATCTGTTTTGATATTAAGCAATAATGTTTAATTCCAAACAACTTTTCTTAATAATATTTTGGTCAATTTTTTGTACCCTATATGATGTATGATTACGGAAGACACACCAATTTTTCAGAATATTAGTATTTTAGTTATGCAGTTAGTAAAAAAAATCCGATATATAATAAATAAAATACTTTTTACAAAACTTCTGTATTCCTCTGGATTTAGAGCTTGACTTGACAGCAATTTCGACTAAGCAAAAACCGACGCAGGCGGAATCCAGAAGCTTTGTAAAAAGCATTACAGTAGCCTGTGGACGTTTCTTTGAAAAATTAATAAATAAAATAAAAATAAAAACTAAAATAAATTATTAGAAAAATGACAAAATACACTTTAATTTCAAAATTTCTTTCTGTTTTCACTTCGTTGCACTCAAAACTGAAATTTGGTTTATGGAAAAGCCCTTATGATCAGCAACTAATCGGAATTTTATCTAAGCATGGACATATCGGCTCGCGCACCTTTTCTCTTGGTTTTATGGCCGACTACACCACCGCTAATCTTACCGACTATAATTTTTTGTTACTGGATAGTACTTCTTGCCTTGTTCGGCGGGCTGACTATACCAGAATAACATAATCTTAGGTAAAAATTCCTACGCGGGAAATAACGGGACCGTCACGGGGTGGGGTTACACCTACGACAATCAGTTCAGCGAATCGGACACGTTGCTCTACGAAACCAGTTCGATCCTATCCAACGACGACTGCAAAGCGATCGATCCATAGGCGTCGGTGATTCAACCGACCCATTTATGTTTGTCCGGAGACGGCGGCAAGGGAGTATGCCACGGTGACAGCGGGGGACCTCTGGTGACGGACGGCGTGCAAGTGGGCGTGGTTTCCTTCGGCTACAAGTCGTGCGAGCAAAGTAAACCGTCGGTGTTTACGAGCGTCGCCGAGTTCACCGACTGGATTCGTAGCAATTCGGACGTCTTCGGATGAACCAGTTGTTATTCTATTAATCTAGTCAAAATAAACATTTGATCTAGCCAAAATTCGACTTGTGCAAAAAAATTTATTCAAGGTAAAACGCACAAAATTGAGCTTTTTTACAGCCTATCACGTCATCGGACGTTCATTATAAATTAAAAATAAGAAATGACTATACTGTCAGTACCGAATTCTCTTTGTTTGTAACCTTGAGTATCATCTCCCAGTTACGTCATGGTTCGAGTGTGGAGGGTGGTAAAACTGTCTACTTTTGAAGGAAGTAAACAAGATAATTCAGTATATACTGTTAGTTTTTAAAATTCCTTTGGAGTGCAGTACAGTGTGCTGTCAAATGACTAACAAAAGGTCACAAGTTCGTTTCATTTGTGATAAACCTTTGAAAGAAAGTGAAGTTATTGTTGTTGATCGTGGAATGATGATGCAAGAGTTGAAATAAATGATAAGTTTGTTGAATACTTGAAAGACAAGCAGCAATCTGTGACATTTGCACTCGCAAGAGTAGCATTAATGCAATTAAGAGACAACGCGTGACAGAACAAGGTAGTGCATCCACGATTAGTCCACCTCATAATAGCCATAGGCCAATATTACCATACTTTCAATCAATAGGATCTGATCAAACTTTATTTGTTACAATAGATCGTGGAGTATTACTGGGGAAATCACGTTAAAAAAATGCGCCAAGTATACCTGTGAATTTTCTAATAGTGGAAACCGCGATATCTCACGAAAGGTGAGTCATGAGAAAAAAAGTGACAGGCAATTTTTGTAGAGAATTGTATGACCTATAACATTTGTCTGACCTATTTTCACGATAAAATTTACAGTTTTCCAGAAAATTTGGAAAAACCTCAATTTGGTAGGTTTGACCTTGAATTTTTTTTTGCCTAAGTCGAATCGACATTTCATGTATAATGGTATATTTGACGTCTCTGCCAATTTTCAGCTCTATGCGAAGTTTCGACTTATTTTTGTCCATTTTGACTAGATTATATGCACTTGGAGGCGGTAACAATCCAATAAACAACACACGCAAGGATTTTCGTATCAAAAAAATAACGTTTATTTCAAATTTATACCAAATAACGGACATAGAGTACACCTAAAAAATTCGACGCGCAAAAATATACTCTTCTTAAGGGGACAACATCGATACTATAGAAAAAATGGCTTCGAAAAAGTTTATATAGTCGATAAAAACAACAACTTGGAAACTGCAACGGCACATTTAAAATCATACCGATACGTTATTGGATTGCTTATATACGAAATCTAGATAGGATTCTAGACTAGATGCAAGTTCGCGTCTAAGGGCCGCTTCAAAAGCTTTTCGGGTATATCAACCCCTTCATTATATCGTACGAGTTACCGTCAGGTTGGACGGAAAACATGTCTCCGCCGCTCGTTTGAACTTTGAGAAACCCGTAGTCGTCGATACCGACCACCTTGACTTTTTGCATTTTGCCGTCCTTGGAAGTGACCACGACGCTCGAACTCCTAAAAACAAGATTGATGTTCTCCGTTTTCGTCCACGCCTATATTCGGCAAACGGATCTGTAATACTAGTCTAAGAGCTAGGAGCCTTTTTTTTGACGTGTTTGAGGCACTATAAATATTTGAATAATATTTATTTCATATTTTAAATACAAAACCGCAAACCTGGCTGAACGAATGCGAGGATAAATCAACCCTTATATTTTTAAACCCCAGAATTTTTTAGTTCAAAAAATATTTTTGAGGCACTTTAAAATTTTGATGCTTTTTGAATTAATATTTGAAAAGAGAAAAAATCAATAAGCCAAGTTATTTTGGTGAGTTTTTACCTGTGCCAGGTGTTTACAAAGTCATATATCTGAATAATCGAAAATATGTGTTTGAGGCGAATCGAAATTTGAACTGCATATTCTTTATTATCTAAAATAAATATTTTCAAAATGACAGGTAATTTGGGTGGAATATTCCACCTGCCAGGTGATCGCGAATATTACACGTAAGTGCGAGTGAGAGGCGCTATACGGGGGTTCAAGCGTGAGAGAGATCGTATATCGGCTACTCTCTGCGCATCAAAATTTTAAAGTGCCTCAAAAATATTTTTTGAACTAAAAAATTCTGGGGTTTAAAAATATAAGGGTTGATTTATCCTGGCATTCGTCCAGCCAGGTTTGCGTTTTGTGTTTAAAATATCATTAAATAAATATTATTCAAATATTCATAGTGCCTCAAACACATCAAAAAAGACTCCTAGCTCTCCTACAATACTGAAATCAATGCGGAAGAGAAAAAAAAAGGTAACGTGAAGTCATTTAAACTCAAAAACACCAAAATTTGGGGAATAATATATACCTTACTTCACTCGAGGTCAAACAACCTACTTCCTTTCCCGCACCTCTGTTGGTGCAGTTGGGAGGCGAAAACCGCAAACGGTTAGATACATGTTTCGTGAATCGGTTCGATATGTATAGGGAAATGTCATTGGTCCTATTGTGTTTGTACTTTACATAAATAACAGAATTACATACAGTAGGATATAAATATGCTAAAGAACACAGCCACGAGTTTTATGAAACCAGTAAAACATTGGTTTAATAAAACTAAATTTGTTGTTAATAACAACAAAAAAAATGTAGCGCTATTCAAGAAGGACAAGAGCCAAGTAGTTGAACCGAAAACGATAAACATCAGTAACTGTGAAGTCGACCTAAGCAATAAGATCAAATTCTTGGGGACATTATTGGACAATATATTAACTTGGAAATTCTACGTTAGGTTATGATGTAGGTAAATTGGACAAGGTATGTTCACGTTTCACACATAAAAATATGCTATATAATTCAAATGTTTAAAGTCATATTAGATATGTGAACACATAACATGTTGAGATAAGTTACATTCCGTTTCTTTAAACCAATCGTCTTTACGAGTTCCAACAATCAATATCACCTCTAACAGGTTATCAATTCCACAATTTTCCATTTGGATATGACGTTATTTCAACAGTATAAAATTAAATGGTAATCCTGCAGTTAATATTCTGTGGCTGTGAAGTAGACCTAAGGAATAAGATCAAAATCCTGAGGGATATTCTTGGGCAATATGTTAACTTGAAAATTCTACGTTTGTTATGCTGTGGGTAAATTGCACAAGGTATGTTACACGTTTCGCGTACTAAAAAACATCGTAAAAAGATGTTATATAACTTAAATGTCGAAAGTCACATTAGATATGGAATATTGCTGTATGGGAGTTGCAGAGACATTGAAAAAGTATTCATTATACAAAAGTGTGCAATCAGAATACTTCTAAGTCTCGAAAGTACACAGTGTTGCAGAGGAAAGTTTAATACTTTAATACTAATTGCAGTGTTCATACAAGAGTATGTGATGTTTATGCAACACAGAATTTTAGTTTCCTCACCATCGATTCACGGGGACCGAAAAGAGTCCTTATTACCAGTGAATAAAAAAATTCAACAACCTTCCCGAATGGATACAGAAAATTACAACTGTTAAAATCTTAATGAAAGAAATCTTTATTACTCTAGTCAGAATGGAAGCATAGACTATGGAAAAGTTTTACACCAAGAAAAGATAAAACTGTAAATATTGGTAGTTTAACACTATTCAATGTATTTGCATATACTTTAAATAAAGATATACAATTGTTTAACTGCCCGTATTAGTGTGTTCTAATGGTTCTTTCCGTAAGTTTAGAAGGCTATAGAAACCTTAAATGCCCCAAAAGGCAATTCTCAAGTAAATATTCAAACAGTTCCACATATTCATTGTTGAGGAACTTTTCATGGAGAATTCACTTTCATTTGAAGTTTTCCATTCAAGATTTAAACATTTTTAGAACAAAAAAAAAATCCAAACGTCACTCATACAACACTTAGAATATTAAACATTGTCATTGAAGTTACTGGGCTGTTTAAAGATATAATAATAAGGGTATTTTCACGAAATTTAAAAATCGAACCTCCTTCTAGTGCAAGTCCTCATAAGGGATCCTAACTTCAGTAAGAGTTGTCTAAAAATGATTTACTAATATTCCTTTTGTTATTGTGCAAAAAGGGAATCAAATAATCTTATCGGCAGTTAGTTTTTAAACATCGAATCTAAAACTATATTTGAAATATTTTACTTTATTCTCTAAACTATTTATATATACCCCGTCTTAGCGACGCTTGACGAATCCCCTCTAGCAAGAAATACATCCTAGTCTATTGGGCATTTTGGAATTCAATGAAACCTTACTTCGAGAAATTGTTAAACTAGTTTGGAAGTAAAATTTGGAATAGCCCCATTGCTTTCTTACGAGTCGTATGTTTTTGTTGTATGTTTATGTTAATAAATGCTTCACCAAAGAAACATTAAAAAACACACAAACTAGCTTTACAACTGCTGGCAAAGTGATGTATGGCCTTTTACAATATTTGACTGACACTGAATTTCATGAAGTGTGCATTTAATTTTGCTGCACTGTAAAAATATACTTTAAGTTATCAGTTCCCGCACTAGACCGACTTGAAATTACATCAAGCATTTAAATAATGGGTTACACTTGTCATTGTCGCTTATGCAAGTAGAAATAAGGCTCTTTTTAACATTGATTTTCATAGGACCAACTATGGGATTAACTCGCCTATGAATCGAATGTGCAAGCTGACAAATATTATACTCATAAATAACGAGCATATTGATTTATTTTCTGACTCTCTCAGTAGTTTTAATCGCAAAGTAAAGATGTCCGTAGTGGTAGTTTAGCAACTGTAAGTGTTGGTGTTACTATTTTTCTTAGGTTAAACTATATTGTAATGATAATGTAAATGCTAAATGAGTAAATAATTTTTTTATTTTTTAACATTTTTTTAATTTAATTTTTATAATGAATTGGTCAAATGATCAAAGGTAACACGTAAACATTATGAAATATTTTCAAACGGTCACGTTTGTTTAATGTCAGCAGCTCCACGATCGCAGAAAAATTCACGAATCCAAACCGACTGAAAGGAAGATGATAATAGATTTGAGAAACGTGAGGCAACTTTATTATTCTGTAAACTGTGTTTTTATGTAAATAGAACGTTGGTCAGTATTGGTAATTCACTGAACGTGAATATATTGAAACTTGTTCCTACGCCTGAGGTTTGATGTTAACGATGTTTCGGTGGACTTTTGCAACTTATTTTTTAAAAAATGTTCAAAAATTAGTAACCGTTAAACTATATAGTTCCCGATAACTAAAAATCCTACATTACAGATCCGTTTGACATATTAAACGTTCCATCAAACTCACTTATGCAGCCAATATTTGTAATAGAGATCGTAAAACCATTCTACGTCCCCACTTTGAAAACGCTCGACGAGCGTCTCGAATTCATTGAAGACCGACGCTAGGAACGTCTCGAACAAAATCGTCCTTAGAGCGAGACCATGCGAGCCATTCACCTGTTTAATTACGTCGTTGACGCACGTGGTAGGGTTTGAGTTGCTTAAGTTGATGCCGCACCCTTAAACCGTGATATGTCTCGAATCCGTATTGGAATTGTCGTAAAGATGAGTCTTACCGATATTAACCGATGCTGTGTCGCCCGCAACTGTAGACGTGACGATGACGCCCCCTATTTTGACAGCACCGTTGACGTAGAGGTCGTTTGGCCATTTGATGCCGATTTTCACATGCTAAAAATGGGTAAAAACTCGATACAATAATAATAATAATAATAATATGCTTATTCTGTAGACAACGACAAATTTAAATTAAAAATAATACATCACATTTGGTATATCCACCGATCGACCTATTGTCAGCACCATTGGTTCTCCAACATATTCTCTAGCAAAATACCTAGCTTCCTTATTAAAACCCTGGTAGTTTGCTATCTAATTCCTTTCACTTCACATTAGATACACAAGATATTCTGGCTAGTTTTGACCTAGAATCCCTCTTTACGAAAGTTCCTATTAAAATCTGAGAATCTGGAACCGAACCTTCTCACCTTAATTGAAAAATGCGTGTCTGGAATATATCGTTCTTATAACGCTCAAATTTTTTGAACAAACATCGGGAACAGCTATAGGAAGCCTTTGAGAAGAAGGCTCTCGACACCTTCCATCTAAAACTAAAATTATGGAAACGCTACGTCGATGACACTTTTATTATTTGGCCCCATGGTCAGGAAATCCTAGTAGATTAAAATAGAAACTAATAACATAATAACAACTTCCTATTCTTAGATATTCTTATCAATAGAAAATCAGACCTAACTTTGGGTCATTGTGTTTACAGAAAACCTACGCACACAGACCGATACCTTAATGCATTGTCACATCACCATCCGGCCCGAAAATCACCGATTATCAACTCTCTTGTTTACAAAGCCATAAAACTATATCAGCCGGAGTCACTGAACCCCAGAATTAAAACATCTTATCTTTGCTCTTCTCTCTAAGAATTTCCACCCACATTAAAGATCATCACTGACCACATATCAAAGGTTCTAAGAGATATAACGTCATAACCAGATCCTTGCCACTCTTCCAAAAATCTTTCAATATCTTCGATTCGTTAAAGACAAAATTTCATTTGAGATGCCATGCATATGCGGCAAAGTATGCAGTGAAGAGACGGGACGAAAAATATCAACTAGGCTCAAAGAACATGAAAAAGCCTTAAGACTAAGACAAATAAACTCATGAGCAGTTACCGAACACAATGACGAAACCGGACATAAAATTTTCGAAAAAACTAAAATTCTTGCATATCTTCGAGAGCGACGGTATAATGACGACTCCGAAAGGGTGCGGCCTACCTTGATCCCTTGATAGGGGTTGCTAGTTCTCTGCACCCGCGGATTTTACATACATTACATTAATTGTTTTGCACTTCGAATTGCCTGTGATGCGTTCGATTCGACGGTCGGTCAGAGAGAGAGTCCGTGTGGATCGATTTAAAGTTTTGACCTTCGCCTTCGGCTATTAAAATCGTGGAAAACTGGTGCCAAAACGAGCGGCTAACAGTTAACCCGAAGAAAACGACAGTTGTTCCATTTACCAGGAGAATCCTCACAGGACTGAAACCGCCGGTGGTAGATGGAACAACTAACCAAAAAACTTACCTGGAGAGCGCACATTCAAAAGATCACGCTTAGGGCAACAATTGCACTAGAAAGATGCAGAAGAATGTGTGGAAAGAACTGGGGCCTAAACCCAAAAATGACACTTTGATTGTATCTAGCAGTAGTGAGACCAATGTTGGCGTATGGGGCGATTGTCTGGTGGACAAGAACCATGCAGGGGGATGCGATAAGGCGGCTGAGTAGCGTGCAAAGACTAGCGAGTCTGTGCGCTACGGGGGCCATGAGCACAACGCCTACTGCAGCGCTGGAGGTCCTACTGAACATCCCACCAATACAATACAATACCAATACAAGGGGAATCAAGATCCGCAGTATATAGATTACTGCAAGGCCAGTCCCCAATAATTGGTGGACATAGCACGAAACATAACAAGCTTTACTTGGAGGTAAGGCCGGACAATGTTCTAGGGCTGCCTACGGACAGCACAACACCTAAGTATTGCTTCGTTAACCACTACAGGACTCAAATCTCTGCCAGAGAAGACTGGGAAAACGGGCCACCAATAAAGCCAGAAATAACCTAGTATGCTGATGGCTCAAAAACTCAAGAAGAAGTAGGAGCCGGAATATATGAACCCAGGACGAAAAGGAAAATCTCTATTCCAATGGGTAAGTTAGCAAGAGCAGAGACCACTGCACTAGAACACTGTGCAAGAGAAATAAAAGCGAGGAAGATCCGTAACAAATCAATTGCAATTTACACCGATAGTCAAGCGGCTATAAAGGCCCTGCAATCTAATAAAATAACATCCAAGTTAGTTCTGGACTGCCATAAGGCATTAAACGAGATAGCAAGCCAGAACAAAGTTACTCTATCATGGGTACCGGGGCACAGAGGGCATAAAGGTAATGAAGGCACAGACGACGCAGCCCGCGAAGGATCGTCAATGCACCTGATTGGACCAGAACCCTTTTGTGGGGTGGCCAAACCCGTTGCAAAAACAGCTATCAGGGATTGGATGGATCGAGAATCCCGACGATGGTGGAGGGACATACCGGGGCAAAGACAGGCCAAGGAATTCCTAAGGGGCCCATCGGCCAATTTTACAGCGGACCTACTAAGCTACAATAGAAAAGCCGTAAGAATAATGGTAGGTCTGCTGACGGGCCACTGCAGGCTTAAGAGGCATCTAGGCCTGATGGAAGTGGAAGAAATCACAGAATGTAGATTCTGTCAGGAAGAGGAGGAAACAGCCGCACACGTACTGTGCCACTGCGAAGGCCTAGCGAGAGTGCGTTTCCATCTGCTGGGCGATACCAAACCAAAGGCAGAGAGCTATACGAGGGAGCCATTATCGAAGTTGTGGAGTCTGGTTAGAGAGACGAACCTGGATAAAGCCCTATAGCTATGGAGAGAGTCACAATAGATCCTCCGGGTCGCAGTGACGGACAAGCTGACTGCTAGCTCTCCCAACTGTTATCCTAATCTAATCTTCGGCCGCAATGAAAAAAGAGTCGTCATTTTTTTGAGCGCGAAAAAGCCGCGAAATAAATTAATATATGTATAGTAATTTTAAAAAGGAGTTTGCATAATCAATAAATCACCTTATCAGGACGATACACCGTTTATTGCACGAAAACTGTTTTTTTTTCATTCACCCTAAGTCACATCTGTTTAAACGAGCTCAAGCGTTTACTAAAGTCATTTTCCACTTAGATTTTAAGAATCATCTTCGTATTGGAAAACTTGGTCCTCTGCAAGATCAAGAATAGCCCCTGACGTGTTTATATGGTACCAATTATTTATGTAAAGAATGAATAATTTTTTTTTTTTAAACAATGGCTGGATATCTAATAAAAACAATCAGCTGTTTACTTCGTGATGTTTAGATCTTACAGATGGTTATATTCCCTCGTATGCTTATCTTCTTTTCCAAAGTTTTCGAGTGAAAAATATAAAACTTTATTTTCCTAGAATGTACCTCGCAATGTTCGGTGAGATTCTTCACGGTCGACACAACGGCCACCATTACCAAATGTTGCGTCAACGCGAGGGCTTTGCCTAGCCGAGACGCCATCGGGATGTCGAGCTGGAGACTAAAAATGGCGCTACCCGCCGGACTAATCCAGACGTTATTCGACCTACCTGCAATTTTTATTTATTTTTCTGTTAATCACATTAAAGAAATTGCGATCTCGACTGTTCCGCGGCGCTTATATAAAGCAGGGAGCCTTACTTACCCACGCCGCTCACTTGCTGCCTCGTTATAACCGCCAAACCGTTAGCCAATCTGCCGGAGCCTACTATTTGGTGCGTGCTGGACAGCACGTCGCTGTATAGCACCAAACGCCCGGTGTACTTCGTCTCCAATGTCTAGAATACATAATGCAACATGTTGAGATAAGTTACAATCGTCTCTACGAGTTTGAATATATATTAAGTAGGATCATAAATAACGGAATTGTCTGTTGACACACTTATAATATTTCATACCAATATTTCATCCTTTGGTGCCAAATTTTCAATTATCATTTCTGTCATGATTGTTTTGTCCATTACAAATATTTTCCAAGTTTCTGAAGGTTAGGTTCATATTGAAGGAATGAATTTGATACATCCGAAGGGCTTATCTCTCATAAAGACCCGAACATTAATATATTAACCGTTTCAATTTGTTAAGTTTTCAAAATAAATAAGAACTAAAAGTTCAGATTTTCAAGAAATTACATATTTTGACATGACAATTGTTTCGACAACACCTTTATCAAATGTGACATTTGATAAAGACGCGGTGTTGTCGAAACAATTGTCATGTCAAAATATATAATTTCGTGAAAATCTGACCTTTTAGTTCTTATTTATTTTGATAAATGGATTTTCATCAAGTAAAAGCCACCTCAGTTCAATTGTTAAATTTTCATTTATTTTTATTTGTTTGAATCTTTTTTGTTGAGTTTTGTTTTGTTTCTGTTATTTACATTTAAGAATTTTTATATTAATATTTCCATTTGATGCCGATATTCTGTTATACTTTTTATAGAGTAGTCATATGTTTTCACAGCAATTTAGAAAGGACAACTGATTTCTCTAAAACGAACACATTTTACTGTTATATATGTATTTAAAAGAACGAACTGTGTTTTTGTCGTTTGAATTTTGGCTTATTTCGTTTTATATAACTTCCTAGTTAAATTAAAGAAATATATAACAACGGCAACGGTGTGCAGCTGTGTATTATTTGGCAACCACAGTTAAAACAAATTAAGTGTACGGAGATCACTGGAAAGAACGTGGCGTAAAGTGCAGGTTAAGTTGTGAAATTTCGACGCGCGTGCGCATCAGTTTAACAGTATTATATTATTGTTATATTATGTAATAAAGATATATAGTGCGACCCGATCGTACCTCGAAGTACGTCACAGTGGAAAAATTCGAGGGACACGCGTGTACTAGAACGGGCAGAAACATTCTCGAAGGACTGTCGTACCGGTCGTCTTTGCCGCAGAAAACTACGCCCAGATCGCCTGCCTCCAACTTATTGTCCTTAATATACGGACACTCGGACAGCATTTTGAGTTTCAGCTGGAAAATGAAACCAGGTTACTCCGTAGGGCCAGCCATAGACGACCACGTGACTCACGTCGTGTCTTCCCAAGAAATAAGCCGGAGTATAATCAGGCACCGGGTTCGGATTGCCACAGTCCAAATCCAAATGGTTCGACAATATATCTTTCAGTATATCCAACCTAGCCGGATCGCTCTCCTTTAAGGCTTCGAACCTGCTTTCATCGTCCTCGTACTGACTCGGACTTATCTCCAAGTGCACCTGCAATTCCGTGTCGTGATTCATCAAATCGAATTTTAGGTTGGTAAAAAAAAACCTCCAACACAAATCAATGGTTTGAGCGTCTCGGAAAGAGTAAGAGTACCGCATGCGATGAAATCTGAAAATTCTCTTAGTGCTGTAAATCAGCCTCAAATGCCATTTGCACAAGTTTGAAATATGAGGAAACCGCTAGATGTACATATGTGCAGCGGGACAATACTATTAGACATGAGGACAGAATCCTTGGTACGAGGACTGAGTCTGATGGGGGAAAGAAATACTTCGGATTGTGCCGCAATAGATTATCAAGTCTCAGCGGAAGGCCGGAACATCAGTTACACAGAATATCCTAAGAGAATCGTGATTTTGAGTCGGGCGGTTCTACCCAACAAGTGCAATATAGGAAAAGTATTTCCGCTCTTTCGGGTGGTGATCTCCAGTTATCGCCCGCGTTTGTTGGGCCAAATTTCAGTTTTTTAATAATATATTAATACAAGTATAGTTTTACTGCAAACAAAAATGCATTCGTAATAACATGAATCAACATAATCGCTTCCTCAATTGGAAAAGCATAACCAGAAACTTTTGTCGATTTTAATTTACACCTAAAGTACGTAAAATAGCTTAATTTTTTGCCCACAGAGTTAGTTTGACCTATAGTTCACCAGACTTTTGCACGTACATTTCAAACAATATTCAAACTAAGCTGTCAAATTTAACAGCCAATATCCAAACTGAAAGTTACTAAATGGAAACATCTGTTTTTATTTACTCGTCCAACTGCGAGCAGAATTAAACTTGCGTCATATTTTTATCTTTTCATTCGCCGGTACGCATGTCTTCCTTAGTACTTATTACAGACTCGTGTTATGTTCGATTTTATTTCTTGTCGTTTCTGTGTGTAACAATCATTTTTGGAGTTTTTATTTTTAAGAAATGTTTGTTTCTAAACAGGTAATACAGTAAGTGCTAAGTGCTCATCTTAATATTTATAAATTATATTATAATATTATAAATAATAGATATAAATTTTATAAACTTATTTTGAATTCTTACCAGACGCTCTATATATATGGCGCAATTTAACACTACAGAAATTTTGTTTACTTAAAACAAAAGCAAATAACTGATTTCATTTACTTAAATCAGAACAAAAAATGTTCAGCTGTTGACAACACTGTAACGTTATCAAATACAAAATATGACAATATTCCGACCTCTATATGTACAATCAAGTAGTTACAGATTCTTACCACACAGACACAGTAATTCATAATGACTCACTACTTAATATACCACTTGAAAATGGTTACAAACCCTGTTTGATAGATAAGATTGTAACTAAAAAACAGTTTTAAATAACTCTGAACTCTATCTATCCTATATTAAATACCGAACCCAAAATTTATAAAACAACAAAATACATAGAACCTAGCACGAAAATTTCGAAACATATATCTAAATTTGGTCTTAAGATTGGTTTTAAATCTGAAGACAATAAAACTAAATCACGAAAAACTCAAAAGTTCGAGTCTACAAGTTGAAATGTGGATCATGGCCCGAAATTTATATAAGAAACGCATAATGAACATAAATTGATTTATTTAAATTCAGAAATACACAACTTTGATGATAATTTTGATATTTTACATAATGAAACAAAAAGCAAAAAACCAAATTTGTTGGAAATTGTTTGTTCAAATCAATTACTTAATGACCAATTGGATTTAAATGCGTCTCCGTTGTTAAATTTAACTTTATAACCATACACCGGTAACTTAGAATCTATTACTACGTGATTGTATATATAGATGTAATAATAACTGTGAAAATATAATAGTATATTATGCAACAAGTGCGATAAACGACATTTGACTCACGAGTTTATTTGACACGAGCGGAGCGAGTGTTTAATAAACGAGTGAGTCAAAAAGTTTACCGAACGTGTTGCATACTATACTTTTTCTACGACCGTTAGTTTTGGGGTACATTTTCGCAAAACACGAATACATTCACTGACATGACTGTCAGAATTGACAAACGTCAAAATTCAAAGCGTGGGAAATATCTCCGAAAACATCTGATTGTTCCCAAACAAGTGCTGTAAAATCCCGGAAATGTCCGAAGTGGCTCGGATTCGTGGGAAACGAAACTGACGTGGTAAAGCGACGCTTCCCGCACGCTAGATCGGTGCGTATTTTACAGACGGGAGTAGAAAAACATTTTTTTGTTCTAATTTAATTGTATTAAATTAATTTTCATCAAGTAAAAGATACCTTAGTTCAACAGATTTCATGCTTGAAAAGATCGCAAGCCTACGTAACACATAACCTAACATTTTAGAGGCTGCTGTTTGCAATCATATCCATAACATTTTTAAGAGTCCCGACTGTGAACCTTGTATGACGCCAGAATTAGTGCAACGTTTAGTGACCTTCCCGTAATTGAACCACTTTCGAAAGCCTCACTGAAGTCAATGTAAATAACATCAACCTGGATTCTGTTGTCTAGGTGGTCATGGAGATACTCAGTAAAGACAAATAAACTCTCAAGTTGGGATAAAAGCCATGCTGCTCAGTTCCAAGAATATGTTGGACCAGTGGCTCTTAGATGTATCTTAAACTGGGTCAAAAAATATTCGTCGGCCATTATTAAAATTAAATGGTCTGAACTACACCATTGTTTTTCCGCGTTCTAGGAAATATTCCGTAAGTATAGTGTAGGGAAAATTAATTGTGTTGGGTCTACACGCAGAAGAATACCTGCGAAAATATAGCTCGCCCTTCCGAACCCTTCACGGTTGCTAGCAGCAAACTGGGCGTCTGCCACGTTTCTTCCGCACCCAACACCTGCACCTGAATCGTATATTCTTTACCGTTATGCTGGATTTCCACTGCGGACGGGGTCCTCGGCGCAATAGGACTCGACCCATTGCCGCTGCTGCAAACTGACGTCTTACCCTAAAAAAACCCTCCTATCGAACTCCAGCTAACCTGTGATTGGACGCGTCTGAATCTTTCGAAAATTGTTTCTTGGCCGGCGACGCCTGGTAGCAGAATATGTGATGCATCATCTTCACCCGCTTCCACTTGCCGTACGAGAATCGAACCAGCTCGTGTTCCCTAACCTCGATATCAAACGACAATGAGCTCTAACAATTGAGCAACAGCAAAAACGAGCTTACTTCCGCGGTGGTAAACGTGTGCAACACGCTATATAACAAGTCGCTGCACAGACAGAGCAGCTGACCACCGTTGAAGAGGAATTTCATCAAGTTCGCGGCCAGCTTCGACTCGACAGCTCCACATACGACGACGAGGGCGGTCGAATCGGTCCACGGTGATTTTCCGGTGTCCGGCAGATCATATATTGTGTACCTGGAACGAGGTGCTTAGCACCACTACCTCAGAACTATGTCTCTACATTTCCATATACGGCACTGTTGCTTGAACAGTTTCGTTAATCTCTGATATCAGTGTAATCACGGAACACTTAGGACAGGACAAGAGGGGTAAGCTCCGCCCTCAATGTTTCCAACTCACTCCCTCCGTAATGGTACCCTCCCTAGACAGTACACGTGGTATTGATAAAAAAGTGTTTCAACTAATTTTTAAAGAATGTAAATATTAATTAGTGAAGGAACGATAACAAAACACTGAATGTGAGTCACCCCGTTTGTCCTGTTTATATTCCGTAATGTAAGTAGTTGAATTGCTCAAGATAGAGTAGCGGGAAATGTAGAGCTAACAAGACTGCTCGCGAAAAATCGTAGCTGGGCGGGGCAAGTTCGTAGCGCGTAGCTCGAAGCAGCTTTTTATTCTAAAAAGAAAGAGCTTCGCAGTTTCTTGTGGTAAAGGGACGCATTGTTTTTCTATCGTGCTCCTGCGGACCATTATGAAACTTTCGCAAAATCGGCGTAATTTTATTGCGCATACATCCTGTATAAAGTGTCTTTCAAGCCTCGCCGAACTTCAAAGTTAAAGCAAACATTGTTAAACATTAAAATTTGTACAAATAACAGCGTTGTCGAATGATATTTTGTCAAGTATCTCGTATCTCTCGACACAGTTTACGATACAGTTCAAATCAAATTAACGGATTTTTAGCAGTCTTTCATTTATCCCCAATAATTTACCAACAAAAACGGAAATTGATGGCGAGAAATGGTGATTTTTATTTGGATTTTTTAAAATATCTCGAACAGCGTACGTGATAGACGAAAATCGTGAATACAAAAATTGTAGCTTTCGATGTGGCCTATAACACTGTTTAAACCAGTTGGCCATATTTTTCATCACGAATTTTGATTTACGGCTAACAATTTAATAGCGAAAAGAACAATTTTCATTAGATTCATTTTCTATTAGATTTTTGTCAATAATTGAAAAACCCTGTATATAATGGAAAAAATGCCCGAAATAAAAGTTATGGTCCCGGACCTCCTCCATTTCCTGGTTCATAAATTTTTCCGATCGGGTTATGGTTTTCGAGAAAATAATGTTTTTCTGGAAGTCAAAATATACCAAAAAAAATTCATAAATTTTTAAAAAATACTTTGCCAGATTTGAGTAAGTTGAGATGAAATGCGGGCTATCCAGCCCAATCTGAAGTCGATAGCTGCAAATTTATGATACCTGTTAATTTTGGAATATAGCACTTAACATCTTTAACACCCTCCCTGTACTACAGGTGAAAATCTTAAATACAAAACGGACTGACATACGAAGCACATTCTTTCATTTATAGCAAATTTTCAATAATAGGGGGACCCATTTTTCAGTTTTTTTGAATTTGCGGCGCACCCTGTACATTTTTGAAAAACGTTCAGGAATAAAATTTTATGGAGGCGAATCTTATGTTTTCGAGAAATTATTTTTTTCTTGGACGTCTGCAAACGCGGTTTTTATTTTTTTTTAAATACGCGCGTTTCATAACAACGTCCAACAGTCGAAAATCGAAAAAAAAAAGATGGACGCCGAAGTTTGAAGGCCGCCATTTTTACATGTCTTATGCATCCCATGGACGGTTAAAAAGGAGCAAAATTTGAAGCGTGTGGCTCAGACCATTCGGAAATTATCCTCGAAAGACAGAGAACGGACAGACAAAAACAATTTTTTTTCGACGCTGATCATTTCTGTCCCAATGGGTGTCCCGTACGACCTAGAGTTACCGAGATCTCGAGTTTAGTGAGGAGCGGAAGAGAATTGATTTCATCGATTTTTCGAAAGTAAGAAGCTATGGTTTCACCTACTTATCTCTGTTTAAAACGTTTGCCAGCACCGCCTTTACGTTGTCTTTGGCGACGACGCTGTCTGCGTATACTAGTACATTCGGCGGTTTGATATGTCTCGGTACCATAGCATCCGCGGATAAAACCATCTCTTCCACAGGAGATGAATCTTTCTGCGGCATCGGTTTATGTTTCTTTTTCTTCTCCTCTATCCTATCATCCTTTGTTTTAGCTTTACACCCCTTGTCCTCCTCCGGATCGTCGTACGTGGCGGTGCTCCTTGTAAGTTTCTTCTCTTTGCTAGAACTCCTGGTGACGACATCCTTTCCCGGCGACTTCTTGGGCCCCGCCAATTCAAGGTCACCTTTCGAGCCCTTCTTTTTCTCCCCGTTCAACTCGGCCGCTTCCGAATCGATTTTCGCGCTACTTTTTCTCTCCTCCTTGGAGCTACCCGGTTCCGGGTGTTCTTTGCTCGCGTGAACCCGCGTTTTCGAGTGCTTCCTCGGCTCTCTCGCTTTGTCCTTGTCATCTTTCGGGCCAGACTCTTTGGGTTCCTTTTTCGGGCTATAGTTTTTGTGTCTTTCCGATTTATTGTCGGTTTCGGATTTGCCGTGATGGTTTGGCGACTTGTGACGCCGGTAGTCGTTGGAGTTGACCTCCAACGTGTTCTTGTCTTCGCCTTTTCTCTCTTTCTTTATCGGTTTTACTTCCGACACCGGTACTTTCTTGAGTTCCTCGGACTTAGCCGATCCGTTGTCAATAGTGATCTTGGGGCTGAAAACGAAAGATTTTATTTTTTGGTTGCCTACAATTTCAAATTGAGGGTAATGTTAATATTCAAACCAGTGTGATATGATAGCAGTACACTGACAAGTCGAGGTCTTAATGGTTATATTTCTTCAAACTATGTGTTTCGCCCATACGAGCAACTTCAGACCTAAAGAAGAAATTTTTCAAAAAAAAAAAAAATACAAAGCATATAACGTCAACTCAAACGCATACAAAAAGTGTGATTTCGTCTTTGACGGATCGAAGATGTTGGGAGATTTTTGGACAAGATAAAGACAACTCGCTGTCTATGGAAGGTGTGTGTGTGTGTATTTTGTGATGGAACACTTAGTGTCTTTAATTTGGAAATTATTAGAGAGAAGAGATGTAAGTTGTTTTAATTCCGGGTTCAGTGACTCTGGTTGAGATAGTTTTATGGCTCTGTAAACAAGAGAATGGATAACCAATGATTTTTGGGATGGATGGTCATGTGACAACGCATTAAGGTATTGGTGTGTGTGCGTAGATTTTCTAGAAACCGAATGACCCTATGTTAGGACTGATTTTCTATAGATAGGAATATCTACGAATGAGAGATTATTATCAGTTTCCAATTCAATGGTAAAACCTATGTGAGGGTGTTAGATTTTTAAATGTTTAAGAAAATCTCATATGGATTCTTTACCAAGGTGCCGAGGGCTTTTTTCTCGAAGGCTGCCATTAATATATTAGTGATAATTGGTGATAATGTAGAACTCATAGCTCTTCCCGAAGTTTGTTCATAAATTTGATCGTTACAAGAAAAACATGTTCTAGAGAAGCATTTTTCGATTAAGATGAGGATGTTTCAGTTTGAAGTTTGAGTTATAAACAACTGACGCAGAGGAAATCCAGAAGATTTGAAAATAGTATTATAGTAGCCTGTGGAAAAAGCAAAAAATGTTGTAATTGAAAAACATGACTAAACCATAGACCTAATGTCGGTTCATAATTGAAAACGTCAATCAAGCACTTTGGAGCTTTGGTGATATCTAATTCCTGCAAAATATCAAGTTTTTTGGTCTTTGGGTACTCATATAAAATATTCATATTTTGTTTAGGAAGAAACTTATAACAAAAGATGAGTAGCGAAAACAATGTCCTTGGAATGTCTCGCCAAAGTTAGATGTTCGTGAACCCTGATGGAAATCCAGCTACCAGACTGTTCAAGAAATTATTTCAGTTTGCTGTTTGTTTTGCATGCTATAGATAAATTCATACTCATGAATGACTTATCCAAGTGCAATCTACGTTCTGGAAGTTTGATTTTATTCTATGAATGGCGAATGATATGTTTATTGATAGAACGAAGTGGATAGCCGTCTAATCGTCGTCCATTTGCATTAAATTATTCCTTTGAAAGTGGAATGTGAAAATCCCTATGGAAAAAACAACTAAAGTAGGCAAAGTTATGGGAATAGGGATAGTTGGAGCAAAATTGTATTATATTGTCAGTGGATGCAGACCTTTAAAAATCTCGAATTCAACTCCTTTAGTGAAATAAATTTTCGAAAATAATCCTTCAATTGCTAATTTTTGTGAATCTGAAAAAGTTCTTAAATAATTAAAAAAAAGGACTCGCGGCTGATTCGGAGTAGTTTCCCGGTCGACATCGACATCCGCCGACTGTTCCACATTTCCTTAGCTAACGGGAACCCCGATGGACTTACTTGGTGGCGTCCCGTATCTTTGAGTACAGATGTTTCACCTCACAGACGAAGTTCCTCCAGTGGATGGGTCGGTGGGAATATTTCACGGTCGTGTCAGTCGAAAATTTCCGTTCAAATTTTATTTTCTTGGGTTTTCCGTCGACGTCTACGGCTGCGCAACGATCGTGTTAGGTGAGGTAAAAAAAGGGAGCGAAAAAACAACTCACTTTCGAGCCTCAACAGTTGCAGCTCGTGATTGATGTCGCAGTCGCTTTGAGAAAAACACTGCACAAGTTTCGTCAGCTTGTCGAGGTCTGATTTTAGGATAAGCTCGAAGTGATCGGTGACTTTCCACGCGATCAGTTCGCCGAAATTCTCAACCTGGCGTAGTGAAAAAAAAATTAAATGGTAGCCTTAACGATTGACCCCTAACTTATAAACCAAAGGCACTTAACCTCAATAAACCAATAAAAAGCCGATTTACAAGTGTTTATCCAATACACAGAGGTCTTTTTATGTTAGTAGCACTAACTGTGACACTAATTTTGTTGTACTGATAGGGCTCCAACGGCTCAAAACGGCAGTTTGATAATTCTCTATAGTATCTAGACAGCACTAAAGTTTAGTATCCTGTGAGAGGGCAATCACTGCTTACGTAAATGACTTTTAGATTACCATATGCAATCTTATGCACTTATCAGAAAAAGAAAAGTACGGATGAGCATCACCGGTATTAAGATGATTATCACAAAAGTGGAATGATGTTGTAAACCTATAAACAGAAGTGGACCTAAAATACTACCCAGGGGTACCCTCGCTAACAGCCTGCCCTGTCATTAAAAATGATGCCCATTTACAACACACTTAGCTGAATCTTATGTGATGAAGAATTGAGATGAGGATATCATGATTTGTCATGTTAAAGGCATTTCTAAAATGAATTAACTCATAAAAATGTCAACTATTACGTTGCTACCCTACCTACCTACCTACTATACCATAGCAAATTAAAAAAAAAATCTGTTAATAATTATAATAATAATAAAGCTACCATTGGAGTTAACTGGCATTCCAAGGTGAATCTTGCTTCTATTCTTTGACGATGATTCGCAGGGAAGTGTATGAGATGTACGAGAGTAATCAGATTAAATCATTTGAATCCTTGCAACAGAAACTAAAAGAAATTGTTCGGTTTACTGGCATAATAAGACAATGGGCTCGACGAATGGTGGAATGAAAATATTAAACTCAAATTCAACGATTTTGAGTAGCAAAACGAGACTAGGTTCGATACCCACTTCACTACAAAGAATGAACTTCGAATATACCTTGCATCTAGAGGAAAAGGAATAGACATTTTACACTGTGGCTCCAAAGAAGGCTGAGTGCCAAACGTTTTGCTCAGTTGTCACGATATGACAAGTGAGCATTTTTGAAAATTGGCAAAAAAATTTTCTTCTTCCAAATTTCTCACCATTCAGCTTAATAGTTTAGTTCTTACAGCACTTTAGCTAAAAAACGATCAGCAGCAAACAAGAGGTACTGCAAGTCAGTATGACTTTATTTTGAAGAAAAACAAACGCCTACGAGCACATAAAAACGTTAATAGCATTATTATAGTCATAATCATTTATCGTGTGTCGGACTATACGAAATTGCCGACCTATCGAATTGGTTAAAAAACCAATCTCTTATCCCTAGTCACCACTAATATTCAAGATACGAAATTGAGCGACCGAATCTCTATAATGATAATTAACCATAGGTAAATAAATTGGAAATAATCTATGGTATATTTGAATTATTGCGGATTATTTTTTATTCAGAAGTTTAGTTAGTCGTTTTTTTCATTTAAGACAAGAAGTTTCTATAAAATGTTTCGTCCGTGAGAAGAAAAACCCGACCCTTCAAGTGGAGTCACGGACGGCGATAATGAGAGAAGTGGCAGCTTTGAAACATAGGCCAGTGAGTACAGTGCGGCATAAACCCACATCAGAGAGAGAAGAAAAAAAACTGTATATGAATAGATCATGTTAATTAGACGTATACTGCTACTTTTTTTGATGGGTTGTTATAGTAAAATGTTCCACGCAGGTTGTAATAAAAACACTGGGTGTTTAAGTTAATTAAATAAATCCGGAAGCCTGCGCATCTCTGTGGATGTGGCGTCTAAATACACATGAGAATTAAATCCACAAATCGTGTTCTGTCCATGCGCTGTAGAAAACGATTTCAACATTTTCAAAATCACCCTGTATCTAAAAATCGAAGACAACTGTGATATTTCTCACGAAAGGCGCAGCTTTATAATAATAAGGAAGATCGACGCTATTGAAGAGTATATCAAAAGATGCCGTTTTCAAAACCACCTTTCATGGAGTTATTTTTCAGACAGAGATTATTTTAAACACCCAGTATGGTAATGAAATCATCAAAATTAAAACTTATGCCCCTTTAAAGGCACATTCGCTCTTTCACCATTCAATTGCCCTTACAAGGTTCCGCAAATTTCGCCAATCGCATTTGTAAATATTTTTAGTCCGGCCCTGGATTCATTTCAGTTTAAAGATGTTGAAGTTGATATAAAGCAGAACAAACTTTAACTACGTGACATAAACCACATTATACCTGTAATATCTCCGAATGGTGCTTGGTATAGTTGTCCAACACCGCTTGTATCCATATGTATATGTTGGGCGATTCAATCGCCACGCGGTTATCCTTAAAATAAATCGGAAAGTACTTGCAGTCTTTTGGAAATATGACCCACTGGGACGAGAGGTTGATTTTTTGCTGCAACAAACCGAGGGTGTACTTATGGCATTTTGGTATACTTGGACCAGAAATATAGTACTTTTACAATCGACCCCGTGATTAAGTTTGCTTGCTGTTTATTACTACAAAACCGCAACACCTTATAGAACACCCTGCCGAGCAGACCCTCACCGGTAACCGTTCCAGGACAGTCCTAGGAGTTTATCTAACTGCAGTAACAAGCGGGATGTAAGTATGTTTTCAATCTTTTTCGCCGAGCAATTCTTGAAACGTGTACATAAAAAAATTAATACAAAGTACTTTCTATTTAATATAATAATATCAAATTATATTAAATGAAATTATAATAACGTATCAGTGACTTAAAAAATCGTCACAATCGCTATTGTCGTCACCTAGTTCAACAATCAACTCCATTTTCTTCAAAAAAGTACGCAACGACTCTTTGGCACAACTAACGTTTAAGTGTGTCAGTACTTTCCTAAGCAGTTCCTCCAAGGTGAAAACACTATTTACTTTATAAGCGTCGTAGATTATACGCCTAATTAGATCTGCGTGTTGCTCTTTAAAAATTCGCGAAGTACCAGCACCTTCTCTCACTTTCCTCTTGACTATCCCATTTGCAACAATTTTTCTTACAGTTGACTTTGGAGCTTTGGTCATGTCACTTGTTTTTATTGCTGGTTCCTACTTCCCCTTCTGAAATTCTTATAAAATTCTAAACATTCAAAACAATTTGTTTAGCATCCAAAGGCAAATGGAATCGTTTTTTTATTTGCTGAGGTAGTTTGTCTTCTAAATTGTCATTAGGTTCGGCTACCACCTGCACTTCGTCTTCAAATTCTGCGCTGTTTTCCACGTCTTCTGCTAACAGGGGAATATCTGTTTCATTCTGCGGTCTCCACATTTTAAAGTGTTAAAAAAAAGGAACCTTCAAAAATTGTATAATTGTAATATTCTAATAAACATTTATCTGTATTCTTATGACGTGCCTTTATATAATGCCAATATAATCTATAGTCTTAAAAGACCGCTGTTGTTTACAAATCGAAGAACACACAAAGAAGAATGTTGTTAATCGACAGGCATACAAAACAAAAATGATTATTTTCAAACTTACCTGTAAGATATACCTTAGCTTTTAAACTATCCAGTGAAAACAGCCTCGCAGGGTCAAAGCTCGAGGATCAGGTACATAAATACGTACTTACTGGATGGACCACAGTCAAATACCTCCGTAATATATACGAACATATTTCAATTTAGAATAATAGAAAACACCCCGCAGCATTAATGCTTAAAACGGTCCACTTACGTTTCAAATAAAAATTTAAAATTTCTACAAATATTCCTTACGGTCCAGCTCAAGTAGGTCTTAATGCAGAACAAACACCTGTTGGGACGGGTTTAACCACGGTAATGCGAATGTCTGCGGTTAAGGTACTATAAAATACTTAAAACGTCAAAGTAATAAGTGCACTATATTTTTGGTCGCATTATACCATTACACGGCAGAATTTACTTTGGGTACCACGGTGCATCCGATCCTGTTCTCGTTTCTGAAAAGCAGATTCTCGAAGCTTCTCGGTTTCCGGGTGTCGTAGACGACCTTCTCGTCGCATACGAGTATCGCGTTTTTCGAATTCAGGGTCCCGTTGAGTTTGTTTTTGAGGGCACCCAATCGCCACCACTGCAGCAACGTCGCGTACATGTAGTAGAGGGTGAAAATCATGTCGGACCTGTTTACGACCGCGTTACCTTCTCAACAATCGTTTTTCTTCCGGCCCATGTCCGCCTGCACGAATATATATATATATATATATATATATATATATATATATATATATATATATATATATATATATATATATATATATATATATATATATATATATATATATATATATATATATATATATATATATATATATATATATATATATATATATATATATATATATATATACATATATATATATAAACAACTTTACAGTTAGAATTTTTCGATGAAATAAACTGTTCGGAGCGCGAGCATTGAAGATGCCAAGTGAGATTTTGGCGAAACGTCTGCAGAATTCCAGTCGGAGTTCAACAAGCGAACGGATGATATCCCGGAATATAGTGTCATCATTATATATATATATATATATATATATATATATATATATATATATATATATATATATATATATATATATATATATATATATATATATATATATATATTCCATACAAAATAAATAAGAACTAAAAGTTCAGATTTTCACGAAATTATATATTTTGACATGACAATTGTTTCGACAACACCGTGTCCTTATCAAATGTGCATTTCGTGAAAATCTGAACTTTTAGTTCTTATTTATTTTGCAATACCCAGTAAATTATTTCATTTTTTGAATTCTAATGAAATTTTATAATAGATACTTTTAGGTTTTATTATACCCAATCCCAATAGTTTCTTGGATATCTTGATAAATTTAAACATTTTGAAAGATTTAACATGACATAAACATAAACAAGAAAATTTAATAATAACCAATCACATCATTCTGGAAGATACGCCACCCTGTAAATCGCTGTATAGTGAAGGGTAAATTTTATTCTACATCGAATGGCTATGCCCTTCAACAGTTATCTTGTTATTTCATATTTTTTTATCAAAAGTCATTCAAAACCGAAAGTTCTTTCTAGTTAGCACAGATTTTTGCAAAGTTTGCCATTTTTTATTAAAATTTGTTGAAAGATTACGTTGAAATGTATTTTTTCCAGTTTTAAATAACATCCCTAATTACTCACGCATTCATTGATTATATTTTCCACATACATTTTCCTAATGGTTTTCGTGTTATTCAACATATTCAATTTTGATGTGATGTTTGGCTCACACCAAAGGATAATTTTACTTCAGGAAATTATATGACAGTAGCAAACGGAAAAATGGTGTTAAATTAACACGTGGCGCCAAAACAGGTAAAGTGAAGGACAGAAAATACTTGGAACACAAGAAAAAGAAATTCAAAATGAAGGTAAACGAAATCCTTACAATGCAATGTAAACGGAAGTTCAAAAAACATCTCTCTGTATACACCTGAAGCGAAAAAAGCAAGAGCTACATGTCGGGAGTTTTGAGTAGCCAGTTCCGGAGTTCCTTAACACAAAATTAATGCTAACTAGAAAAAACTTTGACTTTGATTGAATTTTGATAGAAAATCAGAAGAAAATAAGAAGGGAGACGTATTTGACTAAATGGAGTTTTGAAAAAACCATAATTTTTTTTGTTGAACCTAAAAAAACGAATATTGTACCGGATGTTCTATTAAAAATAAAGAAATTGGATACTTATGGGAAACTTTGTATAATAAGAACTGATTTCATTGCATGCATCACATCAATTCAAATAACTTGTGCATTTAAAATACAGTAGGGGGCTACCTGGTGTAGATAAAATTAGTAGGACGTCCCATATAACATACCAATTGAGGCATAACGTACGTACTACTGTTACACATTACAGGAAATTTCTGTGACATTAATTTAAATACTTCTTTAGTATGTGGTTGTTCTTTCAGAAGAATCGGCATCGCTCTGGTATGAAGCTAATAATCAAACATATAATTTTTCCATATAACTATTATAGTAGCATACTGGTCTGAGGTGGCTATGGCAAAGTTATTGCAAATCTGTCAGCGGCCATATTGGGTGGTGATTTAAGGACAGCAAGCGGGCCAATCTCGAAAGATGTAAATTATAATAGAGGTCGCTAGAGGGTGACATACTACCGGGCTCAAATGCGATGTTAATTGTATTTTAGATTGAAAAGCTTCCCTAAAAGCTTTAACTCTAGAAATCCTACCTCTTAAAGCTCTAGAAATAAAAGCTAAAAACTCTCCTAAGATAGAGCTAGAGCCTCTTATAAACTCCTCTAAAAGCTCCTCTAAAATGTTTACGTGGAAAAAGTCGATAAAAGCTCTAGGTTTATAAGTTCCTCTATAAACTCTATCCCAGAGGCTAAAAAACCTCCTCGATCCAACAGTAGTGTGTAAGCATTTGGACAGAAAACGCAAACTAGTTTGTTACAATTCACGGAGCAAAACCGCTATATATTTAAAAATAATTTTAGACCACCACAACTTTAGTTGAAGAGTTAAAATGTGAACAAAATTACGTCTCTTGGTTAACAATGGGAGATATTTTTGCAATAAGTTACTTAAGCAAATTCAAAAGGAAAATTCGATTTTTTAGTTGGTCTTTAGTATGGCGTGCTCTAGCTGCCGACCTAGCAACTTGTTCAAACGACCAGAAATATGCCGAGACCTGGAAAATTATACACTGTTGTCATATTTATTAAAGATATTCGCGTTGCGACGTACTAATATGCAATGGATTTGTATGTCACTACTCATTTATTATACTTAAAAGATTATCGCAGCACTCGCAGTAGCTTTCTTATAGTTGTGATTGATACATACAGTGTGTCCCACTTACTTAACCCTGGATATCCTGGAACAATGCCAAGGTACGGCACTGGTTAGACATTTTTCAAGAAATCTACTTTCAAGGAACTCTCGGAACATAAAAAATATTATTAAAAATGGATATATCATTAAAACGTTCGACTGTTTTTAAAGTGCAATTTCTTCGATAACGTATAAAAAATGAGTTTAACGACAGAGATATGGATAACGGCAGAGCGAATGGGCAAAAATAATTTGTTTTGAAATGGGCGGGGTCAGTGATCGATCGTCTTCGTTTGTAGTTACACAGGGCCCGCACTTTTTAAAAGGAAACTGGCGGCGGGGCAAATCTAATCAAATTCAAATATAAGATACGGAATATTAAAATTTAAATTTACTGAAAAAAAAATCTTACAGGGTGTTACAAAAAAGTAGGTCAATCCGTTACCTATATATATTTTTGGGTAAAATAATAAAATAATGTCACTTTCCACTCCAACCCTTTGTTTTTAATATAAAGGGTGTCATATTTATAACATTAATATCTCCATTAATTAATTTAATTGTAACTTATGTTTTTATTTAACTTATGATTTTTTAAGCATTGGTTAATTTGATTGTATGTAGGAATTGAATTAAGAACTACATTTAATGTTTCAAATAATCGGTCATTTTCTTTTGAATTTTTTTAGTATGCCAATATGCATCTCGTACTTTGGCTTGTATATTCACCATTTCTTCGAGAAGGGCATCTTCCCCATGATACACAAAAAATTTCTCTAGCAGCTTAACTGAATATAGGGCTGGTTGAATGGTTAATGGTGGTCCCAGATCAGCTCCATCTTCTTCTTCCTCTTGTTGTACTATGGCTTCCTGTGTCAAGCCTTCTGTTGTAGGCAAATCCTGATCTATCACCATAAAATCTTGCAACTCTTCACTGGTAAACGTAATTTTTGTTTGAAACTGCTTTATCCACTCGCTTAGTGGCTCTTCTAAGTCCTGTTCGCGTTCTGTCCCGGTAATAAATCCTGCATGACGATAGGAGTGTTGAATTGTTTCTGCTGTCACCTCTTTCCAAGCTTTACTAATAAAGTTGACTGCATCTAGCACTTTTCTTTGGACTCGATCATTTCCACTAAAACGTTTTTCCCGTATCGACTCTTAAGACTTTTTATTACGCTCCGGTCCATCGGCTGTAATATACTTGTTGTTTTGGCTGGAAGGAATGCCAATTCACTATTCCGTAGATTGGGAATATGGGGATGTGCAAATACCAGTTTCGTCAGCAGGGTACTTCTCTGCTAGTTTTGGCCACGTCTTCTCCAGCCAATCGTTAGTGACGTTTCTGTAGACATCACGGACTTCGCCACTTATCTGTCTCTGTTTGACCAACCATCTTTCCGAAGCCTTCAAATCGATAATGAAAAGCTGTTCAAACTTTTCTGTTTTTAGTTTTACCATAGGTCCAGAGAGTGGTACATTTTTAAGACGTTGCTGTTGGTATCAGCAACATTGCCCGATCCAAATCTTCAAATTTTGACTTTCTTAGAAAAAATACAGGGAGACTCAAGTCACTTGGTGCATACGGTTTAAAAATTAAAAATTTAGCTGACAGGTGACAGTTTTTTAAACATTCTATTTAACTGATGGAACCTGACACTCTGTAAAAGATTTATTTTCAGAATTCCTACTTAACATTGACTACATTGGTTATTTATTTAAATCTCAACAAAACGTCACAGAAAACAATTGTCAGCCCCCCCGCCCGGATCCGACGGTGTTTATCTTAAGATTACGGGCTGTTTTGTTGAAATTATCACCAGCAAACAGTGATATATTGTCCTTTAACATATTGATCGGTTCTTATCGCCGAGAAGAATTATGTAGTATTGACCTATTTGGAATTGTTAAAAAAGCACCACCGACAACGAGACAAGCTGTTTACGCGGCCTCCTCCGATGGAAAACTTTCATACGATTATTCCCGTATCCAGGGGAACGAAAAACAATTGATTTTAAAAATTTGATAAGAATAATAATTAAAAAATTTAGTGTTAAGTCTTTGGAATAAAATAATAACAAAATAAATTGTAACGGGTGATCACTTACGGTGGCCCCTCCCCTTTAACTTTTTTATTAAAAAAAAAATAGTAGATAAATTATTTGCAAAATATAGTTATCCAAATCCAATAGTATTTGGCTAGGCTGTATGTTTGTTGAAATTTTTTATAGATTGAGCCAACTTAGCTCTCGTATTTGCTTTAAAAAGCGTTTCCAAAATTAATTGTTTTTCTCTTTCAGAATAAGGCATTTTATATTAAAAAGAATGTAAGTTTTGCTGAATCTGTAACTGGTGACTAGCACGTTAGTTAGTTTTGCTGACGACCGACTTGCACCTAAGATATAAATTATAGAATATTATTTTATTTTGGAATGTTGCTTTTATGTATCTATCTCAAAAAATATTGGATTTGGGTATAGGACATATTATAAAAGAAATGTGCAGAATGTTTAGGGGATTTTGTATGTATCAAAATATATCTTGCAAATAGCTTACTATTTTTGGAACATTTTTTTTATTTGACTTGTTTTCCACAACCATTAAATACAAAAAGTTATGATCACGGTTAAAATATGGAACAAATTTGTTTAAGAATCAGGTATGGAATTTGCAGAAAATAGAAAATATACGGGGTGGGTCAAAAAGTATATGTCGATATCAAGTTCCTTTTTGAAATAGAACAGCATTTTTCAAATTCTGCGTCAAATTTCACGCATAACTCATGTAGCATAATACCATCTACAAACAAAATGTTTAGGCTGGGTTTTGAATAACAAAAAAATGGTACTGATTAAAATTGTGCTGGAGCCCCATATTTATAATTTCTTCCAAATGACTTAATTCCTACTTTCACAGTCCCTTTTTTCAACGTCATATTGTTCGACAAGTGTCTGAATATTTAAATACGGTATTTCTCGGCCAATTCCCCACTGGATTTTTTTCTTGTGGGGATATTTAAAATCAAAAGATTTAAAAAAGTGGTATTCCATTGGAAAAAAGGAACTTGGTATCGACATCTCCTTTTACAATATCTGATTTTTAAAGGATTTTGTTCTATATTTTTGCCATTCACTGTACCCTGGAAACTTTTCTTTGTGGTTCTTTTATCTTAATCACAATTATCAGCAAAAAAAAAGGTTATATTTAAAAATATCGTAAAATTTTATTGCAAAAAGCTGTTTCTTTTTCAGTTTTCCACAAACGTGGCGACTTTCAAAATAAATAGATTTTTCTTAAGAAATAGGAGTCAAACTGCTTAGATGGACTGGACCAAATACTTTGATAAAGTGATTTATCAAAGTAACATTTTAGAACCAAATAAAGTTTTATTACACTTGAAAGAGCAAATTAGCAAATTTTTTAATTGTATTTTTTATTATATTTTTTTTATAATTTTTAATTTATATTTTAACATAAATTGTGAGAATTTTTATAGGTGAATTTAAAGATTTGATAGTTTGATTAATATTTCTTTAGCTTAGGATGTACCAAAAAAATTAGGATTGGAAAATGTGAAAAAAATAGTTTTTCCGATTAGAAAATAAGCGCATTTGTAGAAAACTAAAAAATAAAATACTTTTTCTAATTTTTTTTTTCATATATTCAAAAATCACCTATTTTTTTATATATTTTAATTTTAAAAAAATCTAAATTGTGACAAGTGAAGGCATGTTTAGTAAATTGATTTATTTAATACTTTTTATGCACAAACTGTTCCAATACGATGCGAACTTTATACAAAACAATACTATATAGGATATTAAACACTCGACACTTTATCATTAAAACAGATGAACCGAAACTGAAATATGAAATTACTAATAAAAACTAAAATATCCATTGGATTAAGCGTGCGGAAAATGACATTAGCCATTTCTGACAGTCACTCGGCAAATGTATTCGTGTTGTTTTGCAAAAATGTTGCCAAAAACTAACGGTCGTGGAAACATGCCAACATGTGGATAAATTTCACTCTTTCATTAAATGGCGTTTATCAGCCTTGTTGCATAATATACTATATACGCCAATTTACAAGTTCTATTTATATTCATATCTTATTACGAATTTATCGGATAATTTATTTAATTTGTTCCCCCTAAAAGAACACAAAAATCTCCTTTTCTTCTTGCGACTTGAGTGCGTTTCTATTATATATTACTTATTATATGACATAGACATAAAAGTAATTATTTTTAATACGACATAGCCCATTGTAATTTAAAACACCAGTATCGCGAATATTCTGAATTAAAAACAGACTTGATATATGATACCTATTAACTTTGGTATTAAATGTTTTGAATGTGAAAAATATCGCTAGAGCATATATCTTGCCGGAATGCTAACTCAGTTCGATTTCTTCATTCATATACAAACGTCGTTATTTCATTCTCCCACGTGTTAAGATATGTTGTTGTAACGAAAATATCGTAAAATTAATTAAAATTTTGAAATGGGAAACGTTCGTGCCGAGTAATTAACGCAAATTTAGAAAGGGGTTTCATTTTCCATGTAATATCCAAAATTTTTAATTTGATTTAATTTGAGTACTAGTTTTCACACTTACAACAAAATTACGATAGCGCCATCATATTTTACATTAGCGTTATTCGAAGATGACGTATAAGATATATGAAACGGAATTTGAATTAGATGCTACGGGGTGTTCAGAATAAACGAATATATTTAGATTTGGATATAATTCTTTTTTATGAAAGATCTTACTTAATAAAAAAGATCAAGAATTTCAATTTCATTAAAAAAAAATGTATGCTTTATACATTGCACTTTTTTTGAGCCACCCTGTATATGATAATTTCAAATTGTTGCATCCTAACAATATCTACAGCTTCTGTTCGTACCATTTTCTCATAACTTTTCAAACCAATGGTATAACTTGACTCATATCACATTAGTGCGTATTATTTGGAAATTAAAACTAAAAAAGTATATACGTATGAATTTTATAATAATATTAATAGTAAGCAAATTTATGTTCAACAGGTTGACAGCCAATTACAGAAATAGTATGCAACAAGTGCGGTAAACGGCATTTGAATCACGAGTGACTTAATAAGTTTACCGAATGTGTTGCATACTATACTTTTTCTACGACCGTTAGTGTATTGATACTTTTTCGCAAAACAACATGAATTCATGCACTGATATGGCCGTCAGAATTGACAAACGTCAAAATTCAAGGTGTGCGAAATATCTCCGAAAACATCCGATTGCTGCTAAACCCGTGCGGTAAAATCCCGGAAATGTCCGAAGTGGCTCGGATTTGTGAGAACGAAACTGACGTGGTAAAGTGACGCTTCCCACACGCTAGATCGGAGGTATTTTACAGACGGGAGTAGAAAAAATAAATAAATGTCAGCGATATCTTTTGTATGGCCTCCAAAAGTCACGTGTGCTGAGTCAGGGCGGACGATCAGTATGCCGTTCCAACTACGCAAAAACGAACGGTAGTACGACTTACACCGAACCACACATAAAAATTGGCGAGTATTATAAAACATTTGTTCTAGGTGTACGGAGATGAAATATGGGCCTAAATTTGGCTTCACTTCTGGGGATCTAAAATTGTACTTTGCTTAAAAGCCACTCAGAGCTCACCGAATCGAAAACCATCCTGAAGTCTTTAACTTCACTTAATTAATTAATATTTTGAGTCTTTTTTAAAATGAAACCCTTGAAAACATACATATTGTAATTTTCTGGCCTTTAAATCTTTTTAAAACGTTAGAAATGCCCTTTTCGGATATTTTTCAAGAACTGTATTGCATCCTTTCATCTATATAAATGAGCATGAGAAAGACAACAATCGCTGTTGCCATGGCAACCAAGCTTATAAACGCTCCACAAGGGTAGTAGCCAGTCTTGAAACTTCTTGACACGAACGGCCAACGATTAAATTTTTACCACTGATCAAAATGGTAGCAGGCATCGAACGCCAGTAGCAGCAGAGTGGGGAAAAGTGCACATAAAATAAGAAACTAGTGAAGACGTTTTTCTTTGTACAATTTTTTACGGTCAATCCATCAGGAAAGTTGTCACCGCCCCACCGCCCGATATTAATAACCAAACTAAACAAACTATCTTAGCCAGTTATTTCTTTTCAAATGATTATTTATTATCTCGTCCGGTAAAACTGTTTACTTGCCAAGTTGCAAAGTTTTAGTATAAACAAATTTTATCGACTTTTATTAATAAATAATCGGAGGTACGAGCCGGCGCATCGCGACTGGCCGCGAGCAGTTGAAACCCGACAACACGCAAGCTCGCCACAGACCACTATGCTCGTCATGGAACTGAAGATAATCGAAGCAGCGAAAAACGTGATCAAAGGTGAGCGACTGCTTTCGCATACAGTGCGGTCCGTTTTAGTGACGCGGAAACTCAATGACGCCACCGGCGCGCTTCCAATTTTTTTGCTGTTTGAGATGTAATTTGTACTGTATGAATTTTAATAGAGTTCACCACAAATTACTGATATTCAAATTGGTCTTGACGTTGCTGGAAAGTTTATAAATTAACTGTTACTAGTTCCTTTCCTCTTCATGATTTTGGTCTTTTTGCTTTCAATTTATCTATGTATGATATTAACAAGCTTGTAACGCTGCTGGCGTTTGATTAATTAATTAATTACATCTGATACAGATGGTCTAACTCGCCAGCTTGATATGAATTAAATTTACCGCTGGTCAACTTTAAATGCTGTTTCCTAAGTTTCCGAAAAAGGAAATATTCAACAATAAATTTTGATTATTCCTTGAGATTTTGTATATTCAATATTGGAATATGCTAATCAGGTTAGAAAAAACTGAAAATTGAATTTCATTTAATACTCATGATTAAGGTCCTAAAATTGAAAAATAGTCTAAAGCATGTTCGACTTAGTTTAGTTAGTTTTTTTTTTATAGAGAAACAGTCTTTGTTACGTGAAAATCTCCGTTTTTTGAGACTGGCCAGCGATACACTTTAGGACTTTCTTTTGGATACCACATGACTTGAATTTAACCAAAAGGGATTTTTTAATTCGACACAAGTTAATAATAATAATAAATTTGACTTTGTCTACATAGATTTAAAGCGATTTATCATTCTGGAAAACGATTGTTGCATGCAAGTACTTATTTCTTTTTTTTTGTAATTCAAACAAAAGATCAGCTAAAGCCTGGCAGACAAATGTATTTACCACGCATATAAGAAGTTGTTGATGTATAAGGAAAATCCATCATCCCAAAACAAAAAGCAAGAGAAATGAGGATATTCTGTGCAATATACACTGAAATAAACAAATTGTTTATTGGCTTGTTTTATAATATTTTTTTATTTTTCTGGTATAGGCATTTTTTTATAACAACATTTTGGAGACGAAAATGTCACATTTCATTTGTGGACTTGTCTAGGAGACAAGTCGGAATTAGATTTTCCCTTCCATATATTTGCTATCCCATAGCAAATGTATTTAATGTTTTTGAGAAAATAAATTGTGTGATGTCATAAAACGTCCTCTAGCGGTAATGCAAGCAATTGAAATCAATTCGCTCGAGGCGGCGTTGCAACGACTCTTAAGCTGACAACATGGCGTTGAGGCATTCTGAAGTTATTGCCATTTACTTCCAAAAATGTACCTCCCATTGTAATTTCCAACATTTTCTTTTGGGCGTCTTAGTCATTAGTTTTTTCACCTCAACCTTTACGGCAGTTACTTTATGATATACATATTTACGTTTTTCGTCGACCTTAAACCTGTAACTTAAGGCTCGGCTTAAGGGTTGTATTAGATATCTTCTAAATTTTTGTCTATCTCCCGTATTTTCCAAAATAATTGTGGTAGTGCAATTTATTTTGCAAAAAAAAAAAGATCAAATCGCGCTTTTTTTGTCGTTTCTGTCGCACCCGCGCTATTCCCGTACGTCGATACGCGCCGGGTCGTTAAAATCGATAAGCTAGCCATGAAAAACAAAAGAACAAAAACAGTGGCCAGTCGATTAACCGAGTGGCGGTCATTAGAGATCGCGGGAACGTCTGTCGTTGATTTGGTCGTGTTTGCCGACAGGTCGTAAACGTTTTTATTAATGAGTTCGGCGGGAAATTCGGGCGGGGAAGGGTGTTATTGCCAAAACAATAACGAGTACTACACGATGTTCGGGAAATTGAAGATTTGCGAGACGAAAATCGCCAACGGGAAAAAGGAGGTCCCCAAAACGAAAAAGACCCTGCGAAATTGCGGTTAGTAAAAGTGGAAAAATGGTTTTTTTTATTGAATTTTTAAGAAAGAAACTTGTAATATATACATAATATCGAATTATGTCGGATTAGAGATTGCCCCTGTTACTTTTTTTGAAAAAGTATAATCAGATTTTGAATAGCACCTGTAGTTTCTGAGCTACGAGGGGGAACTGAAAAATCGGCGATTTTCAAAATTTTCTATATCTCATATGCCATATCATCTTTTTGCGTAATTTATATTCGTTATTTCGTTTATGATTTGCAATTTATTTTCGCGAAGATTTAACTCAAAAAAATAAATATTGTCTTTTAGATTTTCGGTAATTTGTTTGTAATGTTTTTATTATTTCAAGTTTTCTGATATCCTCATAATAAAATTATTGTTTGGATGTTTTACACTAACGACCGTCAGTTTGAACACCTTAATTAGGATTCTAAAGTGTGATTTAAAGTTATAAAAAGAATATAAAATGATTTATAGTTACAAAAATAAAATAGTTGAAGTTTTATAAGGTTCTGTAGATAAAACCACTTAAACTAAAAAATTATGTGTTGCAACTATATGACTATATAATAGTAAATAAAGTATAAAGTATAAAATAATAAAAAAATATCAGACCCGTGTTTAACATTTTGACATTTGGTCCTGGAAAAGCAAAGCTTTGCAATGAAACTTAAATGCGCCATTTTATGCCATGAAAAAGTTTATAAAATTAAAAAAAAAAAATTTCATTTTCATTTGTTGTGTCAAAATCTTTCATTTTGACACATAACAATGTAGTTTAAAAACTACAAGCGCGGTTTGGAATCTGATTACCATTTTCAAAGTATCAAAAAACTAGAGCAGTAACCTGCAAAATATAATAACGTCGTTTGAAAGAAAAAAAGCTTTTAAAAACTCAAGGGTGAAGAAGATATTAAAAGAATCTATTTATCACAGTGCGTTTAAAATTTTGCAAATGTGAATATATATTTTTTTGCTTTGTTGTTTTAATTTTGAGACGTTTAAATATAAAAATATATTTAATGAATATCGTCAAATTTTTTTGCAAATGGATTTACGGGATTGGATGTAACTTTGATTATTTTTTAAATTTTACACTCGAGTTTAACGACAATTTGAACCTGCATATACATTACTGCAAAAAGAAGATAAGGGAACACTTTGGAGGAAAGATCACCAAGTGTCAACTCGGCGATAATTTCTAAAACTAATCTAAAATCAGTTAATGGATAAAATTAACGCTGTGTAATTGATTTTAATGTGGCCATTAAGAACCAGACTCGATGACCCGCTAATTATTAAGTAACACTTTTGAATTAATCAGCAGCAAAATATGCGTATATACGGGGTGGCGGCTAAAATTAACTATAAACGGTTTTCCAGAGATACGCAAAGAGGAGGTGATGGCAATAAAAACCAGATTTCCCAACAAAGTACCTGTAAGGAACTATCTCTTGTTTCCACTTTGCTTTTTGCAGACGGTATATAATCGTTACAGGTGATAGTCCAAAGATTCCACAAGGAGAGGTATCTTCCCCAATTGGAAAAGACGAAATTCCTGGTACCCCAAGATATAACGATGTCACAGTTTCAAACCATAATAAGGTGGGTGCTTATCGCGTGGTTAATTTGCTTAAAGAAAATGTGTCCGCGACCCGACGCAACAATTTATTGAGTTAATTAGATGGTTATATATATATATATATATATATATATATATATATATATATATATATATATATATATATATATATATATATATATATATATATATATATATATATATATATATATATATATATATATATATGATGACACTATATTCCGGGATATCATCCGTTCGCTCGTTGAACTCCGACTGGAATCCTGCATCCGACTGGAATCCTGCAAATCTTGCATCCGACTGGAATCCTGCAGACGTTTCGCCAAAATCTCACTTGGCATCTTCAATGCTCGCGTTCCGAAAACACTTCGAACACTCACTGAGTGTTCGAAGTGTTTTCGGAACGCGAGCATTGAAGATGCCAAGTGAGATTTTGGCGAAACGTCTGCAGGATTCCAGTCGGATGCAAGATTTGCAGGATTCCAGTCGGATGCAGGATTCCAGTCGGAGTTCAACGAGCGAACGGATGATATCCCGGAATATAGTGTCATCACATTTTTCCATCCGTGAATCAATACGTGAGAATATATATATATATATATATATATATATATATATATATATATATATATATATATATATATATATATATATATATATATATATATATATATATATATATATATATATATATATATATATATATATATATATATATATATATTTGTAAACACGGTTCAATGTTGAAAATATTTTTGACAATTCAAACCCATAAATAGGACTAAAGATAACTTTATCTCTTAAATGAGCACATTAACTTCGAGAAAAATTGCATCCCAGTAAATTGGTTTAATTTTAAGTTTTATCTGCATACAATGTTATCCTTCTGGTAACTTTGAACTGGTTGTTTTCCGAATCCGATCCTAATATACATTTGCAGGAACCGCATAAGAATCTCTAACCCGAACCAAGCCATGTATCTACTAATCAACGAACGTTCAATGCTGAGCATGTCTTTGACCGTGGGTGAAGCTTACAGCGAATTTTCGGGGCCCAGCGGATTTTTGCACATCACGTACGCCTCTCAGGAAGTTTTTGGGAGTGACCTCAGGAACTGAACATCGCGGGTTGCGACGGATTGTGCTACGTACCATTATGTTCTATGACCAAGTGTCCATAGTGAAGAAAAAATTGGTTGTAATGAGATACAAGACTGGATTTTGTAAGTGAGATATATCGCGCCTTTCTAAAATGTGTACTTAACAATATTTTACATTTAACTGTCTCTAAAGAGACAACTATGTAGCTTTTTACGTTACATTATTACTGTACAACTTTGTTAATAAAAATAAAGTTTGTTTTTAGACAAAATCCCTCTCAAAAAATTTTAAATAATGATACCCATGTACCAGACCAGGATAGTACCTGCCATTGAATTAAATATTGAAAGGTCAACATTTAGGTAGGTAGTTTTAATCGAATCCCTTCTGGCAAGCAGAAATTATTAACAAAATAGGCCGCTTAAAAAAAGTATGCCTAAAAACATATGACGTTTATTTAATAAAAACGAATTTCTTACCTTATTTTCGCCAATTTTTTTTCAAAAATTGAATTAACTCAGAAACCTGCTGCAGACTGCAGAACCACTAAAAAATATGTATTTGACATTTGACACACGGGACAGACAGGCCCGTAATAAGCTACTTTCTATCATGTTCGCATGCAGACTATGCAAATAACTTATATGCTGTGGTTAATATATATATATATATATATATATATATATATATATATATATATATATATATATATATATATATATATATATATATATATATATATATATATATATATATATATATATATTATATATATCATTTGCAAATTGCAAATTTAACGTAAATAAAATGCTGAGTAATTATATTTACCATATTTTTATAATCTAGAATTGATTGAAAACTAGTAAAATGTGAAAAATATGTTCCGATCAAAACTTCATAATTTTAGTGTGGTTGTTTTTATATCCATTATATTAACATAAAACGGAATGTCAAGTAATCGCATGAAAATGATTATCTGAAAACGATGTTCTATGGTAATTTTTTTCCGTTAATCATAACCCCAAAATTGTTCTAATTGGCAGAGGTATCGTAGACGGTTATTTTGGTACGTGATATTTTGAGGCCACAAATAGATTTACATAAAGAAAGCTGGAGCCCGAATTATAGTATTTAAACTGTCAATGTTAAATAGTCGTATTCAAGAGGTAAAAGTCGTGTATTTTTTGATGATTTCAACACTTGTGCCCAAAGTTTTAGGATGATCTATTTCAAAAAATGGCAGTCCTAACAATCGACGTTTATTTCAATTATGGAAGACGAATTAGACGACCGAATTATTTACCAGACGTATGTTTCTCATTTAAAAATTATGTCCCGCATAGTGTGGAGTATCCCAATAAAACTATCCCATCTTAATGGTACTTCTCAAGTATGGAGACTAATAAAATGCTACCTCGCAAAACCGGAAATAATCCTCTTTGGATTTTTGATCTTTTTCTTATTTACTTACATTCAAGCCTTGGATCTGTGGAGTCGAAACTTGTTGTCGAGATTTCAACATGGAATCTACAATCAAGCGCCGAAAATCCGTAATTCAAATATGTTGCTATCTGGGACGGAAAAACAGGCCTGGGAGAAAAAGATAGGCATGATTGCGGCCTACGCGATACAAGGTCGTAGGCCAAAGATGGAAGATCGTTTTGTTATTGAAGATAATATTAATGAGTCGGGAGTCTCACTTGTAGCGGTTTTTGACGGTCACGGCGGCGAATTTGCCGCAAATTACGCCAAAGAAAAACTTATCCAAAGTATTTACCACAAGATTATTAAAATTAAAGATCTGATAGCGGGTAAGGGCGACACACCAGGTGTGTTCTGCAATGTTGATGAAAAGAAAGACTCGAAAGAGTCGACCACCCAGGTGGTGGAACGGAAAAATAGTTTTCGACGCTCTAGTTTTTCCACAGAGGAAAAAATTAAGGAAATAACAGACACCCAAATTTTAAGTAAATTAAATACCATCAAACCCATCAGTAGAGAAACGAAACCCTCAAAATCACGTAACAGCATAGCGGAAGTTCCAATTAACAATTACTTTGACAAATTCGGAACAGTCGACTATGGAAAATTGATTACAGATGAAGTGTTGGCAGCTGATGCGCGCCTAATCGAAGTCGCGAGGAAAACTATGGATGTCGCAGGGACCACTGCATTGATTGCGATATTGGAAGGGGATAAACTTACTGTGGCAAATGTGGGTGATTCGAGGGGTGTAATGTGTGACAGCAAAGGCAACGCAATTCCTTTATCATTCGATCACAAGCCCCAGCAAGTGAGGGAACGAAAACGTATTAAAGAGGCTGGCGGTTTTGTTACATTTAATGGCGTCTGGAGGGTAGCAGGCATTTTGGCTACTTCTAGAGCTCTCGGTGATTACCCGTTGAAGGATAGGAAACTGGTTATAGCCGAACCTGACATCCTAACATTCAATTTAACCGACCACAAACCCCAGTTTTTAATTTTAGCTTCTGATGGTTTGTGGGATACTTTTTCAAACGAAGAGGCAGTTCATTTTGTAAGAGAACACCTTAACGAGCCAGATTATGGTGTCAAAAGTTTAACTTTGCAATCGTTTTACAGGGGTAGCTTAGACAATATAACTGTTATTGTTATTAATTTTAAGGATAAGTTGATTGCATCATTTTCCAGTGGTAACTAAATAACGACATAATGGGACCCCTTTTGTGACTAACTGTATTTATAAGCCTATGTATTTGTTTTTGTTGAGAAAAACAATGGTCTCCAATAATAAAGTGATTTCAACACCTTTTCTCTTTCCAAATCCAATGTTTGTTAAATTACAGTCCACGTTCCCTTACAAGTGCAGACAATTTAAATATGTATCACCTACCCCACGAAGGCATTACCATGATATAACTTACCCATGGCAAGTTACATCACTTACGCAGTATAACTAAAATAATATAATAAACAAGATACCTCCTGGCTAAGGCAAACAAAAAGTGAATTGCGGTGTTACCCATATTATTTTTTTTGGAAAATTTTGATTTTGATAAGGCAAGTCAAATTATTGGCAACTATTTGGTACAAATGCCTCAGTTTTGTGAATTGCCGAAAAGTGGTTCCCGAAAAACTGATATTAGAAATAAGGAAAACCTTTTCTGTCACTCCGCAGCTGATCAATTACAAATTACGTAAGCCAAATAATTTTAACTTAGACCAATTTATAATCTATGATATTTTATGCACCACAGAATACTATAGTTTTCGGTCGGCAAGGGCAAAAAAACTAGCTTGGAGAAAAAAACAATTTTTTTTATTGGAAACAAATATGCTTATTTTGTAAAAACAGTCATTTATTACCACTAGCATTTCGGTTCAATTTGTTTTAAATGTTTAAAAATATAAAAAAATGACAAAGGAAACCTGCGAAGCTAACGTTTCTTATTGGTCATTTCAAACGTGACCGTCCTTCCATTTTGTTTCAAACGGAATTCAAAAGTTCGTTAACAGGAAGGTTCGACATCGTTACTAATATTTTCTTTTATTTTGGTGAGGCGAATTTGCTTTATAACTTATGTTGATGTTGACATTTGTACGTCTTTTATGCAGTATTGTTAGTGGAAGCTGAATTTTTGAAGAGGTTACTTTTTGTGTATTCCCGTTTCAGTTTTCAGATTAAAGAATGAACAATCAATCCGGAAATAATATTACCGATTTCTACAAGATCGAAAAGATAGGTGAAGGTACCTATGGCGTTGTCTACAAAGGAAAGAACAAGAAAACCGGACAAATGGTTGCAATGAAGAAAATTAGGTAAGTGGAGCATCACATAATATTTTTACCGAACTGGACTGTGTTAGGTTGGAAAACGAGGACGAAGGAATTCCGTGCACAGCGCTGAGAGAAATGTCCCTGTTGAAAGAATTGAGACATAAAAACATTGTCACACTGTTGGAAATTATTATGGATGAGCCAAAGTATTTAATTTATTTCAGCATCCCATTTTGTTTGAAACGACTAACATTTTAGGTTATATTTGATCTTTGAATTCTTAGCTATGGATTTGAGGAAGTATTTGGATAAGCTAGAGCCTGGCAAACTCATGGATCCTAAATTAGTTAAGAGTTATCTATACCAAATAAACGAAGCTATATTGTTTTGTCATCAAAGAAGAGTAATTCATAGAGATTTGAAGCCGCAAAATCTGCTTATTAGTACAGATGGTCTCATAAAGGTGGCCGACTTTGGCCTTGGAAGAGCATTTGGCATACCACTTAGAATATATACCCATGAAGTGGTTACCTTGTGGTACAGGGCACCGGAAGTATTGTTGGGAGCTTCTCGATATTCCTGCCCTGTTGATGTATGGTCAATTGGATGCATATTTGCTGAAATGGCCACAAGAAAGCCTTTGTTTCAAGGTGATTCAGAGATTGATCAACTTTTCAGAATTTTCAGGGTTTTGAGAACACCAACAGAAGAAATCTGGAAAGGTGTTTCTTCTCTGCCTGACTACAAAGCAACATTTCCGAATTGGACAAAATATATATTGCAGAAGCAGGTAACGAATATCGACTCTGCTGGTCTTGATTTGCTATCAAAAATGTTGATCTACAACCCTGCAGAGAGGATATCTGCTAAAGGGATTGCGAGGCATCCTTACTTTCAAGATGTTGATCTCAAAATTAAGCCCGAAATTAAAGAAAAGGAAAACTAATTTTTTTGTGTTCAATAGTTAATATTTTATTTATTAGTGTATCCTTGACCAAGGAGTAACACTTGGCAGACTGTATGATTTCGGTTTTTCTTAATTTCATTTGTCTTTGAAGAATATTAGTTTAAACCAGATAAATGTAATTTAGTTAATCATTCAAAAGCCATACATTCCCTTTTAAGGATTTTTTATATTTTTCTTATATAATAAATTCAGACTTTTCATATATGTTTGTTGTTTTAATTGATAAAACTAGCATTTATAAAAATAACAGGTTACTCGGCTTAGAGTTCACTATTAAATTTGTCAAACTTTGTTGCCAGATCATTTGGGACCTGTAGTTCTTTTAAATTGTCTTCCATGATTTCATCTTCTGTCCTAAAATTAAAAATTCATATGATAAATCTAAGTTCTGATTCCCAGAGGCATTTTACCTTATCAAAATATCAACTAAATTTTCACATGCTAGTAAAGCTTTTTTGTCAGTCTCCCATTTATGCAGCTCTCTCAATATTAAGTAGGTATTTTTACTGCGTATCAATTCTCTGTTAACTTTTTTGCTGCAGAGTTGTGTTAAGGCTTCCAACAAAATGGTCCTATAAGTTAAACGCAAAAATACAGACAGAAAAATCCAGTGAGTGAAGCTTCTAACCTTATATCAGGATCATCTTCCCTCAGCTTGTCTTCAGGAAGATATTGAAGATCCAAAGGCAATTTGTCAGTGTCTGCGTCATCAAATTCTTCTGGTCCCGCCAACGGAAGCAACAAACGCGGCAATATATCAACATCGTCACTTAAAAGCCAATCATGAAACTCACTCTCGAAGCAGCAGTTTTTTAATGTTCCTACTATTCCCCCTCTTCTTATCAAGGAGTCTTTATAATCGGTAAACGGCAACAGTCGTTGTATAACACACTTTTCTTTATCCAAAATATACCGCCTGACTCTTTGACTTTGGGACAAGTTTGATAAAACAGGACCCAAATAATGAAACCGCGCGTTCTTATTAAATTCAATTCTGGTAAAAACCTCTATTAACTCATCGAAGCTTTTACCAGATTTCTCAATCACGTTAATAATTTCTTCAATAAGATGTGAAGGCCGGCTTAGGTTCGACAGGATCATGCAACACTGGTCTGCTAGTTTACTGTCTTTATTAAATATATGGGTGAGACATTGCCTCACTATATCCTCTGGAGGTCTTTGCAAAGGCGGACAGGATTGCTCTAAATCGACTTTTATTAATTCGTTAGCACCTTTCTCTTGGGCCGCTATATTAACCAAGCAAAGACTCGCATCTTTTGCGATTGGAATGCTAGTGTCATCTAATAAGCTTATAAGAGAAACGAGAAGCGCGGGATTATTGCAAATAGCTTCGAGGCCTTCTGGAGTTCCGGTGAGACCTTAGATACAAAAATAAGTTAACTAAGTACAAATAAAACACTGAAACAGTGACTACCTAAAACATGTTCAACCGCCAACGCCTTTAAATCGAGTCTTGCGCCGATTTGCACAAATTTTAGTAGATCATTTAAAGCGTGTTCCATTTTTGTTTCAAACTTCGTATAGTTATTTAAATAAAAAATTATAACCTTTAAAATAGTATTACAAATTGAGGTTATGTGACGGGTTCCATTCTTCTTAGCATAAGGCGGCGTTAAACAGAATCAATTGTGATGGGTTCATTCCATCCTTAATGACAGAAATTGGTTTTTGCTTGCCCTGGATAAAATACTGGTGTTGATGCATAGTGTTTTGTCAGTTAAAGGCAATTGAGTAGAAATGAAGAAGTAGATCAGGAGAATGGTGTGAAGTAACGCCTCTTTCGGTACTACGGTAATAATTGAGCCACTCTGTGTCATTCTTGTTTTCATTTTTGGTGTTTGGTGATTATCTCCGACACTTTTTTGGTGTTATTGTGTTCAAAATACCCATCCATTGGAAACCGTGTTTGTTTGTATAAATGAGCATGCGTGGGAATTAAAATCTCGTTTTTAACCAATGACGTTTCGGCATTTAACAACGAATATGGCCGCTGACAGATTGTCAATTAGTAGTTTCTCAAAATATGTACAGATCCCATTAAATCTTCAGACAAAAGTGAGTTAAGTGTGTGGAGGCAGTTGTTCAGAAATAAAATAGCACAAAGTGCAGGTTAGTGGGAGAAATATAGGAGCATGCGCTGATTATTATTTCTATTTTTAGGAAAATATCCTAGTCACTCGCGCCGCAATAAATTTTACATAGTAGGCCCACTATATTATCTAATAGTTATATGGCACAAACAATTGCTTAGCGATTTATAGTAGTACTGTTGGCAGCGACGCTAAAAGTTACCCTCCGTTGATTTACAACCTTGACATTTTGCCTGGGAAAACCGATTGATACTAATTGGGAGTGGTATTGATAAATTTCATTAAAATCAATAATTGAAAAAAATGCGATTGGATAATATGTAAATTTAATAACCTTTTTTTTTATAATACAAGATATTAACTTAAATCTTATGAAAATTAAATGAATGTACAGAATTTAGAAAAAATCCGAAGCTTTTTTCCTTATTGGCAGATTGATGTTCAACAAATCATCAGTGGACACCTCCTTACTCTGCAAATTGAACTCGGCTTGTTTAATGCCCAAAGATTTAGGAGTTTTCAGTCGTTTAGGCGTAGGTGTCCTAACCAAATTCCGCGTCTTTGGACTTGTCGTCGGTCTGGAGGGTGTATAGTTAGGTCCTAAATCTGACCGAACTCCCAGTTTTAATCCAGACGTCGCCAATCTCCTTGCTGCCGGTGACATGGTTGCTAATCGTTCGATTGAGGAAGTATTTGGTCTTGGAGATGGGCTGCAAATTTTGACATTGTATAAACACCTCCATATTATTAAAAAGAAAAACTATTCTTACTCAGAAAACTTCTTCCTTTGTGCATCTAAGGCTTTTTTCCTCTTGTCACGATTCTGTTCTCCCACTTTTTCCGCCAACGCTAGAGCGATTTGTTCCCTCCTGGGCGGTTCAGACATTTTAAATGAAGGTCCTGCTGTCCTGCTGTAATAACGCAAGATTAAACAAAGTATAAAATAAAAATTAAAGGTAAAACCTGGGGAGAGGCGTGTCGCTGCCGTCGAGCAGGAAAGGGGTACCCTCAATTTCGCCCCATGTCATTAACGGGGTGCCGAGTGTGCTCGGTGACGGAGACGGAGTCCTCACAAAACTAAAACCTCCAATTTTAGGCGTTTCCGGTTTTAATAGTTCTTTCCCGTCGACCCCAATTTTTCCATCCAATATCTAAACATAATATTGAGTCAACAGTTTTAAGGGGGGCTATAATTAGGACACTTACTTTGGCCTGGGATTTGGCCAGTTCATTTATTGTTTCCTTGCTTTTGACTTCGTTGAATGGGTTTACCTTGAGTCTGGTGTTCTCGTATGTGATTTCCTGCCTTTTCTGTTTAATCTCAATTTCTTGTTCTCTGGTGAGACCTACCCCGTCTGGGTTGTACATTAAGTAGTTTTTATTTTTGTAGCTAAAATAAATATATACTACTACAATTTGAAACCGATTCATTTTCACTCAACACTTACCCCCAAGTATTAACATTAAAAGGTTTATCTGGCAACGCCGCTTGTTGTTCAACAGAAGGCAATGCCAACAACCTATGTCTGTCTTCTTCAGATTTTTCTTCCTCTCCATATAAGAAGCTGTACTTTTCCCGGTGTTTATTTTCCGCCGCTTCTATGATTTCCCCAAAACTTTCGTTGTCTTGAGAAGTATGTGAGTTTAGAAACTGATCCAAGTTGAGGTTTTTTGATTTAGATGTGCATATTTCTGTCGCTGGGGCATCCTCTTTGAGTACATCCCCATTAGGTTGTTGGGAATTGTGGATATTGGCGGGCGTCTCAAAAGTTGCCGGACTTGGCACTGCAATCAATAGAAAAATGCAAAATCTCCTTACTAAGGGTATCAACTGATATTACTTACACCTCTCTTGAGGTGGCTTTCGACCGCTATATTTCATGTAGAGCTCTCGTAACTTAACAGTATCGTTCTGCTGCATTGCGTGGAGGTAAGCATTCTGAGCCTTAATCTTCTCCAGATCCGGGAAAAAGTCCCGTTGTATAATATTCGCAATTCCCTGAAACGTCATCACATCAAAACCACAAACGCAACAATAAGCCGAGGAACGTACCTCTACGTAACTGTCTTCGTCCAGAACTTTTATTTTCCGTCTCTTGTGTGCTGAGATCGCAGGCTTTTTAAATATTTCCTTGTGTACGTTCTCCATTACTACCATCGCTTTTCTTCCTGGCGTGCTTTCCACGCTTTCGCACATAGTTTTAAAGTTTATGTACAATCAAACGTATTTCATATTTATGTTTCTAGGTTAAGTGAAATGTCATTTGGTACAACTTTCAACATGTACGCCAGAAATCAGTTATCTATTCATCGGTGTTGGCATTTCCGTAAAGCAATAGAACTTTTAAGCCTAAGATGGCGCTGGCAGTAATATTAAAAAAAATGGTTTTGGGTGGAATACTTAATTTTTATTATCAAATTAAAATTTAGCACTAGTAATAATCGTAGGCTCTTAGTCCTTTGTCATCGGCATCCAACTATAATGTTTCAAAGTGGGCCTAGTTCTATTATTCAATAAATAAATAACGAATCCAACCAAGAAATTAAAAATTTGCTGTGGTCAATATTTTAATTATTTTAATTTAATATTGAGGTTGACAATTTCCCGTCAAGTGGAAATAAGAAATACGTCATTCATACTGAACAACGACCAACAAAAAGAACAGTGACTTTCTGTTTTCAAAAGTTTCGGGATTCTTGTTTTCTTTTTATTTCCACGGGCTGCTTGATCTATAAAAGCTAATGCGCGGATGTCGCGGCAGTTTGTCTATCAGTGGTCCGTTACGAGGTGCCAAAGAAATGTTTGAATTTACTTTATACCGGGAATTTCGGTCTTATAGGGCTCCGTCGCGGGCTAGACGGAGACGGTGCAGAACAGATGTCCTCTGAACAGGACGGTAGTCAGACTAGATTCGGATAAATTGCGGCGGTAGTCAGTCCACAAATCAATGAAGGAGTAAATCAGACAAAGTATTTAAGGGTTATATTTGACCAAAATCTCAAATCTTATTCACAAATATTTGTTGTGAAGAGAATTCCTACACCGAAAGTGCACTAATAGAACTATTGTCCCGTTATGGAATACTCTTATGGGGTGCGTATAACATAATATTTAGAAACCCAAAGATTTGTAAACTACTTAAGACTTCAAATATAGAATGTGATTCCTAAAAATATAAGAAACCTGAAAAGTTAATATTTATTTAAGAAATCTTGTAGAATCTACATTTCGGAAAATCTAAAAAATATATATATTTGTTCAACTAATTAAATGTTTTATTTATAAATCTGATAAGAATAAGATAGAGGAAATTATGTATATACATAACAAAAATGAAAAAAATTCCGGAAACTACGATTGCTTAGAGTTTTTTACAAAAAGGCTCTTCATTAACTGACGGTGAATAGAAATAAGCCGACCGCACCTTCAACTTCTTATATATTACCCTCGTTTATTTAGCCTCGGTAAACAATACCTACTATTAGTACAACCTATTACTGACTTCTTCATTTCCGCACTTATACAATCTTTGATTAAAATTTCTAGTAAATTTGAGGAATCCTACTTTATAAATCCCGTTTCTGGCCACACGAATCCGTTCACGCTTTCTAATGCTTGCGATCTTTGAACTTAAATAACTTCAAAATGGCGAAAGCTAAAAGCTCAACATGTTTATAGCATGCTTTAATAATAAAATGGTAGCGAATTAAGTGAAAAAAAAGCTGCAAAAGCGAGTGTAGCAAACAAGCCCATTAACGACAACGTAAAAAATGTTTCGTAGCCGCCGGATTTATCGTCTACCCAATAAATTCATTCCAAAAACTAAATAAGTAAATTACAGAATATGGGATTCGATCCGGTCCTGCGCGGAGCCGGGAAAATTTCCAAATACAAATAGACTTAATACGCAGCGCGTTGAAAAATTTGTGATGTGCTTCCCGGCTTCTCCGCCGTTTAATACATCGCCGATAAATTAGTACCTACCTACATTTTTACTTCGGAGAATTTGACAAAAGCGTCGCTTTCTTTTTGGGTCGTTTTAAGCGCCTCTCTTTCTCTGCACCCCTTTCGTCCGTAAAAATAACTCGTACAGGTCGCCGAAACAATAATTAGTCGCGACACCCATATATCTATTGTTTCGTCTGTGGTCTGTGCCATAGATGTATAATCAGAGTAGATAGGATTGGTTACATTTTAAACCGATCACAATATCTTGACTGGTTGAGACAATGTTCGCCGTAGTTTTCAAAGGATTATTATATACATTATATATAGTATTATTTTATTAAACATAATCCCTAAAATTACAAGTACATCTTTGGCAATAGCCTAATAGCAATAACAAGAACTCGTCTACAGAATATTTCAGCCCAGATTTAATAGTGCCTCTATGTATAGCACAAGGGTCGGCAACCTGTTTGTCCTTAAGGGAATAAATTTGGAAATAAATAGGCATAAAAAAACAGATTTTTTAATAACTTTATTTTGTTGGTGTCATACATAATGATACATATGGTTCAGTGTGAAACTTGGGTGTCCGTATTTTCAGCTAATTTCTTATAATTGGGGATTTATTTAGAGTTCCCGTTATCTAAATGTGAGTCACTTATAGTTCGGTATTTTTATTTCAGATATTTCATATTTGAGAACAAAGACTCGCAATTGTACGTTGTTGCACAGTATGAATAAATTTTTTGCGCACATTTCCTTAAAATAGGATACTTATTTTCATCGACTAACTTCCAAAACATTTTATCATTACTATGCGCTTTTAAAATCACTTTATAATTTTATTATTTCTAATTCTAGGTCTTCGATATTATGATGTTCGAAATACACTGAAATTATTTTCGGGACATCATCTTCAGTAACATTGAATGGATTTATGAAAAATCTTAGAATGGGTTCTGACGCTGCAAAATCTTCAAATCTAGAAGAAATCTCTTCTATTAGGTTATCTGCAATTTCTAAATATGATGTAGCAGTAAAATATTCATTATTCAAATTTAAAGTCTCAACAGTATATTTTATATTAGGGAAATGTGATGATTTTTTCAGTAGATGGGATTTCAACAACACTAACTTGCATTTGAATGCTGCACTAATCATGTCAGCGATTTTTAAATTTAATTCATTCAACTTTTCCGTTATATCTGTCAGAAATCCGAGGTCAATTAGCGAATCCTTATTTTCTAGTAGCTCGTAAAATTCGCCTCTTGATGCAATAAATCCCTTTCTTCTTCTTTTTTAAGTGCCGTCTTCGTTGCGAAGGTTGGCAATCATCAGTGCTATTCGTATTCGTGACAGAGCCGACCGAAATAGTTGGTTTGTGGTGCACCCGAACCAGTCACGTAAGTTTCTCATCCATGAGTGACGCCTTCTTCCTACACTTCTCTTTCCTTGAATTTTTCCTTGTAATATCAGTTGGAGTAGTTGGTACTTTTCTCCTCTCATGACGTGTCCAAGGTACTGAAGTTTACGCTTTTTACCGTAATGATAATTTCTTTTTCCTTTTTTATTCTTTTCAGGATTTCCATGTTGGTCACTTTATCGGTCCATTTTACCTTAAGTATTCTACGGTACAACCACATTTCGAACGCCTCCAGTTTCCTTATGTTCAGATTCTTCAGAGTCCAAGCCTCTACACCATAGTACAGTACCGACAAAACATAGCATCGCACCGTTCTGATTTTTAAATCCAAGCTGAGATCGCTGCCATAGAGCACTCTTTTCATTTTCACAAATGTTGTTCTCGCCTGTCCTATTCTAGTTTTGATTTCTTCAGAGCAGTCGTTATTTTTATTTACAATTGTACCTAAGTATTTATAACTGTCAACTTTTTCTATGGAGTGGTTATTTATATGAATTTGTGAATTGTTTTGTGCTGTTGTTGATATTATCATAAATGTTGTCTTTTTTACGTTTAGTGACAATCCGAACTCTTCACTCGATGTATTAACTTTGTCTACTGCAATCTGTAATTCGTTTAGGTTGGTAGCTATCAGGATCGTATCATCCGCATATCTTATATTGTTGATAGGCACTCCGTTAATTTTTAGTCCTTTCGTTTCATCGTCTAATGCTCGTTTCATTATTTCCTCTGAGTAAAGGTTAAATAACATCGGTGATAGCACGCACCCCTGCCTAACGCCTCGACGGATTTCTATTTCTTCGGTGTTATTCCCTTCTATTTTTACCACTGCTTTTTGATTAAAATAAAGATTCGTAATAATTTTTATATCTCTGGTGTCTAAGTTCTTTTCTTTCAGAAGCTGGATAAGTTGTTCGTGTCGGACCCTATCGAAGGCTTTGTTGTAATCAATGAAACATATATAAAGATCCTGATTCATATCCATACATCGTTGGGCGAGAACGTTTAAGGCAAATATTGCTTCTCTTGTGCCTAAGCCACCTCGGAAACCGAATTGAGTCTCGCTGATATCTTGTTCTAATGTTTTGTATATCCTGTGATGTATCACTTTCAGAAATATTTTTAGCTTATGACTCATTAGGCTAATTGTTCGAAAGTCTGTGCATTGCCTTGCATTATGTTTTTTTGGGATAGTGACGAACGCTGATAGCAACCATTCCCTGGGTATAATACCTGTTTTGTATATGGTGTTGAACAGATCTGTTAGACTGTGTATGTTTTCCTCTTCTATCAATTTAAGAATTTCAGAGGGTAACTCATCAGGCCCTGCAGCTTTTCACTATGTATGTAATGCATGTAATCACTAAAACGCAAAACAAATTAGATTTTTCCATTTATCATATACCTTCACACACGGACACAGTCATACATAACAGCTCAAATCAGCCTTATACACACAAAATGGCTGCATTTCACTCTTTTATACACTTCTTAATACGCCACTCTCAACAGAAAATTACAATAAAGAACTTAATATCATTAGACAAATTGCACTCAACAATGGCTACAATCCGTCCGTTATAGATAAAATTATAAATAAAAAACAAATCCAGACAATAGTAATCTCTATTTATCCGAAACCTAATACAGAACACGAACAATTTAAGACAATTACGTACATAGGAGGACCCAGTGAAAAAGTTCCAAAACATATGTCAAAATGTGATTTAAAAATAGCTTTCAGAACTAACAGCACCATTGGTATTGGTATTGGTATTGGTATTAAAGGGGGCTCCCTCGCGGGCGTCCAAGCACTTAGGCCACCAGATGGGCCCGTTGTGCCCCCAGGCCGCTCTAGAGGGCGTCCAGAATGCC